TGCTCAAGTCCCTCCTCTTTGCCATGTACTCATTTACACTTGGAATAACAGAACCAGAAACCAGTTTTAGATGTAGAAGAAATAAGTAGCAATGATCTAAACCGGCCTCCCTGTGTGGGAGATGAAAAAACTGAGGCTTTTAGAGAGGCTGTGACTTGGCCAAGATCACACAGATCGTGAGATTTTTAAAAAGAATTGGCTTTGTAAGAGGCTTTCAAGTATGGTACGTGCTTGTTTGGTTTCGTCCACACATTGTGATCAATATGAGAGCAGGGGCTGTGTCTTTGTTTTCATCTTTAATGTCCACATACTGGGGTGTGTGTGTGTCTGTGGGCGGTGTTGCCTCTCCAGGAGCCAGAGTAAGCAATTACAATATTTCATATGCTATCAGGACAAAGATTCTAAAACTCACAGTGATACTATTCAAGAGACCAAAGGATGTTAAAAACAAAACAAACTGTAAAGCAATATTATATACTGCTTCTATGTTATTCATATGACTTCAGAACAGTCAAAATATTTCTTTAAAACTGCGACGTAGAAAGAGGTGACCCAGAGCTGTGCATGGTGATGCACACCTGTAATCCCTGCACTCTGGGAGCTGAGGAGGGAAGATCAAAAGTTTGAGCCCAGCCTGGGTAACTTTGTATCTCATAATGAAAAAGAGGCTGGAGATGTAGTTCAGTATAAAAGCCCTGGGTTTAATCCCTAGCATTGGAAAAAGGAAAAGAAACAGGTACAGTCCAGGAAGTTTGGCAGAACTGGACCTAGAACTCCAGTTCCCTGACTTGAGGCCCACGGCCAATAGCCACAATGCTTCTCTTCCGTCTCTCTCTTTATGTTTCTCACTGGGGAGCCGGAGTTGTCAAGGCAGTATCCTCTGCCATCTTTCTCATTTGTTGTACTTCTTCGTCTTGGGGTTCAGAGGACCCCATCTTTGGCTTCCTGCCCCTCCCCATCCTGCCCCAGGCCTCTCTCCTTGTGTCCCCCACCACGCTACTGGCATATTGGCACATACACATCTACTCAGAGCTGCAGGTGTCTAGAGCAACAGACCACAGGGGAAACCGCATCACCTTTGTTGACTGTGGAGGGAGGTGAGGGGATGGGGGAAGGGACCTGCTTAGTTCTCCACCTGCCTCAGTCCTGAAGGTCATCTCCCCTACCAACGTGTGCCATCTGGACCAGTGGCCATGTGTCAGCATAGTCTTGGTGTAGCCACGCAATTATGCCCAGATGCATGTGCGTCTCTTGTCTCAGACCCTGAAATCTTAAAAGGGGGTCTTCCTGCATGCACCCCAAAGCCACATCCCCAAGCACACCCAGAATACTCACACAGTTCCTTGATCCTATCTGTGCACTGTAACAGAGAAAGGTGGGGCATGATGATGGGGCCACGTGGCGGGGGTCAACAAGGCAGGAAACTTGGCGTCTACAATGACATGTATAGATTAACAAGGACTTCGAGAAACCAGACTACACTGGAGCAGGAGATCCTGGCACAGCTTCTCCATTGTTCTGTCCTGGTAGGAGAAATTACACAGGCCCTGAGTCAGACACACTCGGGATCAAGTCACTTACTGGCTCTGTGGCCTTGAGCAAATCATTTTGTCTTTCTGAACTTTAGTTTGCTCACTAAAACAATGGGGATAATAACACCATGTAAGTGAAAAGGCCTTGAACAACACATAATACATAGGAGACACTCAATAAATCCTGAATTATTTTTCCTTCCTCTCCCCACCCCTCCCTCTCTCCTCCATTTCTTTCTTTCGACTTCTTATGTCTGGTTCCATGAAACTCTTTATTTGGAGTTGGAGATTTGACCTCCCCTATTAATCTGTAAGTCCAAAACTCTATGAACTGGGATTTGATCCCAGGTCCAGAAACTGGAGCACAAGGCCTGACCCAACCCTGTGCAGTGGCTGTCCACTCTGACCTCGCAGAGGCCTTGGGGAATAACACATTCTGAGGCTTCGTGGGGAGTATGTTAGAATAAGTGCAGACTGCAGATGGACTTGGGGCTGCAGCCATCATATCTAAAAGGCTGGGATAGGAGTGGTCTCAGAGTTCTGAGATTTAGACCTGATGACTTTCTGAAACTTTGAATCCTGGCACAAAGTAAGCAGTAGGATCAGAAAGAATAAATATTCATTGAATGAATGAATTTAATGAACCAATAATATTCATGGAATGAATGAATGGCCCTTGTAACTTGCTCATTGTGCAACTTTGATCAGGTTTCTTCATCTTTATGGGCTATACTTTATTCATGAGCATAATGAAGATTATTGTTAAGAATAAATGATCTAATGTTTGTCCAGGAGCTAGCATAGGCTGCTGCACAGTAAACAATTGGCAAAAGACTAAGGAAATAAGAAGGTCAAGAAGGCCCAGAGCCCCAGAGAGAAGCTTTGCACTGGCCAGAAACCTCCAGAAGACTTGAGGAAGCCCAGGTAGGTACTCTAGGGCCAGTCCCTTGTGCTAAGTATTTAGCTGAAGAGGTTGTGAGAACCAGACTTCAGAGCCTTTATTCAGTTTCCCTTGGTAACTAGGGGAGAAGGAAGAGAAGTAGCCTGCATTTTTCTGTCTCCTTTCTAAGGGCTCCTGGAGGTTCTCTAACCCATCCCAGGAAGGAACACATGACTTAGAAACCGGCTCAGGACTACCATAGCGCAGGGGTTGGTAGGGTGGTAAGTAAATCTGGCAGGGAAAGGAAGGACACAGTCCAGCATCCTGATGCAAGTCACACATGCTGTCTCCCCCTCTGCCTATACTTTGGGGACAGTGAGTCCTCATGTGTGTAGTAAGGCACATGTTGGGTACTATTGGGACAGACAGGCAGTTAGACATCTCTGTTCAGATTATTCAGAAGTCAGGGATCAGGTTAAAAAGAAAAAAGCAGACTCACAAACAAATATATGAATGATGTACCTGGTAGAAACGAGCAAAGGCCTGACTTCAGAACAGAAATAGCTACAAGCAAAGTTAGAATCGGGAGGGGGGTGGGAAGGTACATTGTGGAAGGAGGGAGGTAGTAGCAGGAAGCTGGGGTCTGCAGTTAACAGCAGTTTTTCTAGAGGCTGTGAGCCTCAGGAGGGATTTGGGAGGATGATTTTGGCTTGAAAGTGAGGGCTGGGGACAACATACCTGGGCTGGAGGAGCAGGCGTCTTGCAGAGTTACATGGGTAGTCGGGGGCAGAAGGGTGTATCAAGGTGTCCAGCTGGAGGATGGGTTCGAAGGCCATGCACATCTATCCCAACTGAACTCAGTCTGAATTATGTGCAAAACACTTCAAGAAATGCAGCCATGATTAAGGCAGTAGCTAGACAGTGGCTGGAGCATTCAAGCTGGGCATCCATTCTTGAATGTTGTTAAGGAAGAAGGAAGAGGGTGAGACTAATAGACTAGGTGGGTGAAAGTCAGTACACAGAGAAAGACTGACACAGTGCTGGGATTCGGTCCTTTACAGGAAGGAAAGAATCCCTCTGGCTGTGGGCAGGAACTTGGGAGGGCATTCATTTTGGAGGGAACAAGATGAGCCAGGGCAAAGGGGTGAGAAAGTATGGGGATGTGATGGAAAACAGCTAGTAGTCCAGTCTGGCTGAAATAACAATAGTAATAACTGAGCAGTAAGTACCTGGAGGCACTGGGCAGGGATGTGTGTGTAGGAGGGCTTGGAGGCTACGAGAGAAGTTTGTGAGAGTAAGCTAACAGATACAGAGGGGTTCCCTCTACCTGTGAGTGAGCTCTGGCACAAGGGAAGGAATACAATAGGGAGTCAGATGCTAACTAGTACAAGTAGCAACGGGCAGTAAGGCCTAAGCTGTGATGTAGGGAACAAGAAATCTGTGGTCGGAAGTTCATCTTTAGGATGGCTAAGCCCTTTTAAGCCACTGTGAACTCTTGCTTCTAACCCGGGACTGCCTCGATTTCCCCTTGTGCAGACTGTTGGGGTTCCTAGAATTGAGGGAGCAGGATGGGCTTGGAAGGAAACTCTTGCCTGGTTTCCAGGGGACCTCACACTGCAGGCAAGCCCCTGCTCCTGGGTCAGGGACCTCTCCATGTCCCAGGAGCTTTCTGACCCAGCAGATTGCTGGAGGCTGCCCTGGCTGATAGGCTAGGCCAGGAAGCACAATGGGGAGGTCCTCAGTCCTGACCCCTGAATCTGACCTTCTCTCCAGCCTAAAGGGGGTGAACGGAGGCTGTGCAAAGCCATCCCTGAACTGAGTTTATTAGCTGAGGGAGGGCTGGAGGCGGCTGCATTCCGGCTCACAGACTGGAACATTTCTGTGATCCGCTGTAATGCACTGGGGGACACTGGGCACATTGCTGAAGTTTGACTCATAGGGACCGGGAGGGGGAAAGAAGGGGGGTGTGTGGAGGCAGAGGAATGGGAGGAAGAGAGGAAGAGGAGAGGAGGGAAGGAAATCCCTTGAGAAATTTCCTTAAAAAAAAAGAAAACTTTCAAAATCTGCACCACCCCCATCCCCTTTTTCTTTTAATAGGAACAGGCTGGACCCTTCTGTTCCCCTCGGGCAGGCGGGGAGGGGGGGTGCCAGTGGGGAAGGGCTGGGCAGTTATTCAAATCAGATCCTGGAACTTTCCTGAGGCGAGTGGTGTGCGTGTGTGTGTGTGTGTGTGTGTGTGTGTGTGTGTCCGTCCGTCTGGGATCCTCGCATGGGACCTCGCATGGGACCTTGCATGGGACTTCAGGCGTGCCCAGCCGTCCTTCGGTGTGGCTATTCGCTTGTGAACTGTGTGTGTATATGTAGGTGTGTGCACAGAGGTCCTTCCCCGAAGCGTGTCTGTGTAAATGATCCTGCCCCTGTGTAAACATGGATGCACGCTCGTGTACGTTGTGTGTGCAAGGGTGCCTGCGCTCAGGTATCTGGGTTTCCGGGAATTGTGCGCGGTTCCGAGCGCCGCGCGGCGGTTGTGGCTCGGCGGCTACGCGAGGGGCGGGCAGCGCACCACGTTCCGGGTTCGGCTCGGCGTCCCGGGCGACCGGTCGGCCGCGCTCGAGTTGGCGGCGTCTGCCGGGGTGGTGTGTCCCCGAGCCCGAGCGCCTGCCCCTCCTCCCCTCCCCCTTGGCCCGCTCTCAGACTCAGATAAAGCATTTCCTTCCATTGTCATCCTACCCGGCCGGCCGGGCTGCCAGGGCCCTCCCCCTCCCGGCCCCCTCCCTTCCTCTCGCCGTCTCGCAGTCGCTCCGCAGCCTCCGGCGACTGGGGGGATGTGAGGCCGGCGCCCCAGCCCCCGGCCCCGCCATGAGCCCCCCGCTCTGAGGGCCCTGGCCCCTGGATGCACAGCCCCGGCGCCGGTGAGTACGGCTGGCCACCCCCCGCCCCGCCCCGCCCTGAGCGGCACCCAGCGCCGCCCGCCCGCCCAGGCTCCAGCTCGGGCTCCAGCTCCGGCCCCGCAGCCGGGCCCGGCATGTGCCCCCGGCCGAGCCCACCCCGCGCGCCTCGGCGGGGCTCTGGCCAGCTCCCTGCCCGGGCCGGTTCCGGGGCTGAAGGGCTCGGGCCTCCCGCGGGGCGCCCACATCCGCCCGCTCCGGGGCAGCGACAGGCCCGAGGGAGGGAGTCGGAGGCCGCGGGCTGTGGTGCAGGGCCCGGCGTTCCATCACCCGAGTTCCCGGGAGGACGAACCGGGCCCTGGGGAGGGGGCGGTGCTCGGGAGCAGAAGGTTTGGAAGCGTGGGGGACAGGGCAAGACCCACAGAGTTGGGGCCGGCTCAGCGGGGCTGGACGTCAGCAGCGGAGCAGGGCCCTCTTCTGGTCCCTCCGCGAGGGGAAGCGTTGCGCTGGCGGAGTCCTGGGCTGGGAAATGTCTGTGCGCATCGCCCCTGGCTCTTGCTCGCTCCTGAGGGCGAGAAGACACCTGTGCCCGAGTGAGCTGTGGAGAGCAGTGCTGTGGGGGCGCGGAGAGGTGGGACCGAAGGCTGTGCAGAGCGGACTAGGGAACTGGATGTGTGCCCTCGCCGGGCCCGATTTCTGTTGCTGCTGCAGGGGAGGGCAGGGCAAGTCTGGCAGCTAAGCTGGTATCCCACTACCAGAGTTTCTAGGCCTGCAGGTTGGAGAGAGCCCTGCAGGGCCCGCAGGCCACTGAGGGCCCTCCATCCCCCTTTCTTCCCCTCTGGCTGCCCTTTTGGGCCATCCTTCGCTGCTCCTCGCTCATTCCTTGTCCTGCTGGCTGTTGGGCGTCTTGCCACCCCTTCCCATGCCCCTGTTTGGCATCTGATGCCTAGCTCTCCTCCAGTGTATAGAGTGAGAGTGGAGCGTTGGTGCTCAGCAGCCCCGAGGCAGTTCAGCGTCTGTCTGGTCTCATCAGCCTGTTCTGCAGACTTACATCTGAACCCACAGGCACCTTCATCCAGATAAGGCAGGAGACTGTGACCTGGGTTCCTACCGTTTTAAGGGGTACTTTGGTGATCCATTTCTCCCCAATAGCTTCCTAGAGGTTTGTTTCCAGACATACCTCTCTCCTTGTAATTTATATCCCCCCCCCTTACTGGATCGAACTCAGGACCTTGTGCTTGCCAGGCAGGTGTGGTGTCCCTGAGCTAAATCCCTGGCCCTACTTTATATACCTTCTTATACACTATCTTCCCAGGCCCTTCTCCAGCTTCTGCAAACCGTCTCTTTTCTCCTCATCCCTCTCCGCTTTCCCTGCTCTTTACCCACCTCAGTTACTAGGTACTTTTCTTCTGTGCAATCACTGCTGAGGGAAACTGAGGCACCCAGCAGTCCCAGTGTGTGTTACCCAGTGAACTGAGACTGGACCAAGTCCTGGATCCACTGAGATGTCCATCTCTTCCTAGCAGGGCAGGAGCAGAGTCAAGCTCAGAGCTACCCCTTGGCATTGTACCTGGAATAGTTGGGGGGTAGTGTTCCCTTGAGGCCACTGTCCCTTAGTTCAGCTACTGGATGGGTGTCTCTCTGGCCACCAGGGCTTACCCTGGGATCCTGAGGCAGGGAAGGTTGCATTTCTAAGCTGTCCACTCCACTTTGACACTGAAGCTCAGTTTCCCCAATGCAGAAATGAGAAAAATCCAAATGCATTTCCCAGGGCACAGAGCAGGAGGGGCTGGCCATAAAGAGAAAATTCAGTGTCCAGTGGGGGACTCTTATGTGCCCCCACTTAGGGATAATAGACCTCAGCTTTAGTCTTGGTGGCTTTTGGGCACAAGAGTTGGAACTTTCTCAGCTCTGATATAAAACCCTTGGGTAAATGGAAGCTTATATGTGATGGGGTGGGGAATGGGAACCTCCTGCAGCTGTGAGCATTATTGCCCAGAACCTGGAGAACACAAGCCTCTGTAGCTCCACCTTCCCTTTGTCTTCCTTCTCTTGGCCTTTAAGAGCAGATAGTTTTGAAGTTGGCAGGAGCCTGAGAGGAGATGAGCTAATGCAAGGCCAGGTTGCCCAGCCAGGGAATGGCAGTCCAAGTGGGGCCAGGACCAGGCCTTGTGCCTCTGGCAGTACCCATTCTCCTGGCCCGGGCCTATCCCTAGTCACATATGGGCCGGTGCCTCCAGTGGCGTGTGGGTTGTTGCTGGAAGGAGGGCCTGAGTAAGGGCTGAGGTCTAGGGAAGGCATCTGTGCCCTGGAGGCTCAGGCTCCCAGGACTGTGTGTGTGTGTGTGTTGGATGTGTTCACTAGATGGGCACTTCCTCTGGGGCAGGAAGCTTTGATTTCCTGTGGTGGGGGGTTGGTAGAGATTAGTAGTGGGGGGCACAGCTCTGGGCCATCCTTGACGTTGTTTGGGGGACAGAGTTTCTGCTTGAAGCTGCTCCCCACCCTCACCCCTGCCCAGGAGAAGCAGGAAAGAGGGTGCTGGCCAGGAGTCCAGGACTGAGGCTGGAGAAGGAGGCTATGAGGCCATTGAGATGGGGGTGGGCAACACAGCAGGAAGCCCGGTCAGCAGGTGACCCTGCCGGGTATTGTGTTTCCTTATAATATTTTCCCTGTTTCTGTGGAAACCATCCCTGAGGGCCCTAGGCCTTAGGGCTGCAGGAAGGTACCCCCAGACAGCTCTTTCCTCAGAGGCCTGCATATTAGGAGGAGCCCCAAGATCTAACCACCTTTGAATCCTTCTGGCCCCCTAGGACGAGGTTCTGGGAATTCAGGCCAGTGGCCTGAGCAAGCCCTGACTTGGGGGATTGGGTGGAGGCCCTCAGGCATCTCCTGGGGAGCCCGAGAAGAGAGGGGGTGCTGGACTTTGGGGAGAGCTCCAAGCAGTTTGAGTCACTAGCCTCATTCTACTGCCTGCTCCAGGCTCAGCAGGGGAGCTGGACTGTGGGCTGCCTGAGTGAGGTAGGGTAGGAGTGGCAGAGGCGGGAGGGATGTTTTCATCAGCAGAGCATAGCTCCTTGGGTCCTGGACTAGTTCCCAGGGGCAAAATAAATTCAGGATAGCATCTGTTTAGTGTGGGTCTCCATGTGGCGGGTGTGCGATGGGTGTCTGTGTGTTTGCGCCAGGCTGGGTATGTTTTGGTGGCTCTGTGGCAATTTGTGAACCATGTGGTGGCTCTGTCTTGGGTGTTTTGGGGGTGTGGACGCATACAGTATAGATGTGCATCATCTGGATAGTGGACACCTCTGCAGTTTATGGGTCTGTGAGGGGTATATGAAGTGAGTGTTTGGGGAGTTGTTTACCTGTGCAGCAGTGGTTTTTTTTTTTGAGACAGGGTCTCACTGTTGTAGTTCAGGCTGACCTTGAACTCACCGTGTAAACCAGGCTGGCCTCAAACTTGAGGCGATCTTCCTGCCTCAGCCTCCAGGGTGCTGGGATTACCGGTGTGCGCCACCATGCCCAGTTTAACAGTGGCTTTTTTTTCTTTTGGTGCCGGGGATTGAACTTGGGTCCTTGCGCTTGCGCAGCAGGCGGCGAAACCACTGAGCTATAAATCCCCAGCCCAACAGTGACTTTTTAATAGAAGTCCAGATATTGGTCTGTAAAGTGCCATCTCTTACACTGTCCTTAAATGCTAGTTCTTAGAGCTTTTGTTTTACAGTAACATGGGGAATGTGTTACAAACATCCTCAGGCCCTATTCCTTTTCTGTTGTCAGAAACTGCCTACAAATTTTTCTGTGGTGCTGGGGATTGAATCCAGGGCCTTCATACTGAACTACAACCCTAGTCCCTTCTGGTTTTTTGAGACAGGGTCTCACTAAGTTGCTACATTGTCCAGGGTGGACTTTAATTTGTAATTCTGCCTCGGCCTCCTGCAGGCCTGCACCACCGCACTCAGCTAGGAACTTGGATTTTAACTTGCACTCAGGTGATTCTCCTACAAAGCTGTGTTTGACAAACGCCTGTCTGGGCTATCATCTTCATTTTTTGTTTTTATTTGAAGAAACTGAAACCTGCAGAAGGTATGTTGTTTGCCCAAAGTCACAGAGCTATTAAGAAGCACTCTCTGGGTTTGGTGACACATGCCTGTAATCCTAGCCCTCTTGGCGGCTGAGGCAGGAAGATCACAATTTTGAACCTGACCTGGGCAACTTTTTTTTTTTTTTTGGTACCGGGGAGTGAACTTGGGTCCTTGCGCTTACAAGGCAGGCAGCGGAACCACTGAGCTAAATCCCCGGCCCTGACCTGGGCAACTTAATGAGACCCTTTCTCAAAATAAAAAATGGCCTGGGGATACAGTGCAGTGTGAATAGCCTAGGTTCGAGTCCTCAGTATTCAAAACAAAACAAAACAAAAATAAGGAGGAACCGGGACACAACATAAGCCTTCCAAGACCTGTCCAGGCAGGATTTAGTCCTCACACTTGGAGCCTCCGTGAGTATGTGCTTGCGTCGTGCACACAGTGTGACAAAGGGGGCCAGACTGGGCTAGTGTAGATGCTGATCTTCATAGGAGCTGGCCTTCCTTCTGAGGTCCCTGCCTTTGTGACCTTGTTCTTGTTGTATCCTGCTTCCTACACCTTAGGCAGAATCCTGGAGCTGTTGAGCATCAACTCTAAAGGTCAGTGTTGGCACCAGGGGACCTCATGCACCAAGCTGGCCATTCGGCACTGCATCCATTCATTGGGTGCTTGCTGAGCATGTTGTGTACTACTTATTGGGCACAGATATGCAGTGAACACAGATGTACAACATCTGACCTCAGGGAACTTCCACTCCAGTGGAGGAGACAAACAGGAACAAGTTAGCAAGTAAAGGAATGGGTCTATGTGACTAGTTATGCATTGTGATGAGCCCTGTGAAGGAAATTAACCGGGTGCAACAATAAAAAATAACAAATTGGAACTTCCTTAGATAGGTAGGCCTTGGGAGGCCTGCTGAGAAGGTAACATTGATGCCTTCCCTCACCTCGCCAGATAGCCTGCTGAGTCATGGTTGGAAACTATCTGGAACTGGGTAGGAGGTCTGGGCCCAGCTGGGCTGAGGATGAAAGCTGAATTACTAGCCTCTCCTGGCATGACGGTAGCAGAATCTCCTCTCCTCAAGTAGCCCCCAAAGGTTGGCAAGTGGAGAGGGAAGCACAGAGAGCTGAATGGGCCCCAAATCAAGGCTGCTCCGTTGCTTGGAGGTTGAGTCCTGGGCCCTGCAGCCGTATTGAGTGCTGGGAAGGAGGCAGCTTCTGTCTAGGGGCTCCAAGCACCACCCCATTCCTGATTCTCCTGCTTCACCTTCTCCCCTTCTTTCCCATTTCTCCACCGGGCAGCACTGGGCTAAGTTCCTGCCCTCTGGGTCTAGCTTGGCTGCCTCTGTGACTAGTGGGATTTATTTGCCTGGATCAGCAATCACCAAGGAGAAAGGGGGTGGAGTCTTAGAGAGGATCTGGGCCCCAGGAAAGAGGACAGAGCCATCAAAAAAGGGCTGGGACAGGGGACAGAGCTCAAGAGAGGCCTGAGGTTGGCCTAGCAGGGCCCAGGACAGAAGAGGGCATGGAGAAGACCTGAGCCTGGATGGCGCTTTGTCTGGGCTACGCAGCTCTCCTGGGCCTTTGGTGTCTGCTCCCCAGACTGGGTGGCTCTCAGACCAGTGAGGCTGAGGGGAATGGTTCAAACCACCTGCTCTTTGTCCACTGAAAGAAATGCCCCTTGGGGTCCATCTGCAGCCCAGCCCCATCTCTCTCAGGGAGTTGATTTTCACATCAGCACCTTGAGCACAGGGTTCCTGCTGTAGGCTGGCAGCCTTCAGATCTCTCACCTCCAGCCTCTCCTCTGTCAAAGGTTGTCCCTGGGAGAGGCCCCGAGCTTCTATGCAAGAAGGTGCAGCCCTTTCCTTAAGGACCTGAGGATTCGAGGAACCTCAAGTAAGAGAAGAGGGTCTGATTGCCTGCATCTCTTACTGCCAAGGCCTTGGTCCTTCTACCTGGGCCTCTTCTGGCTACTCCTGCCCACCGGAGACCCGATGCTTCCCAGACCTTCCCTGCCAGAGCTGCACGGCAGGTTCCTAATGAGGGGGTGCTGGGCTGCAGTCAGTGTCCCCACCCTGTTGCCACGCCACTTCCTTTTGCCCCATGTTGCCCGCAGGGGTGGGAAACCCTGGTGCTCAAAAGTCCTGGGCCAGCCTCACAAGCGGGGGTAATGAAGGGACCCCATTTCCTTGCCTGTAGAACTCTTCTCACACTCTGGCTCTTGAGTTGGCCTCCAGCCTGAGAAGTACCCCCCACCCCCACCCCCACCCCCCGCCCCAGTCTCCAGGATGGCAGGAGGAGCAGGGCAAGCTGGGAGTCACAGGTTCGGAAAGAGTCCGGGGTGGGGGAATTTGGTAACGGGGTTGTAACCGGCTTGTTTTGCTTGCCACACGAACCTGGGCCGGCCAAACGTTCGGGGCGTCCGCTGTCCCCTCCGGGGCATTCAGGTTGTAGAACTGCTCTCAGAATGACGGACTGGTGGCACCCAGTTAGGGGAGGGGGGTGGGGGTGAAGCGGGGAGCCCCAAGCAAGGGGGAGCTACAGGGTTAAAAATAGCAACAGCCGGGTTTCGGTTAGCAAATGTGGAGGCGGGGAGCTGGAGGCGGGGCAGCGGTGCAAACAGGGCTGTGCTTCCCCTGGGTCCCTGGAGTGAGTCACCGTGGGGACGCTGATGAGGCACAGCACCACCCCGGTGGCCAGGCTGCACGGGCTTTGGTCCCCAGGGGTCCAGAGCTAAAGGAGGTTGTGACCCTTCCTTACAAGCCTTTACCACCGTCTTGAGAATTGGGCCAGGGGAGTGTGTGATTGGAGGAAAGAGGTGTGAGCTGGGTTTGAATTCCAGCTGAATGACTGTGGGACATTTCTGCACCGGTGGTGAGGGCTCCAAGTGTCCCTTTCCTTGCCTTTTTGGGGATTTTTTTTCTCACTTGAAAATGTAAACATTTGATGGATTCCCTGCAGATGCTAGCTATCACACATAAGACCCACTGTACCCATTCCTGTAAGGACACAAGAAAGAAGAATGGATAACCCTGACAGAATTCTTGTTTCTCCAAACAGCTAAGTGTGACCTTTGGGTACTTTCCTCCCTGTGTCTCAGTTTCTTCATCTATAATAGGAATGTAATTATAGTTTCAATCTCAAGGAGTTGCTATAAAAATTAAAGGAGATAATGGAAGTAAAATTAGCTCTGTGCTGGTATAAAATCAGTGCAGTGTATACTCATCGTTATTATCGATGTTATTGTTCATGTTTTTGAAGGTCAGGGATAGGGAATGTTGAAGATATGAACAACAGAAACTGGGCCCAAACCCAGTTCACAGAAAAACCAGGCCAAATTCCCTGCTCCAGATTTCTGCACTCATAAGGGCCTGGAACAGCAGGAGTCTCTAGCCAGAAGATGCAGGGTGGACCGCTACTTCTTTCGTTCACTCCCTTCCCAGTGAGGCAGGGTGAGGGGGGACCCCAGGCCTTGAAGCCAGCTGGCACTCTGGGGACAACCATGTTGGCCTAGGGAGGGATGAGGACAGGCCACCCCGATGGCCCTGCTGTGGAGTACCTTGCCACCATCTGCTTCAGTGACCTTTGTTTTAGCTCCTCCCTGGAAGTTCTTAAGAGGAACATGAAGCAGAGGATGGTGGGCAGGTCCGTGATGTCAGCTGTGAGTATTCCCAGCACAACAGCCCTGGAAGAGGCGTGAAGCATTTCTTTCAGGAAATGATCAGTATTTAGCCAACAGGCGTTCATTAAGGCCTGACTTTATTCCTAGCCTGGGCTAGACCCTCAGGGTGATTCCAGAGAGGCAGAGGATGCTAGTAGGTTGTAGATAATGCAGAGCTTCAGAGAATTCGAACTTCAGAGAACAAGGGGTCTGAGAATATGTGGAGGTGGTGAAAGCCCCATGGCCTAGTTCTCACGGGAACCTGAAGTTGTCTTGACTCTGCTGCATGGCTGTGCCGTCTTCATTTGTGTGTGTGCATGTGTGTGCTCGCATGCGTGTGTACACTGCACAGGCACTTTATGTGCACTGTTGATAACAGACAATACAGAGAAGTAAACATTAAGAAATAAAAAGCATCCCAGACTGCAGTCAGAGATCACTGCTGTAACCCTTAGTACACACTTTCCAATTTTCTTTTGTGCCTTTTTAGGTTGCCTTTGTACCAAAATGAGATCACTCTGCACATACTGCTTTATCAGCGATTTCCACCTTTCATTTCAATAAAGGTCTTCTCGTTGAGTCCCCAGTTAGCCAGAAATTGTCCTTACAGCTAGTCTAGATTGGTGCCTAGGACCATGTATCTGTCTCTTGGATTTCCTGAAGGCCATGTAAATGACACTGCTGACTCAGTGTCAAGGGCAGTCCAATTGCAGAAGGGAATTGGGACACCTGGTGAATCTGTCCGATAGACAATAGGCTAAAACAAATAGGCTTCCAAAAACAATAGGCTAAAGGAGGGGATACTAAGGAATGATGGGTTGGGGACTTCCGGGGAATGTGCTGTCATTAATATTAATGTGGCATTGCTATGAGTGCCATCATGGGCTGGTATTCAGATCCCTCAGTTTGCTTAGTTCTTATGAGTACTCATCCCTAGGCTAGGGTCTGCACAGTGGCCTTGCCTGCCCTCTACCCAGGTGAGGGTGCCAGTGGTATCTGGTTGTGACTTCATCCCCAGGAGTCTACCCTGAGGGTGGTTGTCCCTTCTGCACTAGTGGGTACTTCTGTTCCTCCCACCTGCCCAACGCCTGCCAAGTGTGAGGCCTTCAAGTGAGAGAGACAGGCCATCTCCTTCCAAGGGAATTCACTCCCACTGGAGGGTGACTTGCTTCGGTTATGCAACTCAAATTTTCTACAGGGCCTGACAGTTTCCAGAGTTGCTCGCGCAGCATGTGATCCTCCAAGGCAGCCCTGGGAGGTCTGCTTGTTTAGTTATACCCTGCTGGAGGCAGCTTACAGGAAACACCATGAAATAGTAAAATGCACATTTAATAAGTAGAGAAACTATAAGATGAAGAAGGAAGTGAAGATGAGGGGGTGCCTCCCGGAGACAAACGGCCTGTGAGGGACACAGGCTGAGATTATAATCTCTGTTTTTGTTGTTGTTGATGTGTTTTGGATGGAGCACAGTACCCTTTGTGGGAACATGCTGTCACTGGGAGTCACACCCTGGAACTATGCTGTCTCCAGTGTCCCCTGTAGAAGTCTCACCTCACCACCTACTAGGAGGCGCTTGGACGGTATCCCCAGGCACCATCCCAGTGACCTGGGCAAGTGTTTTTTTGCCATGCTAAGGATCAAATCTAGGGGCTCCTGCATGCTGGGGAAGCAGTCTACTACTGAGCTACACTCCAGGCCTCTGCAGGTTTCTTAACCTATCTGAGCTTCAGTTTCCTCCTTTGTGAAATGAGAGTAATAATGATCTACCTTATAGGGCTGCTGTGAGGACTGTGTGAGATAGTTCACCAGTGAAACAGCCCGGTGACCGCTACACTGCTAGCATTAAGACATAGTTATTATTACTAATATTATTCATTAATAATTAGAACAACATAATAATTATTAATATTAGAACTTGGAAGTTTCCCTGGCAGTCCCGGGAATGGGCAGAGAAGCCTTTGGCTGGCACAGGCAGGAGTTGCTGAGGGAGCACAGCCCGGGCTCAGCATGCAGCTGAGGGAGATGGCCCTGTGGTGAGGAGTGGGGAGCACAGGGAGGCCAAGCAGGGGAGCGAGGGAACATTTGTGAGACTTCAGAGGGGAGAAGGAGCTGCCCTGAGAGGCAGCCCTGGGGCAGTGACTGTGCTTCCTGTTGGGGCAAGCACTCGAGAAAGACTGGCTGGGACTGGCTGCTAAGAGGGAGCAGCTGGTCTAAGTGGGGCACCAAGCGGGGTGGCGGAGGGGGGCGAAGGCAGCAGCAGGCAGGACCCTGACGCTTATTCGAATGTCACAGATGGTCCTCAGCTCTTGCCTACTCAGGATGGTTTGCTTAGGATAAGAAAGTGAGTGGTTAGACTTCATGGTGAACTTCCTATCTTAGGGATTAGAGATATTGGAGTAGGGGTGTTGAGAGTGAATGTGGAACTTACGTCTCTGAGGGTTTTCAGGGTGGAATGGACTGGAGGAGCCAGCCTGCTCTGGACTTGCCTAACAGTCAGGGTAGTGCAGAAGCAGACCAAGTTGTAAGGAGGAGGCCTCCGTGATAGGAAGTGGATGCAGGCTCTATACCCCAAGGAAATGGCTGTGCCCTCATTCCAAGCGTGCAGTGGGTGTCCTGGGAGAGCTTCGGAGTGCCCTGAGAGGCCCCAGGAGGTGGTAGGGCCCAAGGGAGCCCTGTAGGACAGCCAGACTGTCCAGAGAGGTCTAGGCCCAGGAACCTTAGCCACCTGCGGCCGTGCCCAGGATCAGCCAGGTTTCTACCAGGATAAGAGGCCAGCTGGGTGAATGGAACAAGCAGCCAGAGGGGGGCGCCTTCCCAGCCCTAGCTCAGGCTGCCACTGCCTTGGCTGCATCTGCTTCCTGTTTGATTCATCTCAAGTGCGTGTGTGTGTGGGGGGCTGGCTCCCAGTGCGAGTCACCTCTGTGTGGGGCTGTTTACAACAGCCGTATGTGGGATTCCCAGAAAGAGACTCCAAACCGGACATCCTGTGGCTGCAAAATACCCAGGTGTCAAGGGCTAAAAATAGCTGCCACCGTGCCCCAGCTGCCACCCGGGAGTGGCAGTGGCCGGGGAAAGGGGCACGCTTACTGTGGAAGAGGCCTCCTCATCCAGCCTCCTGCTCTCTGGGCGCACAGCTGTAGGGCCTCTGGTCCCTTTGCTTCGGGCAGACTGACACCTGCCAGCTGAGCCTCCCCCCCAAGGTGTAGCTGGTCCCTCCACCGCCCAGGGAAACCATGCAGTTTGCTTTGGAACACTCATGAGTCTCAGGGGCACATGGGAGCTTCTAGAGAAAGGACATGGGTGGCTACTGGGAGCAGGAAACGTGGTCCCCTAAGACCCCAGCTTGTTGCCAGAACTTCATCCCCAGCACACAGTCTCAAATCATTTCTTGGTTTCTACCAAATCAGCAGTAGCTGTAAGTGATTCTTCTAGGTTGTCTTCCTGGATGTCCAGAAGATGAAACGGGCAGCTTCTGTCTTCTGGGCTGCAGCAGGGATAGGGATTGCTTCTGGCTCAGGCTCTGAGGGCTCACGAGAGATTTCCATCTCTCCCTGTGTCCTTTGAGGGTCTGTGTTTCTCCTACGCCGGCCAGCCTGAGGGGAGGGGAGTACAGGTGCTTGGGAGAGCATGGAAGCCACTCTGTGCCAAGTAAACTCTGACAGGTTACTTAGTCCTGCTGGGTCTCCGTCTACCCATTTATCTACTTATTTATTTATTTTTTTGTTTTGTTTTGTTTTGGTTTGTTTTTTTTTTTTTTTTTTGGTACCTGGGATCGAACTCTGGACCCTGCGTTTGCATGGCAGGCGCCAGAACCACAGAGCTAAATCCCAGCCCCCATTTATCTATTTATATAACGGAGATAAAAACCTCATAGGTTTGTCCTGAGGGTTAGATAAGTCCGCAAATATAAGGCACTTCGAACAACTCATGTTAGCTTACAGAATTTCAGGTGAAAGAAGGGCAAGAGACTGTAGCTGGGAAAGGGGGAGAAGAGATGGTGGGGGGATGCATCTAGGAGAAAGGGGTGTATGGTAGAGGAGGGAAGGAACAATGGGGCTGGATGGTGAAGGGAGAAAGTTCAGGAGGCAAACAGGAGTAGTTGGCAACTTCAGGGGGCACTTTTGTGTGCTGGGTGCCCCCTACCCGGCTAAGCTCAGCTGGCCTCTGCTGGTTGGTGTTCTTATCTCCTGATTGCCTGTGGGGACAGCTGTGAAATGATGTTTCTGGCTCTTCCTGCCTGATCTCAAAGCCAGGGTCCTCTAAGCTGCAGAGCCTGGCCTCTCTCTGGTCTACCCGGCTTCATGTGGCAGCCCCTTACCCCCTGCGTCTGATAAATCTGAGCAAGAAGCAGTTCTGTGCGATGGAGTGATAGTGAGACTTTCTGGAAGGGAGAACTGAAGAAACTCTTTAAAAACGTAATTCTTGGGAAGTTCTAGGGAGTCCGTAATGAATGAGAAACTTACACTTTTTTTCTTGTAGGTTTTTGGTGGCTCTTGGAATATTTTTAGTATCTGTAGGTGGTGTATTTTTAAATTTTTTTAAAAAAGACTTTGGGCTATATTTGAAACGCCTTCAAAGTGAAAACCAAGTCTCATTCAAACTTCCGTCTCCTCAGCCCCAAGTTCAGTCAGCTCCTGTGGAGGTGGTGAGCACCTGCATTACCCTGGCCTGGCAGATCTGGCTCAGCCCTGACACCTTGGCCTCACTCTTTCCTCCTCTGCTAAGTGAGAGGCTTGCCCAGTGAGAGGCTTGAGGAGTCATCTCTTAACACCCCATCAGCTCTTCTCAGGTTCCATGAGTGACTCGCCGGGAGGAAGAGCTCTTCCCCCAGGCTCAGCCCCCCTTGCTCTGCATTGTTTCAGAGGCCTGGCACACTGGCAACCACAATGTTCTCTTGTTCATCCTTGGGTCTTCCCGAAGCCACGTCATCTTCCCTGCTAGCCCCGCTGCCGAGCCAACCTTTGTTCCTCCTGTGTCAGGGTTAGAGAATTGTGACTGCAACCTGGAGTGGGGGCTCGCCCTGAACCCGGACCTGGCCTCCTGCCTGCCTGCTCTCCCCACTGCAGCTGGGGCCCAGCCTTCCTGCTGCTTCCTTTTTGTCTGGTCATGAGATTGGGGAGGTGGGAACAGCCTCAACAAGGACATCAGAGACATCAAGAAGAGGGCATCTGAGTGGCCGTGCTCTTGGGGAAGCCCTGATTCCCAGCCCAGGGCCCGAAGCCTGTGGCAGAGTAGGGGGTCATTGGGGCTCAAGCCTCCAGCCAAGTTGTGCAGCCTGTGGGGGACAAAGTCATACCTACTGGGAAGGTAAACCCAAGGCTGGGGCCTGAGGCAATATAATAGGAGCAGGGGGAGCTCAACTTGTCCCTGACGCTCATGGGGTAGACCTGTGGTGTTTGTGTCCAGTCTGGAGCTCGCTGAGGGGATGGTGGGCCCACAGGGACAAGATTTCTTTTGGATGAGATCAGGTGGTCTGATTTAGGAAAGTGACTTGGCAGGTCCGGGTGTCCCACACCAAGTAAACTGTTTCATAAGCTTGGCTGCTCTTGCTTACATTATGTCTTGTACTTTGTAGGGGCTCTTCGAATTTTTTTTTTTTTTTTAGAGAGGGTCTCGCTATGCAGTTCAGGTTGGCCTTGAATTCGCTCTGTAGCCCAGGCTGGCCTTGATCTCGTGATGATCCTCCGGGCTCAAGCCTCCCAAGTGCTGGGATTACAAGTGTGTGCTACCACACTTGGCTAGAAGTTTTTCAAGAAGTGGAGTGTAGCAGGAATTCCAAGAAGGAGAGACATTTGCTTTGGTCTGATCCCAAATTAGTGGTAACAGCCCTCTGAAGAGACAGTGAAGCTGATGAGAAGAGGGAGCCCCCACATTCAAGCCAGAATGGCCTGCAGGTTTACTTTCTTAAGTTCAGCTACTGACAGATGCCATAAAATACCTTTCCTCCCTCTGGGACACAAAGAGTACTATTTCCAGGTCCTGTCTTGGTTGCTCGGGGTTCCTCTGAATTTGATGGCCCTCAGCACAGAGCCAGGGAGAAGAGTGAGAAGCAGGATTCTTCCAAGTGCTTTTGGAAACAGCTCCCTTGCCAGCAAGCATGCATGCATGTGTGCATGTGCAGCTTTTCTGAACAGAGTTTATGGCAAAGATCACCATTACATTTCTTGTGGGTCTGGTAACATACACCAGAGTTCAGGATCATTAATTTTTCTCCTATCCAGAGAATGCATGGTGTCCAGAAATCTGTGGTTACTAGGAGAGCGAGGGACAGAGGACCTGGCTCTGCTCCAAATCATGAAGGCTGCTGACCAGCCCTGGGGTAGTGTCCTAGAGTGCCGAGAGAGAGTTCCCAGGAGGTTGGGGACTCCAGGTCTGACACAGTCTCTGGAAAATGCACCTGGAGAAAGTCTAGACATCTCTGTGGAGGACCAGTGCTGCAGAAGAAAAAAGAGGTCCTAAGACACCCAGGGTGGGGGTTCTATGTCCTGGGGAAGGGAGTCCCCTTCCCTCTAGTGTGAGTGCTCCTTGGGGCTCACAAACCTTTGGAAATATTCTTGTGATGTCTTAGGCAGGGGGTCAGCTTAGTCATTGTGTTCATTCATCAGTTGCCAACAGGGCATGCTGTGTGCCCAGCAGGTTGTCAGGTGCAGATGGCACCATTCTGGCAAATGACATCATGGGGACACACAGTGTGTGTGTATGGGAAGTGAGGAGAAGAGAGGTCAGGGTGCACCTCAAGGGGGGATAGGCTTAGGGGGATCCTAAAAGATGGTTAGAATTTGAATAAGTGGAGCAGCATGTCCTGATTCAGCTTCCAGCTGAAGTGTGGGTTGCTGGTGTTTGAGGACCAGATGGGAGTCCACTGTGCCTGTGCCTGTGCCTGCCCTGGAAGCATAGGCCCGGAGAGCAGTAACTGCCACCGTAGCATCAAAAACATCCCTTCTGCCCCTGAGGAGCTTCTGGGCTGAGGAGCTACTGTGTGTCTACCAAGTGCCCCTTCAGACAGCCTCTGTCTCTTGACCCTGAGCAGGGATGGCAGGAAGAAAGGTGTCCACCTTGGCAAGGTGCTGTGGGGTTCACCTCTGACCTCCCCTCCTCAAATGTCTTGGAGCTCCCTGGAGTCTTTCTGCTGCTGCCCAGCTTGGGGCTCTACTTTAGGGTTACCTGTGTTTTGAATGGATGGAAGGCCCAGGGTTGGGCTTAGGAGCCTGAGAGAGGTGGCCATTAAAAAAAATCTAGCTCAAAGTTTTCAGAGAAAGAAACTGAGTGAGTCCCTTCTCTGGGACAGCAGAAGCAGCAGGATGGGTACAGTATGAGAAAAGGAGGCTGTGTATTCCATGCCAACCACTTCACAGCTCCCTCCAGATTGGGCCTGACTGGAACCTAGGCTCTCACTGCAGAAACCTCTCCACTCCCTTCTGCTCCTTTCCTGACCTTCCTGAGAGGGTTCAGAGGCCCTGGCTCCCTCGCTAGCTCCCTCCCCAGCTGCAAGTTCCCAGCTCACCTCCCAGGCTGTTTCTTTCCCTTCTGGCTATGGGAGCCTGGTTTGGCTGCCCAGGGAAGATTGTATCTGACTACCTCAGGGAAGGCTGAGGGCATTGCTGGGTGAGTGGGGGCCTCCTTAGGGTCCTGCTGTGGACTTCACCCATGCAGCTGAGACATCTGAGTCCCTCAGTAGTAGGTTGAGGAAGAGGGAGCCGGGGATCCCTCTCAGCCAGGAAGTAGCAGGCAGCCTGTGTGGTGCAGCTGTCTTTCCTTTTGAGCCCCTTCCCTGGCCCCTCTCTGCAACCCTTCACTCTGCCTTTCTTCTCTCTACAGATGGGACTGGGTGACCCTGGCACAGGTAAGAGTCAGGCCTGAGGGAAACGGTGATGAGGGTGGAAGAGGAAGGATAGAAGGGACATAAGAAGGGCAAGACCGAGAAGCAGGGAACCGGCGGATGCACCAGAGAGTGGGAAGTTGGGGCTCCAGGGGTGGGTTGAAGAGTGGGGATAAGAGAGGGATCTCCAGGTCCAGGCCGATCCCAGTGCTAGGAAGCACAGCAGGAGAAGGAAAGATAGGACGCCCCTCTTGTCCTGGTTGGGGTTAGTGAAACAGAAAAGAAAGTAAGAAGCTAATAGTTATGCACAGACCCTGCCCCGAGTCAGGCACTGGCAAGATGTGTTCTTGCTCGTTGACTCGTTCAGTCCTTGTGCTGGCCCAGCAGAGCAGAACGATGCCTTGTGCTGCTCCTGCCTCCCATGAGGTGGATCTCTCCCTGGTCCTCCCTGCTGGCCCCCACATGGGTCCTCTATGAGGCCACCCTGCAGAAGGATTGGAGTGGACATTCTGCTGCTGCTTGGTTTGGGATGTGCCCGCATGACTAGATACGGCCTAGAGGGCTGAGATTACCCCTTCCTTAACTCCAGCCAGTGTCCACTGAGGACCTGCTGAGTGCAGGACACACAGCCTGATGCATTGTCATTCTGGATGGCAGGGAGGAATGGAAGGCTGTGTGTCCTCCTTGCTTCCATCCCAGCTGTCCAAAAACTTTTATAGGCAGGTTAGAGAAACAGGGCACACAAATAAAAGAAAATAGTGGAATATGTGACTGATGCCAAATGAGAGGAAACTGATTCATGAGTTCAGCCATTCATTCAAGAACTATTAATGAGCCTCATCTCTGGGCCAGGGCACCATCCTAGGCATTTTAGGAGGGATACCGAGATTTGTTCATTGATTCCATGTTTATTGGTTGTGTATTGTGTGCCAGACACTATTTGAGGTCTGTGGATAATGAGCAATGGACAAAACCAAGTACCTGCCTGTGGAGCTTCACCCAGATGTGGTGCTATCTACAGAGTGCTTGTCATACCATGGAACAGCCAATATGAAGTCCAAGAGGGAGGGATGTGGGTGCTGGGCTGGTCCAGGAAGAGGGAAGACTGGGGCTGGCTTTTGAGCAGAGGATTGGATTTGGAAAGGTCAAATGTAAGAGTGAGGACATTGTGAACAGAAGCTCAGAGGACAAATGATACATGGGCTCCTGACAGGGTAGAAGCTGACAGCCGAAGTGGCAGGTGTGTGTTCAGATGGAGGAGGCCAAACTGAGACAGGCCAGGTGCAGACCGGATTCCGGAGCCCCCCAAATGCTAGCTCCCTCTGACAGGCATTCGCAGGGTTCCAGGCAGAGACTTTGGTTCTGCTCTGGAGGTGGTGGTGGTGTGGCGGGTAAGGGACAGGCCACTGTTGAAGGGCTGCTCCCTGACTGTGTGTGGCTGAAGCCACTGGCCTCAGACGTGGGTGGGCCACCTTGGGTTTCCCTAAGCCCTGTGTCAGCAGGGGTCACCCCAGGAAGCTAGTACACTAGCACTTGTGAGGACTGAGCCCATTGTGGGGCAGGAGTGTGTGGGCATCGGATACCCAGACTCAACCGGAATGAAGCTCTGGACCCCTGGAATGGCCACACGAACAAGGGTGAGGGCATCCTAGCCATGCACTGTCTACTGAGGCCTTGCCTAGTGTGTGCCCATCCCCTTGGTTCTCTTGGTAGCTGGAGGTTCTTTTAAGTGATGCCTTTAGGGTTACCAGTGTAAATCCCTCTTCCTTTGCCCAGGGAGAAACCCCTTCCACCACTGGTGGGTGACCTGGACAGGCTCCTTCACTATTGAGAGTCAGTTTTCTCATCTGGAGTAATTGAGTAATAATAGCTACCTCCCAGAGCAGTGGGGGAGACGAGCTGAACGGGTTTTGCACACCACAGAGACTGTTAGGATTATGATTAGTAGTGGTTGGTTGGGCCTGGAGGTTGCATTTCCTGAGTCCACAGTGGATGTTTTGCCAGGGTGCCTTTGCAGTCTCCCTCAGCCCCAGGCCCAGGGGACAGCAGTGGCTGCTCCATTGAGGAGCTAGCTGTGCTGGCATGGACCCTGGTCAGGTGGCCGGCCATCAATAGCTGGTGCACCACAGCCTTGGCAGGTTGCCTCTGGTGTGGGTGAGAGGATACTGGGGAAGATGCTCACCAGGTTAGGCACAAGACTAGCTCAGAGGGGCCTGGTGAGCTGAGGAAGCTGCCCTGGGAACAGGCTCTGCAGGCCCATGGTGGCCAGCCAGGGCTGGCTGCGGGATCCAGGCATCTCTTCTGAACCCTAGGACCTCAGAGAGAGCATGTAGGGTAGCCACTGAGAGGGCCTCTGAGGCCCTTTGGGCTAGAGGGTGAACAGAGTGGCTTGCTTGCCCGCCCGGTCACTGCCCATGGGTCCAGCTCCTTAGAGGGCAGCTGGGTAAATCCCCTCCTTCCAGGGGTGCGAAGGGAAGGAGCGGGTAGAACCCAGCACATACCATCACCGTGAGGCTGCCCCAGGCTTGGGGAGGAGCACGTTTAGTGGGAAGGCACTGTGCTTGCAGTTAGTCAGGTGGCTCAGATCGAAGCACAGTGCTGGAGTGAGTATAGATGCAGTTGAACTGAGAGTATCTGCTTGCCCAGTCCCCTGGTACAGGTAAGAGTCAGGCCCGTGGAATCTCCAGTATTGACTTGTGGGACCCTGGTGAGGGTTAAGTGAGGGAAGCGTCCCTTGAGGGTTGAGTCAACCTGAGGAGGCTGATTAGGTTGTGACCAAGTTCCTGCAGACTGGCCTTCCACCTGACCCTGCCCTCTCTCTGTGTCCCCAGGCTGCCCCTCTCCCTGTGCAGACACACCAGGTTCTCAGACCCAGCCCATGGACTTGCGGGTGGGCCAGCGGCCCACAGTGGAGCCCCCACCAGAGGCCCCGCTACTGGCCCTGCAGCACCCCCAGCGCCTGCAACGCCACCTCTTCCTAGCAGGCCTGCAGCAGCAGCAGCGCTCAGCCGAGCCCATGAGGGTAACTACAGAGCTCCCCCCGCCACGTGCACGCACCCCGCAGCCTCCATCCTCTATTCCTGCTGTCTCTGAGCTGTGCCCATCCACCCACAGCTCTCCATGGACCCGCCAATGCCCGAACTGCAGGGCGGGCAGCAGGAGCAAGAGCTGCGACAGCTTCTCAATAAGGACAAGAGCAAGAGAAGTAAGGACATCCCACCTCCATCCATCCCCATCCCCGAGTGTCCACAACTCGCCCCTGGGCCTGGAAGGGTGAGGTGGGAGTGTGAGCCCACTGCAGTGCCCTCTGCGTGCCTGGCTCTGCCTGTGAGCGGAGGTGGGGGTGGTGTACTGAGGTGCCCAGAGGCTTCACAGGCAATGCAGGGCCTCCGGCTTGGCTGTCACCTGAGAACCCCCTGGGTAGGCCGCGGAGTACTGGAGGTGGGGGGGGGCAGTGGGCAGAATGTGCCAGGACCCCACCTGTCCATCTACTCCCAACCCACCCATGGCTCCTGTCCCTGCAGGTGCTGTAGCTAGCAGTGTAGTCAAGCAGAAACTGGCCGAGGTGATCCTGAAGAAACAGCAGGCAGCCCTGGAGAGGACAGTCCACAGCAACAGTCCCAGCATTCCCTACAGGTGGTTCCCTGCCCCTGACTTGTCTCTTGGGTCCCTCCCACAGCCCCTCCTCCCTCCGTACTACCTGGTGAGCACACACACGTCTTTGCCCCCTTCCCCTCTCTACCCCCTGGCCCATCACCCTTCATAGGAACATGATGTGCTCCCAAGAACCCCCCCAACTGACACCTGCTTTCTTTTCTCTGTGAACCCACTTTCCCACCTCACCCAAGGCCCTACCCACACACACACAAACGCACACGCACCACCCTGGCTTTCTTGCACACACACATCTTTTCTCTCCTTGACTCTCCCCCTAAGCACAGAAACATTCTAGCTCTTGCAGCAGGAGATAGAGAGTCCCTCTGGGCCTCTCACCCAAGCACCCAGATTCTGGCTTCCGTGCCTAGATCAGAGCTCTGGGTTGTGGTCGTGGGGCAGCATGGGTGGCCCGCTGCCGCCCCCTGGAGATGGCTCCCATTCCTGCTAGCCCCACACTGCCCAGTCCTGCTGTGCCTGCCTCCCCGGCAGGTCCTGGAGCCCTGGCTTAGGGAGGCCCCCGTGCGGAGTGAGGTTGCTGTGGCCTCAGGCATCCCCCCCTCTGATCACCTTGCCACTCACTCCACAGAACTCTCGAGCCCCTGGACACGGAAGGAGCTGCTCGCTCCATGCTCAGCAGCATTCTGCCTCCCATTCCCAGCTTGCCCAGTGACCCCCCTGAACACTTCCCCTTGCGAAAGACAGGTGAGCTGGACAGAGAGGCGGGGACCCTCCAGGAGACCTAGGTGAAGGGCCTGGGATTTGGGTTGGGAGGAAGGAGGGCGGGCCAGAGGTGCTGAGGCTTCCCTTGCGCTCTGCCATCTCTCACTTGTTACCCACAGGTGACTGGGAGGGAGGGACTGAAGGGCAGAGAGAGAAAGTTGCTGGCATGGGGCCTGAGTAACACTGGGTTCCCACAGCCTCTGAGCCCAACCTGAAGCTGCGCTACAAGCCCAAGAAGTCCCTGGAGCGGAGGAAGAACCCACTGCTCAGGAAGGAGAGTGCCCCATCCAGTCTCCGGCGGCGACCTGCAGAGCCCTTCGGAGGTGAGGGCTAGCAGGGCAGATGGGCTGCCCCGCCCTCCCAAACCCAGCTGCTCCCGTCCCTTCCGCTCAGGCCCCACCCAGACAGGGTCCCTCTTTGGGGCCTCCGTGTGTGTCACACAGGATGTGTTCCACACAAGTGCCAGGAGGGTGAGTGGGGGAAACCCAGCCCATGCCTGGTTGGCTCAGCTGATATTTGCCCAGAAAAGGGGAATCTTTAAAAAATTGCCTCAAGATGCTGCAGCCTTGTAGGGTTGTGGTGGCTGCATCCTCCTCTGCAAGGAGGAAAGCAGCAGGCAAAGATGCCCTGGGGAATCCTGAGCAGGGGCCTGGCCGTACCCGCCTGCCCACCCCAGGCCCCTGACTACCCTCCCTTTCTCCTCACCCCTCAGACTCCTCCCCCAGTAGTAGCAGCACGCCTGCGTCAGGGTGCAGCTCCCCCAATGACAGCGAGCATGGCCCCAACCCTGTCCTGGGCTCCGAGGTAAGGCCTTGCCAGCACAGACTCTTCTAGGCAGCTCTGAAGCTCAGCCTCTTTCCAAAAGAAAGGCCCAACCCAGCCTGGGGCCACAGGGTCTGGGCAGCCCCCACAAGGGCTGTCTGAGTGTTTTGGGGCAGGTGTGCCAGGGGTTAGAGGTCTGGGACCAGTGACCCGTCACCCTGCTCCCTATGGCAGGCGCTCTTGGGCCAGCGGCTGCGGCTGCAGGAGACTTCTCTGGCCCCATTCGCCTTGCCGACAGTGTCCTTGCTGCCCGCAATCACACTGGGGCTGCCCGCCCCCACCAGGGTGAGTGGCTGGGGTGTCCCTCCCTGCTCCGAGCCCCTCAGTCTCCTGCACACCCTGCCCGGTAGCCTCACCCCAGCCCCGCACTGTCCTCTGTTGGAATCTTCTCCCCTGTGACTTCTCCTTGCCTCTCTCCCAGGCTGACGGTGACCGCAGGACCCATCCAGGTCTGGGCCCTCGGGGTCCAGTCCTGGGGAGCCCCCATACTCCCCTCTTCCTGCCCCACGGTCTGGAGCCTGAGCCAGGGGGAACCTTGCCCTCTCGCCTGCAGCCCATTCTCCTCTTGGATCCCTCAGTCTCTCATGCCCCCCTGCTGACTGGTGAGCCCTGCTGCTTCTCGTGGGAAGGGACTGGATCCCCACACCCTCCCAAGGGCCGAGCTTGGGGAGGGACCTGTCCCTCCAGCCCCCATCCTGTGCATCTTCCTGCTGAGCCCTGCATCCCGTACCTTTGTCTCCTCCTGCGGCTCTGCATGATTCTCTCCTCATGCCCCACCCCATTCTTTCCAGTGCCTGGGCTTGGGCCCCTGCCCTTCCACTTTGCCCAGTCCTTACTGGCCACCGAGCGGCTCTCTGGGTCTGGCCTCCACCGGCCTCTGAGCCGGACTCGCTCAGAGCCCCTGCCCCCAAGTGCCACTGCCCCCCCACTGCTGGGCCCCCTGCAGCCCTGCCTGGAGCAGCTCAAACCTCACTTCCAGCTGATCAAGGTGAGAGGAATTGGGTAGGGGAGGTGCCGAAAGGTGTTTAACTAGACTCCAGGAGCTGAAAGAAGAAGGGAGGCTTAGGGAGGGCAGGGACCTGGAAGGGCAAAAGAGAAGTGACTGCTGGAGTCCTAGCAAGATGAGTGGATGCCTGGTGGTCCTCCATCCACCACTACACCCCACCTTGCTCCACTGGGGCTTCTTAGCTGGCTGTCACCCCTCCCCAGAGAACAGCCAAGCCAAGTGAGAAGCCGCGGCTACAGCAGATACCCTCGGCTGAGGACTTGGAGACGGATGGCGGGGGAGCCGGCCAGGTGGTAGATGGAGGCCTGGAACACAGGGAGCCGAGCCATAGGCAGCCTGAAGCCAGGGGCCCTGTTCCTCTCCAGCAACACCAGCAGGTATATAGCTGTGCCTGGGTGCCCCTCAGAGATACCTACAGCCTGGCATTAGATGTGGAAGGGAAAGAGATAGAACATCAATGCCGGAACAGCTCTGGGACCAGTGGTTGCCTCACTGGATCTGTGGTGCCACAGCCACTCCAAGGATGGTTGCAGGCACACAGACACTGGCATGCACCCACACACACCCCTCCATGTGCACACACACGTTTCAGCAGCCTGCCAGTCTCAGGGGGAAGCCATGTCCCTTTTCTAGCAGAGAGGCTGGCCTTGCATGGCACCACGCACACTCCTGCCCTCGCTCTTCTGCCTGTGGCCAGTTGTCTCGCGTCCACGCGTGTGGCTGAGACAAAGCTTGGGCAGGCCAGGCTGCAGTACGTGAGGCAGCGTGCTCACGCTGGGCGGACCAGGCCGTGGTGCTGTAGCAGCTAGGGCTGCTATTATAAGTACCACAGAGGGGTTCCTTGACCAACAGAGAATGACCATCTCTTAGATTTGGGAACTGAAGTCTGAAATCAAGATGTTGGCAGAGGTGGTGCCTTCTCAGGCCTATAAGGGAAAGAGGTGTTCCAAGCCCCTCTGGCTTGTAGATAGTCACCTTCTCCCTGTCCTTACAGGTCTTCCCTCTGCCTCTTGCTGTGTTCAGATTTCCTCTTTTTTTTTTCATACCAGGGATTGAATTCGGGACCTTGTGCTTGCAAGGCAGGCAGCAGAACCACTGAGCTAAATCCCTGGCCCTGAATTTCCTCTTTTTATAAAGACAACAGTCCTGTTGGATTAGGGCCCACCCTAATCACATCATTTTAACTTGGTTCCCTTTGCAAAGACCCTATCTCCAAATAAGGCTACTTTCTGAAGTTCTGGGGGTTAGGACTTTAGCATGTGAGTGTGGGGGGGTCGGGCACTTCCACCTATAACACATGGTAACAGTGCATAATATGTTCAGTGGCTCATACAGGTCCATGTTCTTGGGCATCCTTGGGCATGGGGACATCCTGGTCAGAGTGGACCCAAGGGCCCAGGAGCTCTGGTGGAACTGGGTGGTCAGTCTGGGTTGCAGAGGGCTGCTGGGGGCTCAGAGTCAAAGGCCAGAGCCCGAGTGGGAACCAGGGCTAGGTTCCTCCTGGGATCTCTCTGGGAAGAGCCCCGCCTGGTTCCCAAGACTGTGGGCATGAGCAGATGGAGCAAATCCCGAGGAGACTGAGGCCCTTGCTTTTACTTCCCTCAGGTGTTGCTCCGGGAGCAGCAGCGTCTGGCTGGGCGGCTGCCCCGGGGAAGCTCTGGGGACTCTGTGCTGCTTCCTCTGGCCCAGGTTGGACACCGCCTCTTGTCCAGGACTCAGTCCTCCCCAGCTGCGCCTGCCTCACTGCCGACCCCAGAGCCCACTTGCCAGGCCCGAGTCCTCTCCAGCTCAGAAACCCCCGCCAAAGCCCTGCCCTTCATCACAGGTAAGACCAGGATTAGAGTTGCAGGGGGAGGAGGAGACTCAGGAGTGTGAGTCCACTTCTCCTCATGGGAGCACTGGCCCCTTCTCCGGGGTCTTTTTAGAGATCGTCTTACTGGATTTCCACAGTACCCCATGACAGGGACAGGTGGTTATTGTTTGACAGGCGAGCACGCAGAGGCTCAGGGAACCTAAGGTGGCAAGCCTGTAGTCAAATAGCAAGCTGGCAGTCAGGCTACGGTAGATTTTGAGTCTCTTGCCACTGTGTCCAGCCCTATTTATTTTTTTAAAAAAATTATTACTGTTGCTCTGCTTGTAAAAAGAGGTCAAAAATGTTTCAGAAATTTTGAAAGGTACAGAAGAGCATAAGAATAAAATAAAAATCACCCACCAGGGGCCAGGGATTTAGCTCAATGGTTCCACTTCCTGCCTCGCAAGCGGAAGGACCTGAGTTCAATCCCAGGTACCAAAAAAAAAAAAAAAAAAATCACCAACCAGTATTCCATTGCCCCGAGACCCCTGTTCAGTGCTGCTATGCTTCAGTTCAGTCTGTTCTAGCCACATGCACCCATACAAACAGTATAATCACATGAACTGAGTTTTGTGCCCTGCTTTATTTATTTATCATATCTTGAGCACTTTTTTTGGGGGGTACTGGGGATTTAACTTGGGTCCTTGCACTTGCGCAGCAGGCGGCGGAACCACTGAGCTAAATCCCCGGCCCACTTGAGCGCTTTTTGATATAATTAATCTTTAAAACTGAGATTCTTATGTTTAATCACAGTATTTTATTTTTATTTCGTATTAGCTGGACATTTAGATTGCACCCTGCTTTTCCCCATTTTAACTTCCTTATGCCTGAGTCTTTATTCATGCCTGGGATTATTTCCTGAGGGTCACTCTTAAGGAGTGGCTTTCCCGGGTCAGATGGTGTGAGCATTTTGAAGCTCCTAGGTGTCTTGAGGTGTGCAGATACTGCTCCTCACACAGGAGTGTGCGAAGCCAGTCTCTACAGGGTGCCTGGGGCACCTAACACATAGTCCCTTGGTGCCTGCAGAGTGTTAGTTCCAGCACCCTACCCCCTAACCCCACATGGACACCAAACTCATCAGATGCTCAAGTCCCTTATGTAAAATGGTGTAGAATTTGCTTATAACCTCTGCACATCCTCCTGTGTGTGTGCATGTGTGTGTTGTGTGTGTGTGTGTGTGTGTGCGCGCGCGCGTGTGGTGCTTGACATCAAACCTAGGGCACTGCACATGCCAGGCAAATGCTTTACCATTGAGCTATGCCCCCGGTCCCCACCCATATGCTTTAAATCATCTCTAGATTACTTACGATACCAAATACAATGTAAATGCTACGTATATAGTCATTGCGATGTATTTGTTTAGGGAATAATGACAAGGGGAAAAAAGTCTTTATACATTTAGTACCAATGAAGCTTTTTTCCTGAGTGTTTTTGATTCACAGTTAGGAGAGACAGCTCTAGTCACTGTCCACAGCTCTACTTGTCTTATCACTAGTCCAGTGTCATTGAGGGCTTCCCTGCTCCCAGTTTTGGGGTTCTCTAGGAATTCTGACTCCACCCACTTCCACTTGGTAGCCTCTGGCCTTGTGACACCCAGAGAGAGATGCTGTTGCTGGGCCTCGATCTTGCTCAGGGCACGGGTGAAGTGCTGGCCTTCTGAGCCATCAGTGTGTGGGGCAGATGGTGGCCGCGTGGCAGCCACATTGGCTGGGGCAGTGCTGGTGTGTGCAACAGGCTGAGGGTACCTGGGCAGGCATCCTGGCAGGTGTGAAAAGGAGTGCCAGGCTGGTCTCGTTACAGGCGTAGAATGTGTTGGGGCAAGGGACACGTGCCAGGCCTGGCTCCAGGTGGCTCTCTGTGGGTGTAGCCCTGGTGGGGGTTCCCTGGGGTCCTGCCCTGACCCCTGCCCTGGCAGGGCTGGTCTATGACTCCGTAATGCTGAAGCACCAGTGCTCCTGTGGGGACAACAGCCGGCACCCAGAGCACGCCGGCCGCATCCAGAGCATCTGGTCCCGGCTGCAGGAGCGTGGCCTCCGGAGCCAGTGTGAGGTGAGGGGCAGGGTGGGGCTGTGCCATCAAGGGGTTAGAGCAGTGGAAGGGAAGGTGGAAAGTCCTGGGGCCAGCCGGGGACTGGGGCAGTGGAAGGCAAGGGCAAGCAGGGGCTTAGGAGGTCTGTGGGCACTTGCTTCCTCAGTGTCTCCGGGGCCGGAAGGCCTCCCTAGAGGAGCTGCAGTCCGTGCACTCTGAGCGGCACATGCTCCTCTATGGCACCAACCCACTCAGCCGCCTCAAACTGGACAACGAGAAGCTGTCAGGTAGGGGCTGGGTGGCATCTGGCCCATGCCTCCCAGGGCTCGCCCGTCTCTCCCACCCCTGTGCGCTTTGGCTCAGCCCTGCGCAGCTGGCCCTTCCGTCCTCCTGGACAGCCCCGCTCAAGCTTGCTGCCCTTGTCCCTCTGCTGCCCACGTTCGCCTCCCTGCACTGTTTCTCTCCCACCATACCCACCCAGCCCTCTCCCCAGAACTGCCCTGCCCCTGGCCCGGCCAGAGGCTGAGAGCATCCACACTCATGGGGTCTGGGCCTCTCCCCACAGAGCTCCTGGCACAGCGGATGTTTGTGATGCTGCCCTGTGGTGGGGTTGGGGTAAGTTGCCCAGGGGTCTTCAGCGGGCATTGCCAAGAGCTCTTAGCTCTCCTCCTTTCGGTTCTCCCAGGCCCAGCCCCTGCCTGCCTGTTCTCATGGTTCTCTAGACCAGGCAGGCCAGGGGCTTTCCTGCCATGCCTTCTGCTGGCTGGAAGCTCCTTGTGGACAGGTGTATCCAGGGCCTGTCAGTGTCTCAGTGTGGAGCCCCAAGCCTTGCATTTAGAAGGCGCTTGGGAGATGTTCAGTGAAACTCAAAGAGCAGGGCCAAGACTGGAGCTTGGGATTATGTCCTCCATAATACCCCTGGGGTTGGGCCTTGGCTGTTCCGCGCTGGCCCGCAGGCTGCTTTGCCTGCCCTGGAGTGGGCCTGGTTCCCAGACCTTGGACTGCCTGCCCTGGTGCCATGGTGGTGCTCCCTGTGTCCTCAGAGACTCAGCCATTTCCCTGCCTGGCCTACTGGCCCCCTAGCTTTGTTTCCTCACTCATCACTGGTTGGGGGGTTTGCTGCCCTCTCTGGCACGGCTCTCCCTACCCAAGGAGGTCCCTCCAGGGTACAGGCATGGTGTGTGGAAGCAGGGGATGGAGGCTGAGCTCAGGAGGGAAAGTGGGAGCTCTAGTGGGGGGCTGTTTGGGAGCCAGTCAGTGCCCTGTTCACAACTCCCCATTTCTTGCCACTTTCTGGTTTTTCCAACTGTTGTTGCTTCTGTTTTCTCCTCCCTCCTCTCCCTCTCTGTCCTCTCTTTCTCTCTCTCTCCAGCCTCTTGCGACTCTCTCTGCCTTCTTCGCCTCTCTTGGTCCGCCTCGCCCTCCCCATCTCCCCATCACGCCCCCCGGCCCCTCCCTAGCCTTGAGGCCCAGGGACTGGGTTTGGGGGGCCTCCCAGCCTGGGCTAGGGGCCCTGAGTGGAAGACAGTGGTGCAGACGGCCCCTCCAGCTCCGACCGTCCCGCAGGGCCTGAGCAGACTCAGCTGGGGCTTAAAACCCCCTCCAGGCCCAAACCCCAATCCCGCCCAGGTAACGCCATGCCCCCTCCCCTGACCGGGGAGGCAGGTGTGATGCTGCGGGCAGGTGCTGGCCACAGATGGGCTGGTGCTGGGACTCACACTGGGAAGGAGCAGTCCTGTGGGGCTTGGGGGACAGGAGGCCTTGCCTTTGGGCGGTGGGGCACTGGGGAGGCAGCACCGTCTGCCCAGCTCCCTGCCCCTGGGGTCTGGCCATGGGGTGGGTACTGCCCACTGGGCACTGGCTCCTGTGGGAAGCCTTGGATGATGCGGGCTCTGACTCTGGCCCCCACAGGTGGATACCGACACGATTTGGAATGAGCTACATTCTTCCAATGCAGCCCGTTGGGCTGCTGGCAGTGTCACTGACCTCGCCTTCAAAGTGGCTTCCCGGGAGCTCAAGGTAGGGGTCTGGATTGAAGGCAGGCAGACCATGGAGGGCAGACCCTGAACCTGAACCCTCTCATTCCTCTTAGGTACTGTTATAGGGTTTGGGAGGGGCAATCGAAGACTCTGGGGACCAGGATACGATTTGAGCCCTGGGGATCCAGCTCCTGTGTTCCTGGACCCCTGTTTTCTTAGAAGCACAGGGTCCCCATCATCCAGATCATTTAAGACCTTGTTGGCTGTGGGGAAGCCAGTCTGTCTCTCCAAAGCTCGTGCTGCAGCCGTTGGTTCTTTGCAAGGCTCAGGCACTGTGCAGAGGATTTGTGCCATGGTTGTGCGGTCTGTGTGCTCTGGGCCAGGCACCTTCTGGGGACTTGTCAGAGGCAGTGTTCCTTGCCAGAGCTTTGCACTGTAGAACACAGCCCTTGTTTTAAAATCCTGGCTTCATTGTTCACAAGCAGGCATTTGGGGTCAAGTTGCTAAATCACCTAAACTTTGGATTTCTCATTCGTAGATTGGAGATGAGGGTAGTGCTTGTCCTATGGTGACATTATGAGGATGATAGGCAGCATTTATAAAGTGCTTAGCACAACAGACATATAGTTCTTTTTTTTTTTTTTTTTTTTTGGTTCCGGAGATCCAACTTGGGTCCTTGCACTTGCACAGCAGGTGGCAAAAACACTGAGCTAAATCCCCGGCTCTAGACACATGGTTCTTAGGTAACAGCCAGTATCTGTCACTACCAAGTGATTATAGATAGGACACACCAGAGAGGGGTTCTGTGTGCAAGTCCAGCCTAAAAGCAGTGAAGACCCAGCCTGGGAGCCAAGGGCTGGACACATTCAGACATGCTGGCAGCTGCTACCCTGCACTCCTTCTCCGAGGAGGGGCCTGGAGCTGCGTGCAGGCTCGTGCAGACATGGGTCAAGAGCTGGCTATTAGGTTGACAAGTGTTCTTTTGCTCTCCAGAATGGCTTTGCTGTGGTGCGGCCTCCAGGACATCATGCAGATCATTCCACGGCTATGTAAGGCCTGGGGGAGGCCTGGCTGGGGTGAGGCAGGGCAAGTCCCCAGAGCCTTGCTGTAGGCTGGGCCAAGCCAGGGACCTGGAGGAGAGGAGATTGCAGGTGTAGGGTATGGGGAGGGAATGGGCTGGCAGAACCCTCTCCTTCTCCCAGGGGCTTCTGCTTCTTCAACTCAGTGGCCATTGCCTGCCGGCAGCTGCAACAACAAGGCAAGGCGAACAGGATCCTCATTGTAGACTGGGTAGGTCCTGCTCCCTAGTACCCACAGATCTGAGGGCTCTGTGAAAAGAGCCCTGAAGCTGGTAGTAGCGATATCTCTGCATGCCTTCATTCTGCATTGCCTCCCTGAGCCTCAGTTTCCCCTTGTGCAAAATTTGACAGCACCCACATCACAGGGCTATTGGGAGGCCCAGAGCAGGTGGTGTGTGGGAAGGTCTGACTCTCTAAGGACTCCCACATTTCATTCTGAGCATGGTCTCTTGACTTCTGTTGATAATTTTTGCATTTCCCCTACATACAGGTTCCCAGTGTGAGCTAGTCAATTACTTGGAGCTACTGAACCATGTGGCTCTAAGAACCATAGTTTCTTGCCCTCGGTGTAAGGTCCTGATCCTCAGAATTGTCACCAACCTTGAAACCCTTCTAACATGTCCTGGCATCCATCTCTCTGCTTTTGGATTTTCTCTAATTCACTGCCTCCTACCCTGTGCAGGATGTTCACCATGGCAACGGCACCCAGCAAACCTTTTACCAGGACCCTAGTGTGCTTTACATCTCCCTGCACCGCCACGATGATGGCAACTTCTTCCCCGGCAGTGGGGCTGTGGATGAGGTAATCACAGTGGGTCCACATCTTCCAGCCCTGTTAACTCTCCGACACTCACTCTTGCCTCTACACAAGCTGTGCGATCCTGGGCAAATGGCTTAGTCTCTCCAATCGTGTTTGTCCATCTGGAAGTGGAATGAAAGCTGGATAAACTGGTCTTTCAGCACCAGCACCCTGGGGCTCTGCTCTCCTCACGTCTCTCCTACATCTGCTTTTCCAGGTTGGAGCTGGCAGTGGCGAGGGTTTCAATGTCAATGTGCCCTGGGCTGGAGGCCTAGATCCTCCCATGGGGGATCCAGAATACCTGGCAGCATTCAGGTACGTTCTGAGCCCTCCCCTGCCCCTTTTCTCTAGAGAACCAGGTTGGAGGTGATCAGTGGGCTTGCTAGCCTGTCTTCACCCAGTTACTAGACATGGTAAGCCAGCCTCAAAGGAAGACAGGACACGTAAGAATGGGATTGTTTATAAAGTCACACATGACCAAGAGCCAATGTCAAAGAAAGTGCTGGGAACCCGTCGTGTGGAGTCAGCAGGACTGCCACCTTTAGTCACAGAAGGTTACCTGCAGCAAGGAGGAGAGACTTCAGATGTCCTTAAGTGATGCCCGTATTGGGGAGGTTACTCTGAAAGACGGAGTTCAGACCCTGTACGGAGCCCTTTTCTACTTTGCTCTGGCCCTTGCACTGCATTTGGAAAAGGGAGCCTGGCAGCCAATCTGGAAACGCTTTTCTGGAGATACTCTCCATGAGAGCTAATTGTGCAGGACCCTGGACAAGAGTTCCTGGCATCTGTGTCCAGAACCTAGGGCTTTGTAGAACACCAAAGTGGACCCCAGGGTTGGGTCAAGGCTAGAGAGAAGCACCTGTTGGAGACCTGCAGAGGGAGAGGGTGAGAGGGTGGGACTTGGAGACCCAGGACCTCAGAGGGTCTGGTGAGCCTGGTAAGCTCTTCGGTGGCCAGTGAGGTGAGCCAGCCATATCTAGTCCCTGAGGCTCGGTGGCCAGAGACCAGCTCCGCTGGCTCTCAGGTTGCCCCTTCCCTTCCACTGCCCCCACAGATGCCCCCGCCCGCCCGCACACACAGACACACTCTCCTTTGTCCCCTCTGGTGTCCCATCCTTGGCTTTCTGCTTCTTGGTGGCTAAGTTCCTTGGGTGGCTGAACCCTTATTCTGTGCGTACCGAGGACATGAGTGGCCAGCCAAGGTCAAGGAGGTCAGAGAGGTCCACTAACCCCTGCTGGTCGATTGGGTGGCTTGGAGTCCTAAGAGTAGGGTGTCCTCAGCGAAGTTGCCAGGCACCAGCTGGAGCCGAGAGGGGCTCGGGCCTCTGCCTGGCAGCTCTGCACCACGTACTAGGCCCATTGTGCCGAGTCCTCTCTTCTTGCAACCTTCTAGGATGGTCGTGATGCCCATCGCCCAAGAGTTCTCTCCCGATCTGGTCCTGGTGTCAGCTGGGTTTGATGCTGCCGAGGGTCACCCAGCACCACTGGGTGGCTACCATGTTTCCGCCAAATGTAAGGGGCCCTGGCCCAGGGAGAGGTGTGGGAAATTCGAGCCAGGCGGGGGTGGGGGGGGTGGGCGGGCACCACCGCCGTCTGAGAGGGAAGGCTGAGGTCGCCAGCCCAGGGCTGTGTGAGGACTGGAGCGTGGTAGCTGGCCCTGGAATCCCCGTGGCCTCGACCAGCATAGCCAGGCCAAGGTCACTTCACCACCCCGGGCATAATGAAGTCAGGGCCCTGGGAACTTAGGTCCAACAAGTAGAAGCTCCGCCGTAGAACTCCTCGCCCCAACTGCGTGGTTTCCAGGCTGGTCTGGCCACCCCTCCGGAAAGGAGACAGGGAGAAGCAGCATGCTCTGAACAGTGGACCACTGGGCCTGGGCACAAAGAAGAGGTGGGGGAGCCCAGTGAAAAAGATTACGGTGGAGCCCATGGCCTGGATGCAAGACCCAGGCCCGCCACTTCTAGCTGTGGGGCCTTGTGCATGTTTCTTAACTTCTCTGAGCTTTGAGCAAGGAACACCAGTGGGTTTGGCACGGGGTTCCATGTGAGAGCATGTTGTCTTTGAATTGTGCTTTATAAGGGAGGAAGCAAGCAGGGAAAGCACAGAGCTAGGGATTGGGTCCACCTCTTCCCACCCCCATGCTCCTGTTTCTCCCCATCCAACCTTCTAGGTTTTGGATACATGACACAGCAGCTGATGAACTTGGCAGGAGGTGCAGTGGTGCTGGCCTTGGAGGGTGGCCATGACCTCACAGCCATCTGTGATGCCTCTGAGGCCTGTGTAGCTGCTCTTCTGGGTAACACGGTAAGCTGCTTCCACCTGCCTTCCTTGTTTCTATGGGACAAAGGAGCCTGGCTCTCACAGGACTGCCCCAAGAGTGAGCAGAGGGGATGGGATAGGGCACAGGAATGAGTCGGCACAGGTCAGGTCCATGGCCGGAGTCTCCAGGCCTGGTCACAGCCAGCAGCACATAGCTGTTTGTGTTCAGAAGGCCAAGGTCCTTGGAGGGGAGAGAGCTAGGCCTGCGGTTCTCTGGGGGCAAGGTGACTAATGGACTAATATTTGTAGGTGGATCCCCTTTCAGAAGAAAGCTGGAAACAGAAACCCAACCTCAATGCCATCCGCTCTCTGGAAGCTGTGATCCGGGTCCACAGTGAGTGTGCAGAGAGGTCACCTGCTGGGCCCGCTCGAGGAAGAACCTCAGGGGTCCACTACCCCTAGTGACCAGGTTCCAGGGATTCCCATACCAGGGAATCAGGACCATACCCAGAGACCAGGGCCACTGCTATTGGTCTGGAATAGGATTTCTGTGCATCACCACAGCGGTAATGGTGGGCAGCCCCCCATGACTGGATAACTTGAGTCCTCCAGCTGAGTCCAGTGGACTGGCCACCTACCTCAAGCCACAGCCCTGCACTGGGGACAGGCCAACAGGAAGACTCAGGCCTTGTTTCCCAAAAGGTCTGGTTCCCATTCCTCCCTTCAGTCCTGGCCACAGAGCGCTTGGGAGCTCTGCTTGGTTAGGGGCTGGGTCTTAGAATAATCCCCACATTTGGAAAGCATTCTAAAGTTTCAAATCAACATCATGTCTATTGAGCAAGACCTGTGATCTATGCTAGGGATATAAGAATGAATAAAAGAGATTCCCCACATCAAGAGCCTGGGGGGAGGTGGCCCATGATAGAGCCCTCCCATGTGCCAGGATCTGTGCTGGGATGCTCCAGGCACAGCAATCAGTAGGGTGAGTGCTCCTGTGGTCCAGAGGGGCTGTGCGGGGCACCCATAATGATGCTGTGCCCTGGGGCTGTGTTCTGTCACCTCCATACTCCCCCTTCTTAGCTGGGGGCCTGGGCGCTCGTGAGGGCTGCATGAGACCCTGTGTCCAGCAGGCCAGGGCACAGGGTATGTGTGGTAAGTGTGACAGACCCCACCTAGCAGCAGTGGGCCCTGCTGGCACTCTCAGGATCCCAGCACACATAGGGAGTGCTCAGAGGTGGCCTTTCAGCCAAAGGGGTTGGCGAAAAGGCTCAGGCATCCGCAAAGACACCGCCCCCACCACCACCATAGCCACACTGAACCTGTTCTGCTCACCCTTCAGGGCCGTGAGGTCAGGGTTGTTGCATTGAGGATAAGGCCAGGAAGGAACACCCCAAGCTGAGGACACACTCCTTATTCCTGGGTGGAAGGTGGATGGGCTCGTTCTCCCAAATTCTGACCCAGCTTCTTGCTCCAGGTAAATACTGGGGCTGTATGCAGCACCTGGCCTCCTCGCCGGACCTCTGGGCGCCCAGGGTACCAGGGGCTGATGCAGAAGTAGAGGCTGTCACTGCACTGGCATCCCTCTCTGTGGGCATCCTGCCTGAAGACAGGTAACGGCAGACCCCTCGACCATGCCACAGCCTCTCCACCCCCTGGAATCGTCCCTACTTGAAGAAGCCCCTAAAACCCCTATGCAGCCACCCTGAGCCACTCTGGCTTCATAACCACAGCTGCGAGGGAAGCTCCACCAAGGCCCTGTCTGCAGCATCCCACCCTTGTCCTTCCCTTAGGCCCTCGGAGCAACTGGTGGAAGAGGAAGAACCGATGAATCTCTGAGGCCTTGGAATAGATCAGCCCATCCACCTTGCCCTTCGGACACGGCTCTCTCCAAGCCTCTACCACCAGCCCCACTCCTGGGTCTTCAGAGTTCATGTGGGCAGGTAGTTGGGGGCAGAGAACAGCCTGCCTTAACAGTCACCCCACCCAGGGAGCTTGAGAAGGCTCCTGGGCCTAGGATGGGGAGCAGAGAGGACCCTGAGAGGAGGCAGGCTGGGTACCAGCCCTAGCAAGGCTCATTCAAGAACAGAGGGAGCCCCCTTGGTGTCTGGGCCCCCAGCTGTGGCCTCCATCCCTCAGGACTGCACAGAGGAGGACTGGCTCAGGTGGGCCCATCCTTAACCACTATTCTTGGCTCTGCAGACCCCAGACTTTGCACATAGCCCCAGGCTCCATGCAGTAATGTGAACTTGGCCTCAGCCAGGGTGGCCCTTCCTAGGTGCTGCAGGCTGGCTGGGAGGGCAGGGGGGTTCCCTACTCCTGAGTGCAAGGACAGTCACTCCTTCCGATGCCTCTGGAAGCTTCCTGTGCCACTGGGTACTGAGAGCCCCTCTGAGATGCTGAGAGCCATCACCTGAAGACCTCCCACCTGGTTACTGCCTCCACCAGTGGCCACCTTGTGTCAGCCATCTCAGTTCCCGGTGGAGCAGACAGGTGCTCAGTCCTATGCTTCCTGATCCAATGGTGGCAAACCTTCGTCTCCCCTCAGAAGCCAGCATGACGCCCAGGAATCCCCTCAGTCACTGCCCTCTCTGTGGGCCTTCTCTCTTCTGGGGTCTCTCCACCCCTGCCTCTGTCTCCTACCCCACCTAGGACTCGCTTGGCTGAGGGGAAGAGGGTGGGAGAGTAGACACAGACGTGGGGGAGGGCAGACTGCCCTGGTGAAGTTCTCAAGGCTTTAGGGATCCCTGCCTGGGGCCACGAAGGAAAGTATTGTGTATGTGTGTATGTGTGTGTGTGTGTGTGAACGAGAATGTGTGTCTTCCCCAGGACTCACCATACCTTGTGTATGTATGCATGTTTTTGTAAAAAAGGAAAAAAATGGAAAAAAAATCCGAACAATAAATGTTTTATTTGCTTTAATGTCCTGTGAAAGGGCCTCCTGCATATGAGTGGTGAGCCAGAGGGTGGGCCCACGGCACAAGGCTGAGCAGGGGGACAGGGTTTGGCAGTGCTCGGGGCTCCTCTAGCCCTTGCACTGCTTTGCACGGCTGCCACTCCGAACTCAGTGTTGCTGCCCCACCCTGCTGAGACAAAGAGGGGATAGCCCTGGGCCAAACCCCCAGACGCAGGGCCCTCCTGGGGACACAGGTCAGACCCAGCTTGCCAAGGCCTCCCAAAGGCTCATGCAGCAGACACACCTGGGAGCTCGGCTGAGTCACAACACCTCCTGGAGCCTCTGTTTATCACTAAAAGGCACCAGAATTACACATTGTTTCTGGCTCCTTCCTGCTCGAATGTACTAAGGCTTCTTAAACTTACACTGAGACGCGAAGAGAGAAGGGGAGAGGCCACAAGCTGGGACAAGCCCGTGCTGCATTACCAGAGGGCGGCCCCAGCGCTACCAGCGCCTGCCTTTCTGGCCCCAAGCCCTGAGGAGCCTGGCAAGAGTGGAGGGAAACTGGCCTTTTACCATCTGCCCCAGCCTTGGTGGTGGAGAGCAAACTGCAGGGCCTACTGAGGCTGTGCCTGGGGCATCCTTGCCTAGCTGGGGTGGAGGGATGCTAGGAAGGCTGAGCTGGTGGTTCTCTTGTGCCCAGGTCAGAGTAATAGAGCCCCCAAGCTGGAGATGGTGCTCCTGGCCCTGTCTCCCAGGACACAGCTCTGGAGAACAGTTTTCTCAGGTAGCTAGAGCTATCCTGCCAGCCCCCAGTCACTCCCACAGCACCCCTGGCCCCACTGCCAAGATGCCCACCACAGGAGCCCACCAGAGGCTGTCAGATACAAATGACTGCTGTATTTCTGCTAAAGTGACAGTGACACAGATAAGGCAGAGAACTGGGGCAGGACACATCAGGTGGAAAAGGAGTAAACGTGCAGAATGGCCACCTAACCTAAAAGATACACGTACAAAGAGCTCTTCCTCTGAGGGAGGCGAGCCTGCGGGCCAGTGTGTGGGCAGAAGAGCAGTGAGAAGAGGGCGGCTCGGGCAGAGGGCAGTGAGTAGGGTGGGAGCAGGATGCCAGGGGCAGTGAGGAAGTGCCCATAGGGCTCCTTCGGGGGACAGAGGTGCACAGCCCTTAGTTTCTTCATCTGCAGAACCCTGCTCTGGGCTGTGGACACGTGTGGGACAGCGGAATGGCGGCTAGCCAGAACGCACACTCCCAGGAGTCTAGCTCTGGTGGGAGGGTAGGGGCAGGGGTGCTCAATTGTCCACTCAGCCCCCAGGCCTTGGGGAATGTCACCTTCCACAGACTGATGACATCTGCCCCCACCCTCCCCGCGTACAACAGGTTGGCGGTGCTCAGGACTGGCGGGGGTCTCTAGCAGAGAGTTCTCACTTGACCTGAGCGCCCAGCCTCCCGGCCCAGCCTCAGTCAGGACTGGGGCAGCAGGGAGCAGACCACCTGCTCCTGTGCAGGTCACGGCCTTACCACCCGACTCCTGAGCCCCTTGACTTTGCTGCCCAGGCCCTACTTCACAAAGATTCTTTGCTGAGTGCTAAGAAAATAGATCCATGTGGAGAGGGCTGTAGCTGCCCTCCAGCCAGGCCCATGGGCAACACAGATGGAGCCCCTTTCCACTGCACCCCAAAGGGGACCAGACAGATTCCTGGGAAACCACACCGGTCCTGCTGTGTATCTTCAGTTCTGGGGTCCCCAGGAGCTGGGAGCAGGCTCATTGCATGTTTCAGAGGCTGAGTTCAGGTCCTGAGGGCCCCAGGCCACAGTGACCTTGCTCCCTGGGTCAGAAGTCACTCAGGATGCTGATGTCGGCAAAGTCAGCCCGGTAGCGGTGGGCATAGAGGCTGAGCAGGAAGGCCCACTTGAAGGAAATGAAGCTCCAGACACAGGACAGGTAGTAGCTGGTGGGATCTGTGAAACCTACAGTGAAAGAAGAGCCCCATGGTGACTTGAAGGCCCTGCCCACAGCCAAGCAACAGGCCACCCACCCCACCAATGAATCCCTGCAGAAGAGCTAGAGTGCTGGAGGTTGGAGAACTCCAGGGTGTGCAGGCAGGAGCTGTGGGCATGGCAGAAGGTCAAGGCTGGCCATTTGAAGGTGCGTATCCTCCATGTAGCCTGTGTGACACGTATTCTAGGCCACTTAAAACCTGCTGTTTACGGTCACTACCCATGGGCAGAGGGAAGGGCCTCTAGCTACTTCCTATCACAGCCACTAGAGGACACCCCCTTCCAGAGCTGGGCAGAGACTGAAAGGTACCGATCACTCACTCTGGGACAGCTTGTACAGGCTGCACACTGCCCAACACATCACACTAGTCCCACTGACTCCCCCATCCCAAAGGGCTGGGGGCTGTCATTCTACTCCTTTAACCTAAGAAACCCAAGGATGGGGAAGTTAGGCGAGCTGCCCAGTCTCCAGGCCATCAGCTGAGCACAGGACTGGAATCACCGGGTCCTACGCCCTCCCCACCCTCTGCCGCCCCAGGATGGCACTCACTCTGGTGCTGGGTGATGGCCAACGTGAGGAAGGTGCAGAAGGCAGCAACGGACACGGCCGAGAAGAGCACGCCCACGAAGAAGAAGCCACGCAGCCCCTTGAGCCAGGTCCTCCAGTAATCCTGCATGTACATCACGTGCGTCACCAGGGCCCACAGCGCCAGCACACCTGAGGGGACAGAGCTGTGGGCAGGACCCAGGCTGCCACCTGACATGGTGCAGACCCCTCCTTATCCAGCTTTTTTCAAGTCACCTGGGATCCCAGGGTCCTTCAGGCCCACTGGGCTGTACCTGTTTGCATAATAATACTAGGAGAAGATTACCCTTTGCTGCTCCCATCCCGAGCTTTCTGTGGAGTAGGATGTCAGGACCTGACTTGCCCCGCCCCCCCTTCTTGTGCTCCGTCTCTGCCTCTCAGGACTGGAGGCCACCACCTCCGACTCTCAGGATTTAGCCAAGCTCTTGGGCAGCAGGGCCCTTCCCAAATTCTCTGCATCGGTCTTGCCAGATGAAGAAACTCTGCACCTACATAGCTGTCTTGCTCTTGGCTCAGCTTCATTCCCCTCAGTTTGCAGCAAGGGCAGGCCCAATACTCCAGAGCTTCCCCTGGGCCTGCCCTCTGGGCTCGGGCCGGCACTTCCCCTAGGATGCCAGCTGCTACTCAGCCAATACAATAGAATGCAAAACAATGCTCTGTGTCAGGCAGTGCCTGCTGGTGAGGCCCCAAGACTGGTACAAATATCAGTTCCACTGGCAAGGGTCTGGAGCAGGGCCGCGGGCTCTCAGCAAGGGAGGAATGAGGAAAGAGAAAGCCAGCTGCAAGCTCCCAGCGGCCGGCCCTGGGTGTGGTCCTACAGCTGCCACATCCCAAGTGGCAAGAGACCTTTCCAAAAGGCAGCTGCATGGACTCCATGCACAGGGGCCTCCGAAGGCATGGAGGCCTCCCAAACATGTGCAGGAAGGACAGACATCTGACTGGGAAGGGACAGAAAGCTGGTGGGGGTTGTGTGGGATGCTTTGATGGAATCTGTGCTATTTTTATTTCTTAGGCTGGGCAGTAAGTGTGAGGGCATTAATTAAATTGTCTAGCCTTTTTTACATGCCTGAACTATGTCACAATTTTTTTAAAGTCAGGGAGGAAAAGGGCGGGGGAAACTAGTCATGACACAGCTATGTGCTGGTGACCAGTCCAACTTTCACAATTCGGGCACCCTAGTGAGGGACAAAAACCCATGAGATTACAAACCAGAAAAACTGGCGCCTGGGGCTGCTGTGCCCCACAGTCTTGGTGTTTTTCACATCTACGAATGGGTGATCCCTGAGGTCCTGCCAGTCTGGATAACTGGGGGCCCCAGAGCTTCCCTCATCACCCCGTTTGACCTCATACTTTCTCAGCCTGGTCCCATGTGGTCTCTCCAGTCCCGAGGTGGGAGGTGGCCAGGACAAACACGTCTCCCTCCCGGCCCACCTAGGCAGCGTGCTGGAGCAGGCCAGAGGTGGACAGAATATAATCCCATAGCGTCTGCTTCTGTTGCATCCTACATGATCTAGTCAGCGGTCCCCAACCTTTTTGGCACCAGATGCCAGTTTCAAAGAAGACAATTTTTCCATGGACCAGTGTGTGTGTGTGTGTGTGTGTGTGTGTGTGTGTGTGTGTGTGCAGGGGTTATTGGGATAATTCAAGCGCATTACCTCTATTGTGCACTTTATTACTGTTACATTAGATTCTCATAAGGAGTGCAAACCTAGATGGCTCCAATGGGCAGTTCACAGGAGAGCTGGAAGTCCTGTGAGAATCAGATGCCCTGCTGATCTGATAAGAGGTGGCTCTGAGGAGGCGGAGCTTAGCTGGTAAGGTAAAAGCTGGGGAGTGGCTGTAAATACTAATGAGGCTTTGCTTCCCTACCCAGTAGCTCACCTCAGGCTGTTTTGCCCATTCCTAACAGGCCAAGGACCAGTAAGGGTGTGTGGCCCTAAGGTCAGGGATCCCCACCTAGATTCCATGCCAGCCACCTGTCCTAGAGGTCTTTCCCAGTCATCCTGCAGGCATCTGAAGCTTTTGCTTGGGAGGGTTGTTTGGTTTCTTTTTTGAGGGGTTGGGATGTTGAGAGTTGAACTCAGGGCCTTGATGATGCTAAGCACATATCCACCCCTGAGCTACATTCCCAAGCCTGTTTGGTTTCTTACAGGGCACTAGGGGTGAGGCTTATTGTCACTAACATATTCACAAACAGTCAGATGGGTGCCTATCTGGAACAAGCCTGTTCACCCCCTCTGCCCATGACACTCAGGTGCTGCAGCAGATAAGCTCTAAGATCCTCCTCATTCAGATTCTGAAAGCCAGCTAAGGGGCAAATAAGGAGGTCAGAACCATTCCTCTGTGACTCAGCAATTTGTTTGTCTTGGGGTTTTTTTGGCACTGGGGATCGAACTTGGGACCTTGCACTTGCAAGGCAGGTGCCAGAACCACTGAGCTAAATCCCGGCCCTGTGACTCAGCAATTTGGGGGTTAGGAAATGTTCAAATACGGGCCTGGAAAGATACCATTTCTTAGCCTCTGGCCATGACCCAGGGGTTCCCCCCCAACTCCCACCCTCTCATCTTCCAAAAGGACTGCAAGCAGGAGGAAAAAGAAGATAGACATTTCGAGTGCTTCCAGTCCCCGTTCCTTGTCAATAAGCAGGCACAACTTCGCCCTCCTGGCACCTGCCCCCTACCCTGCTCCAGCCCCTCTACACAGGCCCTCCTCCAGACAAACACATGCCAGTCTGGAGCAGGCTTGTTCCCCCTAGTCTGACTCTCACAACTTTCCTGGGCAGAAACCTCCCTCCAAGTCTCCCCAAGTGGTCACTGAGGGGGTGGCAACCCTCCTTGGTCACCTCCCACATCTTAGGGGGGAGGCAACTGCAACTGCCCCTTGGCCCTGCACCCTTCCCTGGGATGCTCTGGGACTCCAGGAAGTCTGGTCTGCACAGATTGGGGTCCCTAGCCCCACCTTGGTGCGAGCCCATGTCAACCTTACCGTCATTCCATTCCGCCTGCTTTAAGGAGCAGGGCCCCTGTCTGACCTCCGGGCGCACAGGTTGGTTGGTGAACGTGTACCCAGTAGCTTGGCTGGAGGCGAGATGCCCAGGAGAGGCCACAGGCAAACAGAGACAAGAGGGACACAGCCTGGGCTGGGACTCCTCTCCATTTGCACATGCCAATCCTCCCTCGCTGCCCTGGGGAGAAAAGAGCCCCAAACCCTCAAGACTCTGCTCTCTCACAGCTCAGGTGGAAAGGACATGGAGCTGTTTAAACTCCTGGGCAACTTTTCTACTCTTTTTCTCTTGCCTTGATCTATGAGACCCAGAGCAAGCAAGTGTGTACTTCACTACGGTTCCAACAGCACAGCCAGAGCAGATGGGTCCAACGCAGCCTTCCCATGAAACCAGCCTTTCTCTGCCACTTCTTCCCAGGAGGAATCAGGATGGCAGAGGGTGTCTCCATCTGAAATGCTCTGCCCACTGTGCCAGGGGGCTCCATGGCTCACTCCGCCCCAGAATCCTGAGAAGCCCTGCCAGGCCCCATGCAGGGGGACAAGCACCCTGGGGCTGCCCTCCGGTGACTCAGCAACCTTTGGGCCACAAGATGCTGCGTCAGAAGTAGAACGCTCACAAGTCAGAAACCTGCTGACACTTCACGCCAAAAGAGGAAGAAGGCTAGATGGCTGCAGACCTCTCAGAATCCACTCTAGGCAAGAGGGTGTGTGGCCCTCGCCTGACAACCCCTCCCTCTACGTCCCTCCACCACCAAGAAGTTCTGACTTCCACAGCCACCTCTGGTTGCCAAAGATCAGACCAGCACCTCTCCTGGAAGGCAGCTCCACGGCTGCCCTGGCTCACAGTCCAGGGGGAAGCCTGGGAGGAGGCAGAGGGCAGAGTCTGGGGCAAAGAGATGCCCCAGGCAACTCCCTGGAGTTCACACCAGAGCCTTTTCCACAGCCTTGGGAGCTGGGACATGAATGCTTCAGGGAGTGGACAGTCACATCACATCTCAGATGTGGAGTGGAAACAGACATGTATTTGGGTGGCATCTCCTCCCGTTCCTTCCCTATGAGGAAACTGAGGCCCAGGAGGCATTGCACGCTTGGCTAGGTAAGGCTCACCTCCATTCTCACCAGGCCAGACCCTTAACACACACAGCTCAGACCCTAGGGACGGCCTGTGCTCCTTCCTCCCCACCACCCACCTGCTTATCTCGGGCCTCAGCAATGCAGCCATGGGTGCCAGTTGTGCTTTGCAAAGGGGAGAGCACTAGGGTTAACAGGAAATACTGGTGGGAGTGCAGGCTGAGCAGAGATGGTGAGCTGCCCAAGGGGGCCCAGGAGCCCACAAGGCCATCCCATCCAGGGAGTCTACCCTCCCCATCTTGGTGACCCAGTACCTTGCTTGGTACAGTTTAGGCTGGGGCCATCCATGAGCCTCTTACAAGGCAGAAATCCTACCTGTGTTCCTTCTCAACCCCAAATTGTTGCTCAGTTAGCTCAGCGGCAATGAGTAAATTAGTTATTTTTAGTTATCCCATTTAAAGATATTTGGGTAGAGGATTTGGTAATGGAGTAAGATCATCATGTAAAAAAGCACTATACTTACATATACTTTTTTCCAAAGTCCTTTCCCACACATATTATTTCATGTAGCTGCTCTAAACCTGTGCAATTTGTACTCTAAGCCTCAGTTTTCTTATTTGTAAAATGGGCACAACCAGTGCCTGCTTCATAGGGCTAAGGTAAGGATCTGATGATATAATACAAGCTGAATGCTCAACACAGTGCCTGACACAAAGCAAGCATTAAAAAAAACAAAAAAGAAAGCATTAAGAACTGGGGATGTTGGGCCAGGGATTTAGCTCAGTGGTTCCACCGCCTGCCTCGAAAGCTAAAGACCCGAGTTCGATCCCCGGTACAAAAAAAAAAAGAAAGGGGGATGTAGTTCAGCATCCCGCACCTGCCTGGCAAGCACAAGGCCCTGAGTTCCAGTCCTAGTACCAAAAAAAAAAAAAAAAGCACTAATGAAAGTAAGTAGAAATACTATTTTTCATTTTCATATCAATTCCATGGCACAGAGAAATTAAGTCTCTTACTCAGAGTTGCACACTTGGTTCAGAGCAAGGCTGAGCACTGGGCTTCCCCCACCAAATGCCCTGGACACCTGTTCTCCCTGGTACAGAAAGAAGGGTGGGCTGAGATCTGGCCGACTCAGCAGAGGAATCGCAACAGACTGGGGGCAAGCAAGTCCCAGTGTGGGTGGGAAGAAGACGTCCAGTTAACATCCCTCCCCGGCGCAGCTCTCGGGGTCCACTGGGGCCCGCGGGGTGAGCTCACACTGAAAGGAGGCCTGAGCGTCCCCAGGACCGGCCCCAGCCCTCTTCCTTCCCCACTTACTTCCAGGGGCGTTTGAAGAGCGGGCATGCCCGCCCAGAAGGAGCGCGGGTGCGGACGGGGAGGGATAGGACGCGGTTTGGGCGGAGGGCGGACGGCCTGGGCGAGGGGACCCATGCCCGAGCGGCGGCGCAGCGGTGCAGCGGCGCAGCGGTGCAGCGCGGCCAGCAAGGGCGGATCGTCGACACCCCGGGTCCCAGGGGCCGGGCCCGCGCCGTCCACGGACGTCTCAGGGTAAACACCCCGGCAGCTCCCAGGGAGTGCAGCAGGTGAGAGCCGGAGCGGCTGACAGCACCCGCCCGCCCCGCGTCGCTCCCCGGCCCCAGGTACCTGCGAGCCCCCCCATGGCCGCCGTCCCCGGCTGTCTGTAGACCACAGTCCAGACGAGGAAGATGGAGAAGCCGGCCACCGAGCTGACGCCGGAGTAGGCGGCGCGGAGGCCGAGCTGCCGCCTTGACGGGGCCATGGGGCTGCGGCGGCGGCGGGCGGAGGGCGAGTGGGGCCGCGAGTCACAGGTGCGGGGCCGAGCCAAAGCCCGAGTCCCAGTCCCGGGGCCCGCGCTCCGCCCCGCCCCGCCGGCACAGCGCCCTCCCCGGCCGGAGGCCGCTGTGCCGCGGGCCTGCCCCTCCCGGGGCTTCGGGCTCCTCCCTCGGAGGCCGGGAACCAATTCAGATAAGACAGCCGTGGTGACTAGTCTTTAAATTTACCTCTGAATAGGAGACTCGTTTAAAACTTATGATTTTAATTTCTCCTTAAAAATGAATACGTAAAAAGGGTTGGGTAGTGCGCTGGGCTGGCATGCACAAGGCCCTGGGTTCCATCCTCAGCACTGCATATAGTAATACAAAATAATAGTAGTAATAATCATAGTAATCATAATGATAAAGAAATATGAAAATACATAGTGGAATGTAAACTCTGTGAGCAGGGAAAGTGCCGCTTTCCTAGCACATAAGCACCCCTTAGTAAGCAAGCATCTGTTGCCTAGATACGTGTGAGTGAATAAAAAGAATTAATTAACCCTAAAAAGGATTATACAGAAGGAACCAAGGTGGGACATGCCTAATTACCAAACCACGTTTGCCTTACTTCAGAATGATCCAGGGAAGCTTCTATAAAAACTAATAAAATTTGCCAGGCATGGTGAGACACTTTGGGAGGCGGAGACAGGAGGATCATGGATCGAAAGTTTAGGCCCAGCCTGGGCAACTTAGGGAGCCCCTGTCTCAAAATTTTAAAAAATGAAAAGGACTCTGGATGTAGCTCAGTGCAAAGGCCCTGGGTTCAATCCCCAGTATGGCATAAATTATTAAAAATTATTTATTATTATTATTTATTTATTATTAAAAATTTATCCACCCCTGCCTATTAAATTTTGAATCTTGGAGTGGGTTGTTTAAATGAGAAGTGATTTTAATGCAATAGTTTGGTACTCAGCTCTCCTTCAGGAGCTGCTGGTACAAAGTTAAGTGCTGGTCATTCAGAGCAGAAAGTGAGTTCTGTGGCTCAGAGCTGGCCAGGACGAACAGCATCCCTGTAGCAGGGACAGCATAATGTGACAACAGCCCAAAGGGAAGAAATAACATGGCAGGTTTGAGAAACTGTAAGTAGTTTGTGGCTGGATTGCTAAATTTTGAGATGAGAAAGGCTCTAAACAGAAAAGGCCTTGCATCCTCAGCAAGAATGCTGTCCCTCTCCCCAGAGGGCCAGGGGAGGGAAGTGACAGTTAAGAGTTTTAGAAGTAGGGCCAGAAGGTGACCTGCCCGTGAAAGACTGGAAGCAGAGCTCAGATGCACAAGCTCTTCGCCTCTTGGTGTTACCGTGCCTGTAAAAACGGGGGCGGCAGAAATACCTACTTCAAGACTTGTGAAGAGGAGTCAGTGCTAAGATCTGGGACATCCTAGTACGGTACTCAAGAGAAGGCAGCAATGGCAAAGATGGCGAGGGGTCTTAGAGTTGGTTCAGGCAGAGGCAGGGAGAAGGAAAAGAGTGAGCTGATTCCAGACATATTTAAGTCAACTGAACCTGAAGGTCAGGTAGGAATTCATTAGCTGGGCAGACAGGAGGAAAGCAAAAATATTGTGAGTTCACATCTTAATACTGGAGCAAGGGTCGGGGATTTAGCTCAGTGGTTCCGCTGCCTGCCTCGTAAGCGCAAGGTTCAATCCTCGGTACCAAAAAAAAAAAAAAAAGAATACTGGAGCGTGGTGAGTAAACTTAGTGTGTTGCAGAGTGAGATAATTATGTAACAATAGCTTGGGCCCAGGTTGCATAAGAAAGTCAAGGTCAGACTGAAACTTTTTTTTAAATTGTGGAATGAATAAGGAGCTATCGAAAACCTTGAGACTTAGATGGGATCAAAAGCTCAGCTTTCCCATTTACAGTGTGACCCTGGGCATGTTCCCTTAACTCAGAGCTGCCCAGTGAACTCCTACCATGAAGGAAATAATCTGTATCTGTGCCCTGCACAATGGTAACTGCTAGTCACGTGTGACTACTGAGTGCACCATAGGTGGCTAGTATGACAGTGGAGCTGAATTTTTAATTGTATTTAATTTAAATTAATTTTAATAGTTGCATGTGGCTAAGTGGCTAATAGTTACCACTTGAACTCTCAGGACCCCTTCTGCTTCATTTGTTTAAAGGGAATGATGATACCTCATAGGCTTGCCATAAAGATTGAGGTATATTAAGCTAGACACTGCAGTTAAAGCACTCGACTCAGTAGTTCAACAAATTATTAATGCTGATGTTGAAATTGTTTATCCTTACATTACTGAACAAGATAGCACAAGATAAACTATCTTGGGAAAATTAGACTGTGATATCCAGATTAGATTTGATGGGAAAAGAAAATTGTACGGGAGAGAGCATCCAAGAGCATCCACGGGCTATTTTCAGTGGTGAGGTGTGGGATAATTAAGATCTTATCTGGAGAAAGGCCTTGAGGGTGGGAAAGATTGAAGGACCGTGAAGCTGCTGAGCAGGCAGGTTCCTTTCCCAGCACTTTCAGGGGGCACAAACCCATCCCCACGCAGGACAAGACGCTCCTGCATCCCGAACAGGGCAAGACAACCAGTCTCTGCCTGCAGCAGAGACCACTGCTGCTCAGCAATGCCCGTGCGTGCTATCTTCTCCGCACGGAACTCACTAAATTGAACTACACATCCCAAGTTACTTGCAGTTGAATTAATGCCATGGGTTTGAGTTCTAAGCAATGGGTTGAAGACAGGAGCAATGTGTGCCATTTCCAGGCTGGGCTCATGACGACCTCCCATACATCTGACATCCCCTCCTTCCATTCGCTGATGATTTCACAGGCCAAATGCTGAGGTGGCAGTACCATTTGATGGAAAGAGACTGGGAGCCTTAGATGAACTAATAAAAGGAGCAGAGCTGCCCTTCTATCCCCCATTAATGGACTTTCAGTGAGTGAGGCATGTACCTGTATTGTACTATGCCACTGAGATTTGGGAGGTGTTTGTTATAGCCAACCTTATTATCCTATACACTATCTCTCATTCCACTTCAAGTCTTTTAAACAGATTGGGAAAATTGTCTGAGCCATCAATCCCTCTAAAGTTACCTTTGAACTCGGCCCCGTCAGTATTGGTAATTTCATCTGCAGATATCCTGCCTCCTAAGAAATTTCTTTGGGGCTGGGGATGTAGCTCAGTGCCTGCCTCAGATGCCACCGCCTGCCTGGAAAGCACAAGGTCCTGAGTTCAATCCCTCATACCAAAAAAAAAAAAAAAAAGAAAAAGAAAAAAAAAGAAAGAAATTCCTCCTCACTCCATGGGGCACATTCCAGACATCTGTCTTCTCCCACAGTACTACATCAAGAATACACCCACTGAGCTGTCATCTGGCAGGTTTCTATTGAGCTTGTCAGGGCTTCCTCAACTCTCCTTAATCCCACATAGAGTGGGATTAAGACTTGTGGTGTCACTGGGCCCCCATCCTTGTTTACTGTGACCTCAGATCCAAGCCTAGGTGTCATTCCCCCAGTCCTTCCTTTCCTTCACCCTGCCATGTAAAATTCACTAACAAATCCAGTTGGATCTTCTCCGTCCTCTCTCTCCACTGCTACCCTCATCCAGCCACATCACCACTATCTGCCTGCCAGCAGCAGCTTCCTAAGTGGTCCTCCTGTTTGTTCCCTCCCCTCTAACCCCTTACCCACCAGCAGCCGACCTGATCTAAAAATAACAACCAGAACATGGCACAGCCCTACTGCAGTTCCTGCATAGCTTCCCATGGCTTTTAGGGAAAACTGATCAGTCTTGCCAAATGCAACCAGCCCTACTCTGTTCACTTGACTTCAGACATACTGGCTTCTTTCTGTTTCTCAAATGTGCCATACTTGCTGCTATCCCAGGATCTTTGTATTTTGCTCCTGGAAAGCTCTTCTCTGGAATGCTCATTAGATTGGACCCTCATCATTTAAGTCTTAGCTCACAGTTCCTTCATAGACCAGAAATCCTTGATGCCCTATATAAATAAAGTAGGGTCCCTCACTGGTGTCTGTCTCTAGAATGCTCACCAGCCTGTGAACTGTCCTATGAATTTATCTTTTCCACAGAGCCCTGCCATCCCTGTCAGGGTGCGGCTTCCAATGAGGGGAGGGGCTTTGTCTCTTAGGGTGACCAATTTGTCTCAATTTGCCTGGGACTTTTCTGGTTTTATCACTGAAAGTCCCATATCCCAAGAAGCACCTCATTGGAGAGAAAACTACGATGGTTAGTCTTCCCTACTGCCTCGATCACTTCCGTATACCCCATACCAAGGACAACATCAGGCGCCTAGGTTGTAACTCAGAATAAATATCAGCATAATAAAAATAAAGAATGGGGGCGGGGGATTTAGCTCAGTGGTTCCGCCACCTGCCTCATAAGCAAAAGGACCCGAGTTCAATCCCTGGTACAAAAAAAAAAAAAAAGAAAGAAAAGAAAGAATGGCTGTTTGTAGAGAATTCTTCCCTCCTGGCTCTAGGGGGCAGCCTTCCCCAACCTGAGCCTTTATACTGGGTTAAAAAACTTCTGTGCATAAATTTAGTATATGTGCTGCCGAAGTGAGCACAAGTAATTTTTTCTTTTTTTTTGGTACCGGGGATCGAACTCGGATCCTTGCACTTGCGCAGCAGACGGCGAAACCACTGAGCTAAATCCCTGGCTTCTGTGCATAAATTTAGCTGGTGAGTTCCACAAGTATGTCCCTACAGCTTACCTGGTCCCCCTGTTCTCCCCCAGCCCTTGTGGAGTTCAAAGCTGCAGACCCTGGTTCTGGCAGCCCGAGGCTTTGCCTGAGGCAGATGTGCACTTCCTTTCCCTCCCACCCTTTTCCTTCTCCTGCAGCCTCATCTTTTTCCTGACTTCTGGACAAAGAGCCGAAAAAGAGCAGCAAGGTCTGCTGTAGAAGGCAGCAGCAGGTGGGTGGCTTTGGTGAGGTCCCCATCACCATATAGCCCAGCTTCTGAAGCTTCAGGAAGGGGAAGTTCTGCACCTAGAAGAGGATCTCTTCACTTTGTAGGGCAGAGTGAAACTCCTGAGTCTGGCTTCTGTCTGGGCCCCCACTTCCTCTGTCTGCCACTGATAGCCTAGAGAACCACGTGGAGGGCATGATGCTAAGTGAGAAGATGCTGACCTGAAGCATCAGCTACAAAAGCATGAGACAAAAGGATGCTGTCACAGCTGCAGCAGCCTTGGAAGAGCATCGTTCTCTTCAGATCTCCATCTCTGGGCCTAAACCCCCAAACAAAGGTGCCTGCTTTGATTTTCTTTCCTTTCTTCTGGGAGGTTGTTGCTAGATGAGGAAGAGAGGAAGCAGTAAGGCCTGCAATCCACCCCAGCATGGACTTGAACCTAGGGACCAATGGAGCCAGTTCACTTGGGTGAGTCCTTGAAAGCTGTCCAGGGATGGGGAAAGGCAGGCTGTGTGCTGGGGCGGGGTGGGGGTGGGGGAGAGGCACTCTTCCTGAAGGGCAAAGCCTGACAGGCAGCTTCATAAATGTTCACCTTGGGATGGGAATTTGGGGATGAGGCCTTTGGAACAGAGACTTCCTCAGCATAGGTGGATTCCCCTGGAATCTGGCCATCAGAACACTGGGTAATGTAAAAGACTAGAAATAATGCATCATCAGTGCTGGTGCTTTGTCCATAGCAGGGACCCAGAACTGGCAATGGAAGGAGGTTCCAGTGGCCGTACCTGATAAGTCTCCCTGGAGGAGGAAGGGATGTACTAGTGATGGGCTGAGACAGTGTGAGAAATGGACATAAGCCACGAAATAAAGGGAAGGCACCTGAGTGAAAGAGGGGAAACTGTACACTCACACAATTCAGAAAACCTGGCCTGCAGGCTTCTATGTACAAGACCTGGACCCTGCAGGGCACACAAAAAAGCAGAGCCAGTTCTGGCACTCTGGCTATTTGCATTCTCCTGAATCACATGCTAGCACTTAATCTCAGTGTGAGGAGGGCCAGATGTGGCAAGGGAATGGGTGGTGCCAGGGGGGTGGTGCTGACACAGGCCAGGCCCTATTCGGGTAGAGGAGCTGGCTCCCCAGCCCCATGGGGCCCATTCACAAAGGCCCAGGAGGCTGGACCTAGGCAGGACTTAGCTGCCAGGGAAGATTAGACTAGGACTCAGGCCACCCCGGCAGGGTTTCAGCAGAGCACAGTCCGGAGGTGAAGGCTGAGGCTGAAGAGCAGGAAGAGCTTCCTGCAACCCTGGGTGGGAGGCCTGAGCAGCTGGGGCAGCAGCCTGTCCTTCCCAAGGCAAACACTGGGAACGGCTTGTGTTTGTTGCTCAGCTGGACTGTACACCCCTTACACACACTATTTCTGCTTCCCTCTTTGGAACCCTCTTCTTATTGCTCTCTCTGGCTTCTGCTCTTTGCACCCTCCCCTGGTCTTCTACCAGGTCCTCTCCAGAGGAAGTCTAGTGGGTCTGGTGCCAGGAAGTCTTTGGAATACACAGCTTCCTCTCTGGCCCCAGCACTTCCTGAGTGGGATCTGGAAGGGGGAATCTGCTCTGAAGTTGGGAAGAGTCCCCTATCCCTGGCCTGATTGCCTGGTTACCCACTTTCCTCCATCTCCACCCCAGCCAGTTCTCTGGATAGAGCCTGAGCCATCCACCTGACTGGCAGATAGAACTGTGCATCTCGTGACCAGCGCCAGGGCCCCACGGGAACCCCTCCCACAAGCTCCTGCAGCTGCCCTTTCTGAGCCTCTGAAACCAGGGGACAAAGAGGGTGCAGGGTATGAGGCCTGAACAGAGGCATCTGAGTGGAAGATTTGGGAAAGCCTAGGGGTGTTGAGAAGAGGGAAGTAGTAAGAAGGCAGTGGATAGTTCAGGTCGGCTTTGGGGGAGGCTGGGGAGTGAAGTAGATTGGGTAAAGGTACCGGAAGGACAGGACAGAGGGGAAAGGTGAGTCTGAGGGAAAGTGTCCAAACCTGAACCAAAGCAGCCATTTCAGAGCACTGGCCTCTCCAGGTCAGGTGCAGTGTCTCCTGCACACACACACACACACACACACACACACACACACACCCTTGTAAAGCAGAAGCTGGGGAGAGAATTTGTATAGCACCAGATTCACTGGGGTGATAGTCCTCCCTGCTTTAGGGACACTTCCAGGAGAGGCTGTCTCCTCTCCTGCTTTCTTGTCTTCTCTCATCTCTCCCCACCCATTGGCCACCACCTTCGCCACTAGAGCTCTTTTCTTTTTCTTTTGGTACCGGGGATCAAACTCGGGTCCTTGCGCTTGCCCAGCAGGCAGTGAAACCACTGAGCTAAATCCCTGGCCCACCACTAGAACTCTGTTCAGTGACTGTCACACATGGGTAGCTTGAGCATCAGCCAGAAGAATGTGCCTTCAGGAAAGGGGGGGGTCCCCCAGGAAAGGGGGGGGTCCCCCACCCTCACCCCAGCAAGTTCCCAGCTGGTCCCTAGCCCTGCTTGGGAGCCCCAGCTTGCCCACCTCCCCACCTAGAGAAGGCAAGAGCCCAGCCTTCCCCTGCCAGCCATCACTGTCATAAGCGGCTCATGAGTGACCGGCTGTGCCCTGTTGGCCTAGGAAGGTTTGGCTTGGTGCCTGTAAACATTCCAGCTCTCTGCATCTGCCCCCACCCCAGGAATGGTTAGGGGAGGAGATGGGAGAAATGAGCTGGAACCACCACTGGAGGGAGGAGCCTGGGCAGAGTCAGAGGGCCACTGTCATGCGGAGCCACAGGTTGAGTCTAGGTGAGGTTACCTGGGTCCTTGCCTCAGCTGCTCCCCATCACGCACCAACCTTGACCAAGGTAGAAGCCAAGAGATCCTCAGGGAAGCTAGCAGCAGGCCCTCCAAACTCTATTACTTTATTTCAGAATCAGTCCCCTAGCTTGCTCTTCTCTGCAGCAGTCCTATTGGAGGCCTATTAGTTAAAACCTCCTCCAATCTCTCACTCTCCATCCCATCAACAACCTCAGGTGAAATGCAGAGCCTTGTGAGCAAAGTCTGCAGCACAGGACAGAAGGAGAAAAGAGTAAAACACAAGGAAGTGGCAGGGAGGGAGGGAGATGGAAGGAAGCACCTTGAAAATGCACTAGATAGCTGGATGTGGTGGTGCACACCCATAGTCCCAGTACTCCGGGAGGATGAGGCAAGAGGACTGGTGCCCAGCCCAGGCGGCTCAGTGATTCAGTGAGACCTTATCTCAAAATAATAAAAGAGGACGGGGGATGTAGCTCAGGACAAAGGCCCTGGGTTCAGTCCCCAATGTCAAAAGAAATCTGGAAAACTGCCCTCCTTCTACCCTAGCCTGCATTTCCATCTACAGCAGGCATCAGCTGACTTTCCCAGTTCCCCTTCATTTTATTTCCACCCACAGTTATGAAACCCCTACTTTGTGCCAGACACTGCACTGGGCAGGGTGACCCAGTCAGATTAGTGTGTTAAGGAGATAAAGGATAATTCTACCTGGCTCTGTGCTCCCAGGGCTTTAGGACGGAATCTGCTGCCCAGTTCTATAGCAGAGTTCCTGGCACCTACTACAGTAAATGTTGTTGGATGAATTAAAGATACTTTAGAAATGTTTGTGGCATTGCTCCGGAGGGATGGAGGAAGGCGAGTAATTAGGGATGAGAGTTGAGGGAGGGGTGGTTACAGCCCAAAATAGTGCTTAAGATACAGACTCTGCAGTTAGACTGTCCGAGTCTGGTTCTAGTATTTACTAGCTGTGTGACCTTGGGCAGGTTACTTTACCTCTCTGTGCATCAGTTGCCTTACTTGTAAATGAGAGTTGTTTGGGGATAAAAAGATGTCTATGAAGTGACTGCATGAAGTTAGCGCTGGAAGACACCACCACTGGGTGACAACAGTTGCAGTGGGGAACCATCATGATGGAGAGACCCAAGAGAGGTACAGCCTGATCGGGTGTGGAAGGAGGAGGGACCTAGTGATCAAGTCTAGGAGCTGAGTCCAGTGAGGAGCAGGGGCTCTGGGGTAGGAAGGGAGTTTGGGACATGCAGAGTTTAAAGCTCATGTGGAAGCCTAGGAAATTATGGGCTCAATGTGTATAGGGCTAAGCAAAGAAGCCAAGGTGGGAGAAATACAGTCAAGAGCCAAAGCTGAGGTCCAAGAAGCTCCCACCAATCCCACCCTCCTTGACTGTCCTGTGGGAGACCCTGCTGCCTGCCTGAGGTGGTGGAGGGTTCAGGAGGTTCCTGTTCTGGCCACAGCCTGCTGCATGGAGACTGTGGGAAGGGCTTCCGCACGCCGAGCAGCCTCCACCTGCCTCTCCCTCTCCTACTCCACAGCTAGGGTGCCCACTTTATAGGAGCAGTCAGGAGGTTTTGCAGGTAGTGTTGCAGAATGGCAAAGCACGCAGACTCAAAACCACTTGGATGGAGGGCCAAGGATTTAGCTCAGTGGCACCCTGCCTGCCTCACAAGAGTAAGGTCCTGAGTTTGATCACCAGTCGGAAAAAAACAAACCAAAAAAACCCAATTGGATGGAAACTCTCACGGCTCCACCTCTTCTTGGTCGTGGGATCTTGGACAAGTCATTTAACCTGAGTCTCAGCCTCCTCTTCCATAAGGTGCAGTAACAACAGTAAGTACTTATCTCGTAGGGTTGTTGGGACAATTAGGTCAGTGAATGTATATAAATTATCAAGAATAGGACCTGGTACATGTTAACTATTGTTATTATTTTTCTAACATGCCTGCCACCCGCATGTATCTACTGATAGTCAAGGGAGGGTGGAGGCTGCACCAGGGGATGACAAGATTGTCCCCAAGATGACTCACCGTCTGGCTTGGGTACCTTCTTCAGACATGCTTCACAGTCCCTCGGCCCCCTCTGGGCCTCCGCCTCCATCGTAATTCTGCTACCCAGTCTCCACCTCAGAATCCTGAGAGGGGAAGGACCTGCCCCTCTAGATGAGAAGAATGAATCAGATGTGTCCAGAGCACAGCTGTGTAACGTGGGAGTTAAGTCGAAGCAGACAATCTGGATTTTGGCCCTAGTTCCACTGTTTACCACTAGTGTGATCCTAGCAAGTTACTTAAATATTTCTGAGCCTCAGTCTCCCTGTGTGTAGAGAGGGGATGATAGAAATGCCTACTTCATAGGATTGCGCCAAGGATGAAATACATGGAAAGCACTTGGGCACAGCGCCAGGCACACTGATTAGCTTTTGTGGCTTTGCTGCAAGGTCTCCAGGCAGGCAAGTGACCTTGCCTCCCCTCCTGGCATCTTTCTACCCTCCCAAAGTAGGGGCAGCAGCAATAGGAAATAGAGGCCCCTTTCAGAACCCACTGCCAATCTCAGGAAACTCTCTGGCAGGAACTTCTAGGCCAGGTCACTGTCCACAGCAACCTGAAGCTTCACTCCTCTAACCCCGCAGTGCCCAGCGCTTTTCCCCAAGCACAGCTGAGGCTCCCGGCCAGTTACCCTTCTCTGTCGGTATCCAAGCTTTTCTTTTTTCTTTCAAATTCCAGGAAATTGGTTGGGTGGGTTTAGGTCTGGGGCCAGATTCATCCTCAGGGTCCCCTTCCCTGGAGGATATTAAAAATCCAATCAGTGTTTCTCAAAGCATGGACACAGCAGATGACCTGAGATGTTTGTTCAAAGTACAGTGTTTCCATTTCATGTCAATAAGACTGAGTCCAAATTTGGGGAGCTGGAACATGCACTCTAATAAACTCCTGGGAAAAATGCATACACACACCCATTGAAATTGGGATTTTTGCCAAGCATGGTGGTGCACCATCTCAGCACTTGGGAGGCTGAGGCAGGAGGATTCCTGTGAGTTTCAGGCCAGCCTAGGGCACACTGTAAGTTCAGGACAGGCCTGAAATACATATAAGACCTTGTCTCACAAAAAGGGGGATGGGGCGGGGATTTTAACCACAATTAAAATTCCCCTCTCCCCGCAAGAAAATAATACTCTGTACAGGATTGGGGTCTCCCTGTTCTGCAGTAGAGGCATCTGCTGGTTAGCAATGTTCTTTCCTCAGTCTGGCAGGCTCAATAGCAGTAGAAATGGGGGAGAAAAGGCAAAAGGAGAGGGGTCCTAGAAAGCTGGGGGCGGGCGTTGTGCCTTCTTCTAAAGCCTCATTATTGTCCTGAGCAATTACCGGGCGTCATGGAAGTCGCTGTTCCAGGATCAGGGCCCCCTCAGAAACAGGGATGAGACAGAAAGTAGCGCTGGGCGACCCGTGCAGTGGTGGAAAGTGAGCCCCAGGGAGGCGTGGGGCCCTCCTCCCGAACCGTGCGGAGCAGGACGCCGGAATCTGTCTCTGCTCCACTTGTCCCGCCGAAGGGAGCGCGTGGCAGGTGATGTGGCCCTATAAAGCCCCTTCTCTCCACCAAGCTGGCCACAAGCCACACCTCTTCCAAGGACCTCAATCTGCCCCCACCCCCGATCCATCCGTCCGTCCACAACGCGGCCCTTCCTCTCCAGCCTCAGTTTCCCCATCCGCGTCCCGTGTGCACGCCTGGGAACCCCTCGGTGGGTAGCGGGATTCCCCACGGGAAAGCAGCCCAGTCCCTCCACGCCAGCTGCCAGAGACCCAGAGCCGGAACAGGAGGCCAGGCGCCCCCGGCCGGGAAGCGGCCCCAGCCCGGATTTCCCTCCTGGGTGGGGCCGCAGTGACTCACCCCCTCCCCTTCCCCGGTTTCCGTGTTTGCGTTTCTCCTCCTGGCCACGTGGCGGCCGGTGCGGCCGCTCAGTACCTCCGCCCTGCACCCGGAGTCTGCTCCTGCTCACTGGGGGGCTTCGGGGCTGCGGCCTATGCCCACCAGGCTACCGGGGTCGGGACTCCACCCCCCCAGCCCGTGCCCGCCCCCTTCCCCTCCCCTGGGTCGGGCCCGGCGCCACCTCCCCGCCCCCTCGGCCCGTCCCGGGGAGGGGAAAGGGGGCGGGCAGCACAGGGGGTGTGACAGCTCCCGCCCGGCCCAGTGCCAGCTGCAGCCTCGCTTCAGTGCCCCGTGCCAGCTGGCTTTTTCGTCTGGGACGAAGGCAGAGGCTCGGGGCTCCTAGTCCTGAGGGGAGGAGGGGCCGCCCCCCACGCCCCCAGCTCTCTAGTCACCCAGGGGAGCCTCTCCACCCAGCACTGCAGCTTGCTGCACTGGCAGCAGGTCTGCTCAGAATCGTCCCTGTCCACGCGCTGGGACCTAAGCCCCGCACCACGCTACGACACTCCCCCCTCCCCCGCCCCAAGTGGAGCTGACTGGGGCTGGCTGGGCAGCCCTCAGCCTCTGGCCGGAGCCTGCACGGAGGCGCGGAACTGCAGGAGGAACATGAAGGTGGGTAAGGTGGGGTCAGGGTCAGGGAGGAGCTGGAGAGGGCGGGAGAGGAAGCCGACCCAGTGGGGAGTTCGGGTGAGAGAGGGTTGGTCAGCGGGGAGCAGGGGAAGAGGGTTTGAGCCGCGCTTCTGGGGATCCAGACAGTTCACAGCTCAAGCAGGGAGGGGCAGGGATCCCTGCAGGGGTAGGAGCCTGGAGGTGGGGCAGAATTCCAGAAGGCTGGGAAGAAGGGCCCAATCTTCTCTGGGAGCCAGCTGGAGACCCCTCCACGCCAGACCGGCAGGCCCAGGGAAGGTCTTCCTGTCCCTCCCCCGGCTCCTGGCAGGGCTGCAGCACCTCTGCCTGACCGTCCAGAGGACCCTAAGGAAGTGCTTCTGCCTGGGGCAGTTGTGCCTTGCTCCTTGTCTCAGCCCATGGCTGTCCACCTTCCTCCCCATGCCATAGGTGGGCTGGCCAGGTGAGAGCCACTGGCAGTTGGACCCGGCTGTGGAAGACAGCCCAGTTCTAGGAGTTCCTCAGATAGGGGGCCTTCCCCACGTGGTGCCTGAGGGGACACTGCTCAACATGGTGCTGAGGAGGATGCACCTGCCCCGAAGCTGCTCCTACCAGCTGCTGCTGGAGCACCGTCGGCCCAACCACATCCAGGGGCTTCGCTGGGTGAGTACCTCCACCGTGGGCTAGACTGGAACCTGGGTTGGTGGGGGCACGGTGCTGGTAGGCCAGCTCGCTCCGGGGGTGCAGAGTGGTACACTGGAGTGAATGGAGGACGGAGAAGCTTGGCTGCAGTGTGTGTGGGTGGCTCACACCGCTGCAGCCTGTGTGTCTGTGTGCTTGTGGTGCCCAGGTGTCTCCATTCCGCCATGGGGACAGGAAGAAAGGGCTTTGTCACTTATCCGTCGCCTCAGTGTGCCAGGCAGAGTTAGGTGCTTGTGTGTTCTTTTTGGGTGGGGGTAGAAGACGTGGGGGCCAAGTCAAGTCAAGTGGTTACTGTGCTTAACAAGTCACCGTGGCAACATGCTTCCTTAGTGAACAGCTGAACTGGGCTCATTCTGCTTTTTGATCTTGGAGTGAGGGTTCTTGTGGACACTGCTTGGCATCTGGCTTTGGGGGACTCTGGAGTGGGCTCTGGGATGTTTGGAGAATCCAGGATGACCGAAGCTCCCTTTGGCAGTGAAAAACATCAGAAGGAGCTGAAGGAATAAAGAATGAGGGAGACTGGAGTGGGAATGGGCAGAATAATGGCTCTCAGGTCCAACTAGCAGGCTTAAAGGAGTACCTTCACCTGGGATTCAGTGACGTGTCTGTTGTATGTGCCCTCCTGAATGGATGTGGGGGTGTTGTCAGAGGTAAAGGGGTGGGGGGAAGGCAGGAGTGGCTGACAAACTTGGGACTGCTCATCTCTTATAAGCCAGTCTCTTTGATCAGAGCAACCACTGTCTTCCTCCTCTTACCTGGTCCAGCTGCCATTTCTATTTACTGGAATACGAGGCCGAGTTGAGAAAGCCAAGGCCCGGTGAAATGAGGGGGGTCCTTCTTTGTAGTTGGAGCTGACAGGGGAATCCAGGTGTCTGTACGGTGCCAGTCCCACTCTCCCTGGGTCTTTCCAATAAGGGGCTTCTGGGGCCTGGACCCGCTCCCCAGCCCCTGGGCCAGGTCACTGAAGTGGGTACTGCTGGAGCCAGTGGGCTGGAACCCTTCCTGCCTCCTTCCCTCTTGGCTATAATTACTTATGCATTTCCTGTCCCCTTCCCCGCTTGTGGAGTCAAGGTAGGGGGTAAGAGGCAGAAGGTCATGTGCTGGGACAGTGAGGTCACTGGAAGATCTCCTGGGACCCGAAGACTGGAAAGGGGTGGAGGAGGCTGCCGGGCTGGCTTCCGACCTCCTCAAGCCCCCAGAATTGCTGGGCTGGCCTGTTCCCTGCATGGGGAGGCTGGCAGGGTGGGTGTTTGGGTTGCTGAAGTGTATGTGGGGTCAAAGGTGCAGAACAAGTTCCCCCCTCTGCAGGGGTGCGTATGGCAAGAGAGGGGTTGGTGATTCAAGGGAGCTTAGACTTTCAGGGCTGGAAACAGGCAGCCCCTCCTTTCTTGATGCCCACCCCTGGAGGATGGAATGGGTGGTTTCAGTCCATTGTGCCTGTGTTAGGGGGTCTGGTGCCCATTAGCTGCACCTCTCCCTGCCTGATGATGGCTTTACCCCAGGCAAGGCTCCGGGAAAGGAACAGTACCCACAGGGCATGTGCACACCCGGGGTGAAGGAGGAGAGCTGGAGGCCTAGAACAGGGGTGGGAGTTACCTAGGCTGTACTTTCCTTTTAGAGGGCTCAAGGGAAAACCCATCAACCTCCCGGAGAGGGGTCTGAGAGAGCTCTTTCTATTCCTACCAAGACACGACAAGAAAAAATGAAAACAGTACGGCAGGAGGGCTTGAGGTCAGATACAGAAAGGACTTACAAATGATGGCAAGGGAGCCGTGGGATGGGATGAAGAACATCTTTGTAAAATGTGAGGGGAGATGAGATGTCTGATATCTGGGATCACAGTGACCTCTGGTGGGTCCCACAGACTCCGGGAAGCCTGGGCTGCTTCTCTTTGGGTGACTTTTTTAGGGGGTGGTCCTATTCTGTAAAACAGAAAACACCCTTCGTCCATCCCGAGCGAATGATGATAGTTTAGGGTTACAGAGTCCTGGCTGTGCAGCCTCATCATCACCACGTCAGCTAATGCTACCGCAGCCTGCGGGATGGGCCTGAGGGTCATCACCCCCACTTTGTAGATGGGAAGATGGAGGCATAGAAGCTAGATGACAGGGACAGGATTGTACAGCTACCACGTGGCAGAGCTGGGCTTTGCTTCCAGGCGAGAGGCTGCAGAGTGCACCGCTGACCCCCGTAGTGTCCCCTCTCCTCTTTCCCTGTCCACCATGCACAGCCTGGCCTGGGACCTCAGGCACATCCAAGGGAACTGGTCTGACAGGTCCTCATGCTGCCTGGCTCTGTGTCTGCCCTTGCAGCCCCACTCTGACACTCAGCGACAGGAAGGGAGGATGGGCAATGTCCTGTGTCGGTGCCAGGGGACTGAGCACCTCCTCTTTCACGCCAAATCCTTCCTGTGCAGCATTGAGAGGAGGAGGAGGAGGTGAGGACCTTCACCTTGACCCATACCAGGGGCTTCTTTCCAACTGAGAACCTCTGAGCTAACACTCAGGGCCATCAGAGCAGAGCCTGGACCAGTGCTTTTGACACTGTGTCTGGGTAACAGGTGCCTGTCTGGAAATAATAAAGGTGGTTCAAGGCACTGTATTCAGCCTTTACTGAGCGGTTGCTGTGTGCTCCACTCTGTGTGCTTCATGTTATTAACCCATTTGACCTTCACGAGAACCCTTGGGATAGGTACTATTATTATATCAACCCTATCTTACAGATGAGGAAACTGAGGCACTGAGAGGTCAAATAATCAACACAAGGCCATAGGACCAGATGGCAATTTGAGAACCAGCGTTTGAACCCAGGTGTCTAACTCCAGAATCTACACATTTGACCCCTGAATAGCCCCATTCATGCCTCATCCTAGAGGTTCCAATGCATTGGAAGATTGCAGGGAAAGGGGGTTCTGCCAGCAAGCCTGTCTAACTGCCTGCCGTGGGACGTTCCCGAGGGCAGACACCTCTGCTGTCTGGCGTCCGTGACACACAGAGAGGGAAGCACAGGGTAGGCACCATGGTGATGGTGGGGCACAGTGCTAAGAGCATGCATGGGCTTTGGAGTCAGCAAGGCACAAGTGTGAATCCTGTTTGCCAACTGTAGGGTAGGTTATGTAACCTTGGAGCCGCCTTCCCTCTATCTGTGAAAAATGATACAAATATCTACTTCCAAGGCCAGCACGGGCCCAGAGCCACTCAGTAGAATCTTCCATTTCAAAGTAGCTGTGTAACTGTGACTTCAGCTCTCTGCGCTTCTGCTTTCCTTGGGGAAATGAGAGAGATGCCCCTAGGCCCATCCTCGGCTGGCACACGTGGAGGGTGGCAGATGGGGACATTCCCTGTTCCTGTACTCATCCTCCAGCGTAGGACAGGAAATGACCAGCCTGGCCACATGACCTGGCACCATCCTCTTAATGTGCCCTCCCGGCCACAATAATACCAGGAAGGGAGCTGGTGCTGAAGCTTGGGTTGTGGGCACCAAAGGGAGCCAGGCAGGGACTGGGGCAACCAGGGCATTCTGACATGAACAACAGGTCGTTAGGACTCAGGCACTGTTTGTTCCAACACAGGGGGCTGGCTGGGTAGCATTCCTGCCCTTCCTCTCTTCCTGGCTCCTCCTCCTCCTTGTTTCCTGTCATTAAGTCTCCAGGGCTCTGGATCTGGCACTGGGCTGGGCCCCATGACCCAGGCAGGGATACCCTTGGGACACCTAGTGACTTCCGTCCAGCCCTGGGCCAGGCGCCTGTGCATACCAGACTCAGACCTCTGCCTGGGCACAGTGGCAAAATGCCCATGCTTAGGGACCTGCCAGCCCCAGGGGAGGGGACTCAGGGCCCAGCTTCCCAGCCAGGTCCTCCCAGGGCCCTGAGTGCAGGTGGGAAAGCAGGAGAGGAAGTGGGAGTGGTGGGTGGAGCAAGACCAAGAACATGGGCACCTGAAGGTAGGAACTTGAGTTTATCCACAGCTGGCCGGCAGTCCCAAGCACACATGGCTGACTTACACAGGGCATTTCACCTTGAGCCTTTTGTTTCCCCGTACATCCCAGAGGACAGACAATACCTGCCTGTTTCACACTTGATTCTAGATCCCATAACATTGAGGAGGTGGGCATGTCTTGCAAACTGTAAAGTACTCTACCTTTGGGCAGGCTGGTAGATGGCAGGGCATCCTGTCCAGACCTGTCCACAAAGTCCAGTTCTCAGGTAGCCAGAAAAGGAGGATTTTGAGGGGCTTTCATGGCTGACATCCCAGCACCCTGGGGTTCTGATACCTCCACTGACACCAGGGCCAGGGAAACCTTATTAACCAGTGAGTCCATGATAAGCCGTGAGCCAGCCCACCATACTGCCAAATTGCTCATTCTTACAGGCTGATGGACTCATAGGATCTCTCAAAGGAATGAAGCCTTCTAGCCAGCAGCCCCACCCTGGCCCTCACTGATGAATAATAATAGCTAACGTGTATATACAGCTTCATGCTAGGCAGAGGTCTAAACCTTCACTGTACATTAACTCATGCAATCCTTCCTGAAGTATCTGAGTTGGTTAGTGTTAGTGTTTTATAGATTTTATACATGAGGAAACTGAGGCAGAGAGAGTAAATCACTTGTTCAAGGTCACACGACTGGTAAATGAAGGAACAGGCATTTGAATGCAGGAGCCTAGCTTTGGGGTTTATGTTTTTAACAAACAGGCTGAACCAAGGCTCACAGAGGGCACAAGGCCTGTCCATGGCCTGCTGCCTAGCCCAGGAACACGTGTGCCTAGGCCTCCCTAGCTGCTCCCATCCTGGCCTCTCCCAGGTCTTATCTCTTGCCCTCACGTTCCTTCCAGTTCCCTGGTCCCTGTCCCTACACAGGGACAATTTTCCTGGGAGCCTCAACATACTCAGGCCCTGGGTCAGCAGAAGGGGGATCTTGGGGTGCTCATCAGTAGTGCTCAGGTGCAGAAGGAAGAAAAGGGTTTGGTGATGGGGTGGTAGGGTGGGAAGAGGCGATGCCTGGTGTTAAGCGTATGTCAGGAAGGTTCATTTGTTGTACAAGTGACTAAAAGGTTGCATTTGGGGCTGAGGACTGGGCAAGGGTGGGAATGAGGTGGGCAGGGAAAGGCTCCACAGCAGTGTTTGAAGTCCTCGTGCTAACCCACAAACTCTCCACTGTTCTCAGACGCCACTCGCCAACAGCGAGGAGTCCCTGGATTTCAGTGAGAGCCTAGAGCAGGTATAGGCTGAGGAAGGGTGGAGTCGGAGGGGTAACAGCTGGTGACGGGCTGCAGGGTTTGAGCCAGCGGTGCCTTTCCTCCTGCCAAGGTCTCCACCGAGCGGGTGCTCAGGGCTGGGAGGGACCTGCACCGACATCTCCTGGCCACTTGTCCGACCCTCATCCGAGATCGGAAGTACCACCTCAGGCTGTATCGGTGAGTGGGCCCTGCCTTTCCCCTGGCTCCCCTGCCCCCAGCGTCTCTTTCCTTGCCCACCATATTCCAGGCATCTGGGCCTGACCCTGCTTCTGGGGAAGAGCCGGGCTTGGGTCTCCAGTGGTGCCTTTCTGATGCAGCGTCTCCCCCTCGTCCCACAGGCAGTGCTGCTCTGGAAGGGAGCTGGTGGATGGGATCTTGGCCCTGGGGCTTGGGGTCCATTCCCGGAGCCAAGCAGTGGGCATCTGCCAGGTGCTGCTGGATGAAGGCGCCCTCTGCCATGGTGAGCCTGAGCTCAGGGTGGGGATCCAGAGCTGGGCGGTAGGTCCCAAGGGGGTGGGGGTGGGGAGGCGGTTGGCATCACAATGGGGACCTCACACCTACGTGGCCTCAATTTCCTCTCCTCCCCACGCCTGGGCCTCGGTCCCTTAGTGAAACACGACTGGACCTTCCAGGACCGAGATGCCCAGTTCTACCGGTTCTTGGGGCCGGAGCCCCAGCCTGTGGGACCTCATGAGCTGGAGGAAGAGTTGGTTGAGGCAATGGCCCTGCTCTCCCAGCGGGGACCTGATGCTCTGCTTACTGTGGCACTTCGAAAGCTGTGAGTTGGGAGCCCTGCACCCCCCAACCCCAGATCCCATGTGGCATTGAGACTCCACAGACTCTTAGCTTCCTCTCTGAGACCTGGCCTTTGGCCTGTATTCTGCCATGGACTCTCCGTGTGTCCTCCAGCCCCTCCTACGCCCACCCTGTTTCTTTTGTCAATGAGGTTGTGGGCTAGAGGGCCTGGGAGGACCCTTCCCACTCTGCAGTGGAGTCCTGGCTGAAAGAGGGTAGGCTTTGGAATCTGCAGGCAGCTCAAGGCTCCAGGTCTAGCCTCACTGGCTACTAGCTGGGTGGCCTTGGGGCTCTCCATACCAGCTTCCTCTTCTGTCAAGTGAGAATAATGGAACTTGAGTCACTGGGCTGTCACGGGGATGGAATGAAATAATGCATGTTAGGTGCTCAGCACAGGATCTGGCACCTGGGGCCCACTCCACAAAGGTTACCCCATTATTGATAAAGACTGTGGAGCAGGCGACATCTAGCCCCAGGCCTGAGCCAGGTGGGTGCGGTGGCTCCCACACCTGGCCCTGGGCCGAGGTTCCTCATGTGCTTATTACTTCTGTGCCCACAGCCCAGGTCAGCGCACGGATGAGGAGCTGGACCTCGTCTTTGAGGAGCTGCTGCACATCAAGGCTGTGGCCCACCTCTCCAACTCGGTGAGTCCCCTCTCCAGGGCCCACCCAGACCTGTCCTCGTCCCACAGGCCACTCCCTTGGCTCCCACTGCTGGGTCTGGAGGCAGTTCCCTCTCCCCCGGCTGTGGCTGGGCATTCTCAGTCTAATTTCGTGCCCTCGGTCTGAATATCTTCCCCGTCTTTGCCGTATCTTGGCCGGGCCGGGTCCCCTGCCGCATCCCGGGAACACCTCACCCGGCCACACCTGCCCCAGTGCTTGCATGGACCTCATCTCTCCCCACCTCCACACTGACCCTCCTCTCCCTGCTCACAGGTGAAGCGGGAGTTAGCAGCCGTCCTAGTCTTCGAACCCCACAGCAAGGCGGGGACAGTGTGTAAGTCGGGCTGGGTGCAGGGGCCCGGATGGGGCAGGGCTCTGGAGAACTGGCGGGGACAGAAGGGCAGTGCCTGATCTGTGCCTCTGTCAGTGTTCAGCCAGGGGGACAAGGGCACCTCGTGGTACATTATCTGGAAGGGGTCTGTCAACGTGGTGACCCATGGCAAGGTGAGACCCCTCTGGCCCTCCCAGCTCCCTAGGTGGTTAGGTTGTAACTATGCCCTGGTCCGTGTCCTGTGGACAGTGCCCTGGGCGGTCCCAAGGCTTCTGATCCCCCAAACTTCCTGTCTGGGTCTGAGCCAGCAAGGCCTGGGCACAGGGTGGGCTGTGACTGAGGCCTGGCTGCAGGGGCTGGTGACCACCCTGCACGAGGGAGATGACTTTGGACAGCTGGCGCTGGTGAATGATGCACCCCGGGCGGCCACCATCATCCTTCGGGAAGATAACTGTCATTTTCTACGTGTGGACAAACAGGACTTCAACCGAATCATCAAGGTGCCTCTCTGGGGCTTGGAAGGGCAGAGAATAGAGGCCCAGAGACATGACGTGGGGTACAGAGTAGGGAGCAGAGAGAGGCTGCAGGGAGATGCTGGGTGTCATGGCTGGGGCAAGGACTGTAGGTTTGTGTGAGGAGGTGGAGCCCATGGCCACTGAGGAGCTTAGTGAGACCTCAGTGGGTGGGAGCCAGGGAGCATGGGGGGACAGGGCACAAGGGGAGGCAGTCCTGTGCAGAGTGAGGGCTCCACAAGCAAAGGTTGGAGGAGGGGCTTGGCAGGGGGGTCGGGGGCTGAGGTCTGGGTGAGGGCCCAGTGGGGTGGGCTTGGGCTTGGGGTCTGGAAGGGAGGAGGTGGAGGACAGGGTGCAAAGAGGTCCTGGTCGAGTTAAACCCCAGACGTGGCTTGCCCTCCAGGATGTGGAAGCAAAGACCATGAGGCTGGAAGAGCATGGCAAGGTGGTGCTGGTGCTGGAAAGGACCTCTCAGGGTGCTGGCCCTTCACGCCTGCCAAGCCCAGGCAGGAACCGGTGAGGCAGCCACCCTGCTCCATCTCCGCACCTCTCTCCTTCCTGTCGGTCTTTGCTCCTTTCCTGGTGTCACACCCCTGCCCTCTGGCCACGGAAGGACTAGAATGCGCTCCCCGAATCACCTCCCCTGCACCCCAGAGCAGGACAGGGCTGGCCCCTTGGGAAGAGTGATGTCATGGATGATTGATGTCCTGCCCGGCTGAGGGAAGGGAAGGAATGGCCCAAGTGCTACTGATCGGCTGTGCCTGCTAGGTACAAGGTGATGTCTGGCACCCCAGAGAAGATCCTAGAGCTGCTGCTGGAGGCCATGCGGCCGGATTCTACTGCTCATGACCCAACAGGTAGGGGCAGGAGATACCCTCCCTGCCTGCTTTCTGGCTCACCCCTTGGTCAGCGCAGCCTGGGGAAGGGCTGGGCACCTGGTGCCTGACCTCATCAGGTACTGGATTGGTCTACACAGCCAGTCAGCAGGATGTCCGCTTATCCGTGCTTCTGCTTGAGTGGGAGGCGCTCCCATGGGCTGGGCATTGCTGGTCCTTGCCTGTGGAGGGACTTGGGAAAGGAGGCACTGGCTGTGCTCAGTAGACTTGGCTTCTGAAGTCTCCTGCACCTGCCCTGTCCCGCAGAGACGTTCCTCAGTGACTTCCTCCTGACCCACAGCGTCTTCATGCCCACCGCCCAGCTCTGCACTGCCCTGCTGCACCAATATCCTCCCAGCCCCGGGCAACATGGGTAGGGGAAGTGTGGTGTGTGGTGTCTGGCAAGGAATCCCCCATCAGCCGGGCTGTGAGGACCCCTCTCAGGGGCCATCCTCATCCCAGGGCCCGCCTGCTGGGGAGCGGGGGCATCCTGCTCTTCCTCGCCTCAGGTGTGGTAGGTGACCCAGTAGCATGTTGTGGTTCCCTTGACTGCCACTCACCTTCCACGCGGGGCCAGCAGACTCTGCTGGAGGCAGTGAGCTGGAGCGCAGCACCTACATCTGCAACAGGAGGCAGCAGATCCTGCGGCTGGTCAGCCAGTGGATGGCCTTGTATGGTCCCATGCTCCACAAGGACCCTGTGGCCACCAGCTTCCTCCAGGTACCCTGAGTGAGGCCAGGCTGGCTGGGCTGTGGGGGAGGGTCAGCTACAGCCATCTTGGGGAACCTTGGCTCTTCACAGAAACTCTCTGACCTGGTGAACAAGGACGCCCGGCTCAGTAACCTGCTGAGGGAGCAGTGGCCCGAGAGGCGGCGACACCACAAGTAGCCCTTTGCCTTCACTCGTCCTTCTCATGCAGTGCTTGGGGATGGAGGGTGCATGCTTGGGGCCAGGCCTGGCTGTAGAATCCAGGCAGCACTGCTCATTTCAGTGGTTCCTAGCAGTCCCCTGGCTGTTCACCCTGATTTCAGGCTTCCATCGGTTCTCACAGCCACGCAGTCACCACTTGCTTCTGTCCCATCCTGAGTGCACACATGTATCCCCTGGTACCTCAGTAGCAGTCCCTGCCAGCCCTACCCACCCACTGAGTTTCTTAGACTGCTGCCTTCTGAGCTCTGGTGCGGGCAGAGTGGGATCCAGAGCCCAGCCCTGCCTGGTGCGTCTCTCACAGCCCTTCTCTCTTGCTCCCCAGGTTGGAAAATGGCTGTGGGAGCACCTCTCCACAGCTGAAGGTACCTGCCCTGCACTGCAGACCTCTCTCCTGCCCCACCTTCCTCCCTGGAGGGGCCATGTGTGGGAAGGTTCCCCACTGAGGCCTTGCTGTGTGTGGCTTTGGACCAGGCCCTGGTGGGGAGCAGAAGGGGGACACTGAGGTCCAGGGTGGGACTTTCCTTTCTACCCCAGGGGCTTCGGTCTTCAGGAGGCAGTTCATGCTCACTCAGAGATGGGATGGGAGGCTTGGCTGCCAGGTTTGTTGAGGTCTGAGGGTTCCTAGCGGCCAGTGCTTCGGGGATCCGGAGGAAGTTGAGCCCCCTCCCTGGAGGAGTCTAGGTGACCAGTGCATTCCGGCCTGGGGCTGGGGGAGCAAAGGGAAGCAAGAAGATGTGACCGGAATCCAGACTGGCTAAGGAATGGGGGGAGAAAGGACGGGAAAGGTCGGTTGTGTTGGGAAGGAAATCCAAATGCCTCACCTTGGCCTTCAGCCAGCTGCCCCACACTCCTGGTGGCTGGAGACTCTCACTGCTCCTCTTCTAGAGATGGCGCAGGGCTCACCTCGGGCCTCTGCACTTGGCCTTCTGCTCAGAATTTTCCTTGGCTCTTTGCCTGACTGTGTTCTTCTCATTCTATTTCCAGGGAGGTCCCCTCCTATCTCCCTACCCAAAACACCCCCTACCCCTGCATGACCCTGGTGTCCTCTGCTATTTCCTTCAAATCAGCTAATTGCCACTCCTTCTGGGATGCTGCTTCATGGATGAGGGCCTCTACCTGGCACTGGCTGACACCCAGGACCCACCCTTATATGCCAGGCACTGTGCTAACTGCCTGTAATGATGCCATGGCTGGCAGAGCCACCCCTAGCCTGTGAACCTAAGGGCAGGCGAGGGGCAAGGCTGTGAAACAGTCTTGTGATGTACAAAGACCAGGGTCTCTGGAGGCAGGGGAGAAGGGCCGACTTGGCTTCTAGGTCTAGGGGAAGTGTTCGCAGAGTTGAAGCTGCGGTCTGGGGGATGAGGACAAAGAGGATCCCAAGGTGACCTTGGGGGACAGAGAGCAAGACAGCACGGCAGAGGGGCTGGAGAGGTGGGCAGGAGCCACAGCATGGACAGTTACCAGGTCTTTGTCCTGAGATCAGTGGAGACATAGGTTTGAGCCAGGGACTGACAGGATCCGATCGGTGATTTGAAGAGGTCAGCAGAAGACGAGGCTTACCCACAGACAATGATCGCCTTGAGGCTGGGCACTTCCCCGGCTCTGCTTACACCAATGGGAGGTGGGGGGCTGGAGTCACCTGCGGGCCAACAGAGGAGAACAGTTGGGCCATTGTAGCAGGCAGGAGTGAGGGGAGGAGCCTGGGGCAGGACAGTGGCCCTGGGAGGAGTGGATTGGGGAACCCATGAGTGTATGTAGGTGAGGGTGACAAGGATCATGGATGAGGAGGCATCCGGAAGGTGTTTGGGACCAGAGCCTGTAGGAGTGAGGCTCTGGTGGCAGCATTTTGAATCTCATCCATAAGCAGTAGCACCCAGGCTGTGTGGAACTTGGAGGAAGACTGAGACGGAAGTCTAGGGAAGAGCAGAGGCCTGAGGTCTGGACCTGGCGATCTGTGGCATGCAGTGTGGGGAGGAGGAGGCAGCCCCACGTTGGAAGAAGCAGTGGGGGGGGGAGGAACTGCGTGGAGCAGCCCTGTGGGCGGAGGTTCTGTAGCACTTGCAGCCCACTGCCTGCCTGCTGTTGGGCTTGACAGGGTGGCGGTGAACAAGGACGTAGAGGGAGGGAGGGGCAGGATTTCAGCTCTGACGTTCAGCAGCCGTGTGGCCTTGGGCATGTGAAGAGCACCTGTCTCCGCCTCCTCGTTACCTCATCCCTAAAATGGAAATCATACTTTTGTCGAAGGTCTGTTGTGATTATTTACTTAGAATGCCTGGTTTATAGCAAATGGTAGCTGAAGCGGGAAAGGCAGAGAAGGGCTGTGGATCTTTTGGGTACAGAAGGAAGGATGTACCTGTGGAGGGCACTGCCTCACCCACCTTGCACCTGTCCTGTCTTCTCTGGACCCTTGGTCCCAGGGCCTCACCTGGACTCAGGTTGAGGCGGCGAGCAGAGCCCTGTGGTGGTGCGGTGCTTTTGCCCTCCTGATCCCCGTGACAAAGGCCCCTCCCTGTCCCCTTCCTTCATGCTCTCCCTTGTGTTCTCTCAGCCTTACTTTCTCTTCCTCCCAGGCCCGGGACACACCTGTTTGGCTCCCCTGCCAGGACGAGCCTCTCCCAAGCAGCAACTGTGCCATCCGAGTTGGGGACAAAGGTGGGTGGTCCCAGCCAGAAGGGCACAGCCTGGCTTCGGCACTCGGCTGTCTCTGCCTCTTCTGTCCTGCTGTTGTCACCTCGACCTGGGGGTACCTGGGTCAAGGGCAGCCCGCTGCCCTCCCCGGAGTCTCTGTGCCAGGCTGCCAGGCAGATCTGCCTCCTGTGCCCCTGTCCGGGCTTAGGCCTCCCCCTGACTCCTGGCTCTGCGTGGCCGCCGGGCTTTCTCTTTGTGCCTGCTCGGCTCCACTCCTGGGGGTCCCTCCCTCTATGGAATTGTTGCCTTCTTCCTCCTGAGCTGGGGAGATCAGGCAGCTCCTCCCACAGCTCAGCCCAGTCCTCCTCCCCAGTGCCCTACGACATCTGCCGGCCCGACCACTCAGTGCTGACCCTGTACCTGCCTGTGACGGCCTCAGTGAGAGAGGTGATGGCAGCACTGGCCCAGGAGGATGGCTGGACCAAGGGGCAGGTGCTGGTGAAGGTCAATTCTGCAGGTGGTAAGTTGTGTCCCATAGACCCCAAGGCAGGGAGCCCCTCAGATCCGTGCTCAGACTCCCCTCTGCATCATTGTCATCAGTGCTGATGATGGGTGGCACTTCCGGGAGGTCCATTGCGTCTGTTCACACTGCTTTATGTGTAGGAATTGTGAGCATGAACTCTGGAGCCTGCTGCCTGCATTTGACACCAGCCGTTAGCTCCCTAGCTGTGTGTCTTGGGCAGGGTGTTTAATCTCTCTGTGCTGGATTTCAGCCTCTGCAAAGTGGGGATAATAAGAGTCTTTGCCTCCTAGAAGAAATGAGCTAATCTGCAGAAGTGATTAGGATGGTGCCTAGCACATGCTCAGCACTATGTAAGTTTTAGCTGCTTCCATTATCATTCTTAAATATACCTTAGAATAAGGTATAATTACAATCCTACACGATTGGTAACCGTGCCCTATTTTCAGACAGGAAAACTGAAGCTTGGGTATTAAGTGGCTTCCCCAAGCTCACACAGTAAGTGGGAACGTAGCTGGCCTTTGGACTTAGACAGTCCTTTCATTTGGTCCTTCAGTGAACATTTCTGAGGGCCAGCCATGGAGCAGTAGTGTTTTAATTTTTTTTTTTTTTTTTTTTTGGTACTGGGGATCGAACTCAGGTCCTTGTGCTTGCAAGGCAAGCGGCGGAACCACTGAGCTAAATCCCCAGCCCAATCAGTAGTGTTTTAGGATCCAGAGGTACCATGGCAAATAAGGTAGATCAGCCGGATGGATTCCCAGACCTGCATTGGAATCCCGGATCACCTGCCGCCTAGCTGTGGGACCCGGAACAAGTTGCAGGGCCTCTTTGAGCTTCCTTTCCCTGCTGGAAAATGAGCACCGTCACTGTACCCATTTGTACAGGCTGCTGCAGTTGCTAGGCTAGAGACAGGAGTGCAGAGCATGCAGCGGGGGCCTGGCGCAAAGTCAGGCCCGGAATGTGATTACATAAGGATTATCAAGACCTTCTTTTGGAGAACTTGGAGCACTAAAAGCCACTGTTCTCTGTGAAAGGCACAGCCCAGGCCTGACAGCTGGAGCCCAAGGTGGACTGCAATGGGGAGCAGTCAGAGAATAATGGCAAGGGGGTAGGTGAGAAAAGCCCTCTCCCTTCAGGAAGTGAGCAAAGCCCCATGAGGTCACCTGTGTGCTCTGTTCTGGGAAGCACTGCCCTCTGGTGACCATCTGGTGAGTTGCAGTTCCCCGCATTTATTGAGACCTGCTCTGTGCCAGTCATCTTTTAGACCGCTGACCTCCAGACCACTGACGAGTCATATGGTCACCATTTTCCAAAGGAGGAAGCTGAAACTTCACCCTGGACCCCCTTCTCATCTTCCTCTCTGGGCTGTCTGAGGAGAGGAGTAAGGGCACAGGGCATGTACCCCCACTTTCCTATAGCACCTGCCCACAGCTCTGGCCAATGCTGGAAAAGGAACCTCCCAATCGGGGCCCCCATCTGGTCCCTGGCTTCCTCCCCAGCTCCACTCAGCAGCCTCTGCTTTCTTTGCAGATGCCACTGGCCTGCAGCCCGATGCCCGTGGCGTGGCCACTTCCCTGGGGCTCAACGAGCGGCTCTTTGTTGTCAACCAGCAGGAAGTCCACAAGCTGGTAGGGACTGGGCAGAGTGCCAGAGGCCAGGGAAGAATTCTGTTTTGGGGATGGCAGAGATGGATTCCGGGAGGAAGAGGAAGAAGTGGGCCTCCGCTGATGGGGCGATTCCAAAGATAAGGGGGGTTGTAATGCAGGTTGCGAGCTCCCAAGGACAAAGAGGACCTGCTCTAGTTAGGGGGTCCCCAGGAAACAGGAGCCCCACTGCATAAGGGGGAATCCCAGTGTGGGGGAGTAGTCGGCAAGACGACGCCTTAGGAAAGCCTGCACTCCCGACTGCCACACTGCCCTCCTCCCAGGTGCACAGTATTTGCCCCCAAGCCCTCTCTCCCACCCCATCCTGCCACCTGGATTCCTCAGGCACCTGGCTGAGCATTCTTCTACCTGCAGACCCCACACCCTGAGCAGCTGGGGCCCACTGTGGGCTCTGCAGAGGGGCTGGACATGATAAGTGCGAAGGACCTGGCAGGGCAGCTGACAGACCAGGACTGGAGCCTGTTCAACAGCATCCACCAGGTTTGTGAGGCTGAGCTGTGGGAAGGAAGGGGTGGCAGGGTGCCCTGCGCCGTGCACACTGACTACTTCTCTCCCCACCCAGGTGGAGCTGATCCACTATGTGCTGGGCCCCCAGCATCTGCGGGACGTCACCACAGCCAACCTGGAGCGCTTCATGCGCCGCTTCAATCAGCTGCAGTACTGGGTGGCCACAGAGCTCTGTCTCTGCTCTGTGGCTGGCCTGCGGGCCCAGCTGCTGAGGAAGTTCATCAAGCTGGCAGCCCAGTAAGTGCAATCAGGAGCGTGGGGTGCGTGGCTGGAGTCCTGGGAGCCCTTCCCTGCTCATTCTGTTGCTGAATATGCTGTTCCATATTCCTGGGTCCCCCGAGTCTTTGCCCTTTGCCTCCCCACCCCATCCCTCAGAGGCAGTGTTGCCACAGGGCCCAGTCCAAGTCCCAGGCCTGGCTGTGGCCTGGGGTGCTGTGAATATGGTGTTTCCCCTGAGCATCTCTTTGTCCTCTGCTCACAGCCTCAAGGAGCAAAAGAATCTTAACTCCTTCTTTGCTGTCATGTTTGGCCTTAGCAACTCGGCCATCAGCCGCCTGGCCCACACCTGGGAGGTAGGTGCCACCAGAGGATCCTGATACTGAGGCCTGGTCTCTTCCCTGCCTTGGGAGTCCTGGCTGGGCATGGGGCTCCCTGTGTGTCCCCCCCCATCCAGCAGTGGCAGCTCATGGCCTTCCCTTCACAGCGGCTGCCCCACAAAGTCCGGAAGCTGTACTCTGCCCTAGAAAGGCTGCTGGTGAGTGCTGGGCATGACTGTCCCTCTAGAAACCCCAACTCTGGGCTTTCTGTGGCCTTCTGCCTGTCCATGGTCACTTTTTAGGGTTCCCGACACAGAGCCAGGGCCTGGTTCCCTCTGGCCAGGGTATGTGGGGAGCTGGCCGGGGGATGGGGTGTGTAGCATGTGATGAGGGTTGCATGGTGGATTATAGCACTCAAGGTGTACCCATGGGGACATTTTCAGTGGCTGTGAGGTCCCATGATGACCAGGACAGAGTGCAGGGGGTGTCCTGGATGTGAGGTGCCGGGGCATGGAGGATGCTGGACTGTAGCTGTTCTGCTTGGGGGCTCAGGAAGTAGTTCTGGTGCTAAGCACTGGAGGTGCTGAGATCAGGGCTGGTCAGGGCGCCCTCCAGGACCCCCAAGGGGCTTGTGGGCCAGGCCAGGACAAAGACAAGGAATGAGTTGTAGGGCTGAATCGTCTGCCTCCAGGAATTTCTGAGGGTTCTGAAACGCTCAGGAGAGAAAGGAACAGAGTTGCTACCACCATAGCCCTGGGAGCTCTTAAGAAAACAGTTCACCTCATGGGACTCAAGTTTCAAAGGAATTTACAGAGAGAGAGAGAGAGAGAGAGAGAATATCCCAGAATCTTCGGGGACCCCTGACCACCCCCCCAAGTTTCCTCAGCAGCTCAGGAAACCACATGCCTGCAGACTGGCAGTGGCAGTGATGCCTCAGTGCGGTGGCTGAGGAGCAGCTGGGCTTGGAGCCTCTCTTTGTGGCTGGCACATGGGTGGGGCGTTTGCTTGTGCTGTGTCCGTGTGGGTGACAGTGTGCACCCCCATCCCCCACTGTGGCTTCGCCTCTCAGGACCCCTCGTGGAACCACCGAGTATATCGACTAGCCCTCGCCAAGCTCTCCCCTCCCATCATCCCCTTCATGCCCCTTCTTCTCAAAGGTAAGAGGGCCAGTGCCCACCTTCCTGCTTCCAGGCTGGTGATTGGCTGCCAACAATTGCTATTATACCCCAGATGCTGAGGCCTTGGGAGTGCAAAGATGAATTAGGGGTTCCCAGGCGAGAAGGGCTAAAATGAAGGAAAAGAGAGCTATGCCAGAGAGCCATGGTTTAGGCCCAAGGGGCCCCAGGAGGCGCTGCAGGTCAGCTCCAAGGAGTGAGAGGCAGAGGGCAGTGTGGGGTGAGGTGGGCTCCAAGCTCCCCATTATTTGCCTTCACCTTTCCTGGGCTGCAGAGGGGAGAAGGAATTTGGGGACCTATGAACAAATCATCCCTTTGCAGACATGACCTTCATCCACGAGGGAAACCACACACTGGTGGAGAATCTCATCAACTTTGAGAAGATGGTGAGCCCCGGAAGAGTGGGTGGCTGCCACCGGGAGATGGGCCAGCAGCCTGGAAGGTCGTGGGTGGGAGGTGGCCGACACTTGTTAGGAAAGCGGCAAACATGATACTTGTTGAACAGCCCCTGCCTTACCCTTGAGGGGCTCCAAAGGTGACAGTGTCAGACACCTCACCATTCAGTGGTATCCCCTTCTGGCCTTGTCTCAGTCCTGCCTGATCTCTGGCTTCCTCCACTTCCTGGTCCTGCTGGGCCTCTCCTGTACTGGGGTGAAGTAGTGGGGACCGCAGCACTTACAACCCCTTAGTCCCCAGGAGCATCCAGTTCAAAGGAGCTTGGGTTTCTGGCAGGATGGGGCGCTGTCCTGCAGGCCAGCCCTCATGCCCTTGTGTTGCCCACAGCGGATGATGGCCAGGACCGCGAGACTGCTGCACCATTGCCGAAGCCACAGCACCGGTAAGAGGCCTGGCCCCAGTGTCCCCTGGGGAAGGTGGTGACTGTGTCTCCCTGACTCCTACCTCTCACCCACTAGTGCCTCTCTCACCACTCCGGAGCCGAGTTTCCCACCTCCATGAGGATGGCCAAGCATCAAGGATTTCCACGTGTAAGTGAGGTGAAAGACGTGGGCACTGACCATAGTGAGCCGTGGCTGGCATTTCCTGGGCACTTGCTGAGTGGCAGGCACAGAGCCAGGCCCTGCCACGCATGATGCTGGCCCCTCTACACAACACCTCTGTGAGGCCGGAGAGACTGTTATCTTAGAGGAGGGAAGGCTGGGGGCTGAGGCAGGAGGACCATGAGTTGGAGCCCACCCTGGGCAACTTAGTGAACCCTGTCTCAAAATAAACAAAAGGGTTGGGGAGGTAGCTCAGAGTGAAAGCCCTGGGTTCAATCCCAATACTTGGAAAAACAAAGGAGAGGACGGCAGTGCTGAAGCGCATAGTGATAGAGCCAGACCCAAGCATTGTCACTCTTAGCTGCCCTTCGTGGTGGGACCTTTGTGGTATGAAGTGGAATTAATCATGGTCTGGGGCTTATGAACTCCATGATGGGCCCTTTTTGTTTTAATGCATACATTTATTTCAATCATGAATACCTCCAGGCCAGGGATTTAGCTCAGTGGTTCCACCGCCTGCCTCCCAAGCACAAGGTCCCGAGTTCCATCCCCGGTACCAAAAACAAAAAAGACTACCTCAGGCCCAATCCAAGTATGAGAACATTGGTAATAACTTACCCCTCCACCGTCCGCCTGCTCCTCCCTGCCTGCCGTCACCGCTGTCCAGGTTTCTCCTATGTCTCACCATATCTCACTCACAATTTCCTTATATTCACTTGTTTTTAAAAATAGCCTTACTTCACACCTACACGTACATCTCTTTGAAATCCTTCATCTACAGTATATGTACGTAACAAAATATTTTAAAATTTTAGTTATTTTTGAACTTAGTAGAAGGGGTATTATGCTGTACGCGATCCTGGGACCTGCTTTTCTTCAGACTCCTAAGCGTAGTGCTATTCTGTCCCCAGAATCCACTGGGCTGTGCAGTCCTGGGGCCTAGTGACAGCGGCAGTGGACGTGGAGGCAGAAAAGGCCCGGCTGCTCCTTGGAGGGGGAAGGGTGGGGCTGTGCACAGTGGCCCTGGTGCCTCCCTGATGGCTCGCCCTCCCCCAGGCTCGGAACAGTCCCTGAGCACCCGGAGTCCAGCCAGCACCTGGGCTTATGTCCAGCCGCTGAAGGTCATCGACAACCAGAGGGAACTCTCCCGCCTCTCCCGGGAACTGGAGCCCTGAGGAGGGGCTGGGGCCACAGCAGGCGCCTCCCAAAAGCAGGGCAGGCCCGGGCCAAGGGGCCCACGGCCGGCTGCAGCTGGGCAGGGCTCTCCGAGAGTGGACTCAAGGCCCTGGAGCGGGCAGCGTGGAGAGAGCTGGCCTCTGTGATGACTGGCGGCTGAGGAAGACCGCAGAGTGGAACTGCGCTGGGGCCCACGGCCAAGGAATGGGGGCCAGCACGGCTGAGGGAGTGGGTGGGAGAGCAGGGCAGGCCCTGGACTCTGTTCAATAGAGAGCTCTCCTCACCAAGGTTTTTGCAGCTTCTAGGCCTTGTGGCTCTGTCGTGCAGGGCCAGGCCCGCATTTGTTTTCGAAGTGGAGAGAGACTGCAGACGCACAGCATGTGCGTGTGGCAGGGGCTGGGGCCGCCCGCCCCGGAGGGCGGGAGCCTGGGAGACCGGGAGACGGGAGTCCTGCTTTTCTTTCCAAAGCATCTGAGATAAACAGCTGGGTGTGGGCGGGGCTGTTCGGCAGGGAGTGGTGGTCCCTGAGGAGCTTTATTGTTCCCACAAGCTAACAAAGATATATGTGTTCTGCGGCCAGCCATGCGGGGGCGTGGCAGAGAAGGGGCCGCTGGGCAGGGGGCAAAGCTCCAGAATGGCTGACTGTTTCCCAGATGTGCGCCTGCGCCCCGGGCCCCAGGCAGCCAGAGAAACGGAAACCATCAGCTCTCCACGGTGGAGACCATAGAGTCGAGATGCAACTAGCATTCTCCCTTCTTCCTCCTAATTCCAGTCCCTGTTCCCGGTGTTTGCTCTGAATGGAGGCCTCCAAGGGAGCTAGGAAAGAATGGAGAAGGTGCTGAGGGCTAGGCTGCTGAGGATGGCATCCCTCCTCAGGTCTACCAGCCATCCAGAAGATTAGGACTTAGCCTCTAGCAAGCTCTGTTCTGTTAGGACCTCCTTTCCCTGCCCCTGCAGCCATCCCCAGGAACCCAGAAGCTCCGGGCAGGAACTGCACCCTCTCTCTTCTCCTTGCCCTGGACCCTAGCAGCGGCAGGTACATTGTCTGGCCTGAGAGAGACCTCACAGCGTCCAGGATGAGCCTGAATGGGCTCTGAGGCAGCAGGGCCCTGGGGTGGCTGCCCCTCTGCAGCAGTGGGGGCAGCTGGTGTGGTCCTCGCTTGGCAGATGTAGCAGCTGGCTCAGGCAAGGCACACCTGTCTCCCCCTGACCCAGATGCTGCCAGATTCCTCTCAGCCCAAGGTCATGGGCGCACATGTCAGCAGGGCGGCAGAGCCATTGGGAGGGAGGCAGCACAGCTGGGATTATACCTAAGGTTTCTTATCAGCCTGATCAAGTCAGTTCATTTCTCCATCTGTAAGAAATGTATAATGATTGCCATCCCGCTGTTAGTGAAAAAACTGCAGTTCCTGCCTCTGCAGCAGAGATGACCAGCACAAGCAGTCCTATGTCTGAAGCCTGATGAAGGGGCAGTATCACCTAGGTGAAGCCTGAGGTGGACACTGAGGTGGAGCCCATGGCAGGTGTGTTAGTTACCTTGCTGTCACTGATGACATACCCCACACCTGCAACTTAAAAGAGGAAAAGTTTATTTTGAGTTGCAGTTTCAGGGGGTTCAGTCCATGGTCAGCAAGGTCCGAGGCAGAAATGGCATGGTGAAAAAACATGAAATCATGTTGTCATGGCTGCCAAGAGGAGAGAGAAAGGGAGAAAGGATGGGGAGAAGCCAGGGACAAGAGTGCACCCTTCCAGGTCAACCGGCCCCCCCCGCCTTGCCCCGTGACCCACCACCTCTAACCAGGCCCCACCTGCTAACAGCAAGTCAGGCATGCACTCCTCAGCGGTCTAATCCACTGGCAACTATAGTGCCCCAGGATCCAATCCCTTTCAATCACATGAGACTTTGGGGGAGCGGGGTCGAGGACACTTAGATCCAAACCGTAATAGCAGGGATCACCAAACCAGTTATCTTGCCTCTGGGTGGGGATGGTGCCTCATGGGGCATGGGCAGGAAGCTCATTGAGCTGAGTAGTTGTGACCACACCTTGGTGAGTCAGGAGTCACAGGAGCTTTCTTTCTTCTCTTTTAACTGCGTTGCGTGGGTGTTTTGGCCAAACCCACACCAATCAGCAACCCACGGTTGTCCTGCAGCTTTGCAGACACCAGTTCATACCCACATTTCAGTGGAACTTCTCTGCTACACATGGGTTTTCTACCTTGGATGACCCTCAGCTTCTGCTGCCTTAGCCCCTCAGGTGGGACACCTGAGCCTATTGGGAGAATAGTGCCCTGGGAAGGCTGGAGGATGATTGGGAGCAGAAGGCTGAGGAGAGGGCAGAGCCTTACATGGTGGCCTCATGACTACCCAGGCATGGGGTGAGAGTAGGAAAACATCGTCTCCTGCCCCTTAGCAGCCCATGGTGTGTGGAGGTTCCCAATCGTATCCCAGCTTCAGGATGGCATGTTGGATGGAGAAATTCATGGGTCTGTTGGTGAGAGAGAGAGTAGTATAGTTAGATCCATGCTTTAAAAGAAAAATACTTAAAAGAAGGAAAAGGAGAGTGGAGTGTGTGTCCTATGGGGAAGGACAGAAGAGAAGGGTCGTTCTTGTACCCGTGCACACACACACACCCCTTTTGCCCTGAGCTTTCCTGTGAGGGCTGCAAGCAGGGTACAAGTGAGCAGGGTTAGACTCTAGCAGGCAGGACCTAGGGAAAGGGTGGAGCGGTTCTGGGGGCTTCTACCAGCCCTTCCCACCCCTGCCCCCCCAGGCCACATCACATGGACGTGGAGCCCATGGCCCGCATCTCCCCTTTCACTTCTGGCTTAGAGTGGGGTGAGGGATAGAGCTGTTCCCACAGGCCTGGAGACTCTGTGTCCCCAGTGACACTTGGCCTCTGGCCACTCTCTTTCCCAGGCATTAAAGATTTGTCTTTCAAGCTGGGGATTTAGCTCAGTGGTTCCGCCACCTGCCCCGAAAGCGCAAGGACCCTAGTTCGATCCCCAGTACAAAAAAAAATAATTATCTTTTAATGTTGCTGTTATTCACAGGATTTGTGACAGCAGCAGACTGAGATTTGATCAGTGTTTCCGTCCTTGCCCTTCACACTTTCACATCTATGACCTTGTTTCTACCCTGATGATAGATGGGTACTACAGATATTTTTACCCCTGTTTCATACCCAAAGAAACCGAGGCACAGATTTGCCTAAGTTCACATTGCTATAGGGGCAATAAATATAACTCCCAACTTGCTGAATGTCAGATATGCTGAGTTTGTGTTCCCTGAAATCAAAGCATGAATTCTAAGGAATGTCGGAGATTAAGAGTAAGAATACTTCATTGAGAGACAGCTCCTGAGAGACAGGAGGGGACCCAAAAGAAGGTTGCCTCAAACCCCACTTCACAGAGGAAGTTTTATAGAGCAAAATCACGAGGTGGGCACAACATTGGTCAAAACTGTGATCAACCAATAATATTACAAGTGTAGCTGCATAGGTAATATTGACCCAGTGGGGAAGCAGGTCATGTAGCAAGTGTACATAGAAAGAACAAAGACCTTTTTAGGAAGGGATCGATCAAGAGGTCCTTGTCACCCACCTTGGGTGACTGATGTCTGTCTAGACTTTATTTGCTTATCCCTTGGGGAGGCATGCAGGCCTGGTCCTTCCATCTTTATCCCTTGTAGGTCTGGTCATTCTGTCTTTGTCTTGAGGCCTGGCCTTCAATGGATGTGCCTCCAGACACAGTTGTAATATGTTTTCATCACTTCCTTGAGGGCCCAGCACTGTCTGATTGCTTATAATATTTCTGCCTAACTAACTTAGCTGTCTGTAATAACTGCTTAATAACAGGATGGCTGGATGAAATAACTGATGTGTATCAGCCATGTCCTACCTTGTGTCCCCAGGGCTCCCAGCGTCATCTCCCTGAACCCCATTTTCTCCTCTCGTAGGAATAGATCCAAGTACAGAAACTCCTTGCTCCCTCTCCATTTTCAAGCATTTACAATGGCTTGGTAGGCTATCTGAACACGACTGGCAGTTTTGGCCCTGATGGAGCCATCAACCCAGCTGGGCAGACAAGTCCTTCAGAAGCAGATCTTTCAAGGTCAAGTCCAGAGGGTGGTAGGTGCCTGGGGTTCCTATGTCTCACCACTCATCCACAAGCACTGAGGCCCAGAGCCACCGCCAAGTTGGAGTGTGGGTTCATAACCCCAGCCATTCGCTCCCTTCTCAGCCCTGCACCCTGCCTGCCCAGCTCTGCCTTCCTTGCTGGGGTGCCCCCAGCTTCCCACGGGCATATGTGCCCTGAGTGTCAGATGGGCACGGTGCTGGTGGCTGGAGCAAGTGCAGACCTGGAAGTTGTTAGTGCTTCTTTCCTCTCCTCCACAGATCTATAGAGGTTTTTAAAAGATGTGTCCTTATACCTGCCTCCCACACAATGATTTAGGCCATTGTCTGAACTAAATGTCCCCCAGGCCTTCCAGTTGCCCCCAGCCAATCCAAGCTTCCTCCTCCAGATCCCTGACTCTTTGAGACCTGAGCTGCCACCCTTCTGCAGTGCAGGGTGAAATGGCCTGCTGCCCTGGGACAGGTGGCTGCTGTTCCTTCCCTAATGATGACAGAACTGCACTTACTGAGAGAAGGTGGGTCTGACTCAGATGCTTATCTTGTCTCCCATGTCTGGGGGCCTTCCTGGAGCAGGTACCCGATGGGATCATGAGAGCTGCTAGGAGTAGTAGGTGGATCACTAAGGAAGGAGCCTACTGGCCCCTGGAAGCAGGAAGAAGGATGAACTCAGAATGCTGGAAGGTATAGGATTCTAGTTGCTTGTGTGTGTGGAGATCTGGCCAATGTGGAGTGGGGTGCCAAAGGTCTTGCCCCGACCATCCTGCCTTCCTCTGGGCCCCTGGAGAGCACTCAGGGTCCCAGCTTTCTCAGGGGTGTGATTGTGGGCAGCTGGAGCTGTTTCTGGGTTGCTGACTGTGAGACAGTTGAGGCTTTCCTGGCGTTTGGGGATCTTTAGCCATAGACAGGTAGAGACAGTGACTTTTTGCTGGATTATGATAGCAGAACACTCTAAGTTTAGGTGGTCTCCCAGAAAAGTGCCTCCTCAGCCAGAGCTTGAGGCAGCACAGGTAGGCAATGTGTGGGTGGGAGGAGCCTGGGCCTCAGTTTCCTCCTTGATGAAAAGGATTTGAACTGGAAGTGTTTGGGGGGTGGTTTCCTGCCCTCAGAGTCCATGAGTTAGGCAGCTCAAGGTGTCACAAGGTGAGGCAGTGCAGATCCTCCAAGTATCTTCTTGGGGTGACCTCTAGCCAGGACTGCCCCTGGAGGGCTAGTTGGCAGAAGCAGTTGTATCGCAAGGGCTGTCGGAGTTGCCCTAAGTATTGCCCTCCATGGCCTGCGAGTGCATGACTGCTTGCCTTCTCCTCCTGGAGTTCTAGTTGTCTGTAGAGGGGATCAGAGAGCACCTCAGGGTGGGACACAAGGATAGTGGGTGGGACACAGCTGTACTTGCTCAGCTTTGCTGGGGCTGAGCCCTGTAGGAATGCTGTGTCCTGGAGGGAGAGCCAGCATGTGCAGGCACCCGGAGGAGGGAGGTCTACATCTCCATGTCTGTTTCCTCTCGGTTCTTGGCTTCCCTTCAGGCAGTTGCAGCGAGGTCAGAGCCCAAACTTGGGTTGAGTTGGGGGCTGGAGCCAGGGATTTGTTACCATTGAAGTTCTTAATGACCCTACCCACACCCTCCCAGCAAGGCCACAGGCCACACCCCAGAATCAGGTTACCTTTGGCACCAAACCAAGTGAGCTGGGCAACAGGACTGACTCACTGAAAGGCTGTCATCCCTAAGACTTGAAAACTCTGAGAGTGCTCATTTTTAAAATTTACATTTACTTTTGAAACTATGAAAGATGCATCACATTATGGAGAGTTTCGAGATGCTGCCACTTTCTCATGCTTCGTGTGTCTGTTTTAAATGTCTTATTTTAGGGAGGACTTCCCTAACCATCCCTTCTAAAGTAGGCCCTTTATGGCCATTTTTTTTTGTATTAAATTCTTTTATTGGTACATTGTAGGTATACAACACAATTACATTTCTCATTGGGAATTGTACCTTCACATAATGCATCTTGGTTCTTATTTTTTCCCCATTCCTAGTATGGCCATATTTTTTTAAACACTTATCTGGTTCTTGTTGTGTGCTAGGCACTATTCTAAAGCTTTGAAGTATTAGCTCAGCCCCCACAACAGTCCTGTCAGGTGCTCCTACTTGCTCTGTTACATCTCTAGGGGAAACTGAGGCACAGAGGATAGTTGCCCAGGATTGTCCAGGTGGTGACTGGCAGAGTGAGGACTGGCCCCAGCAGTATGGCTTCAGAAGCAGTGGTGTCAGTGCTGAGTCCTGTGGCCCCCATCATAGCTTTAAATGCACTTAGGTCATGTCTTTCTCTCTGGATGCAGAATGAATGAATGAATGAATAATCACTGTCTTTGTGAAGCAGAACAGCCCTGCTGTGCCAACGAACCGGAGGCACACACTGGTGTGGGGCTCCTGCCAGTGCCTGGCTCCTGGGTGGCCTGGAGTGTGGCTCTCCCTCTTGATCTTACCTTTGCTCACTGCCTCCTTATCACTGTCTGTCCCATCCACTTCTCTTCGTTCACCATATGCTTCCAGATGCTCTCCAAAGTAGGTGGAGCTTGAGGATCTACAATAGTAATTTTACTTTATCTTTACTTTGGGGCAGTATAAAATAAACATTAACACAGCTGGAACAAAGTAGAGACAGGAGGCTACTCTATGATCCTTAAAAACATGGGATAAAGTTAAGTCATCTGTTACTCTGTGGATTCTGAAACTGTTTGAATCCTGGGTTCTGTATGATCCCCAGGGTGGCTGCTTCTTGCCGTGGTGGTGCCGAAGCATATTAGCCTGTTGTATGCTACTATAACAAAATACTGGAAGCTGGGTAGCTTTTTAAGGAAAAGAGGTTTATTTTTCTTGTAACTGTGGTGTCTAAAAGTCCAAGATCAAGTAGTCTCTTTGGTTCTGGCTCTAGTGAGAGACTAAGCTGGAGCAAGATGGAAATGAAAGATCACATCACAGAGAGGAAGCCAGAGCAGGGAAGGGGGGCCAACTTTTTCTTATAACAGCCCTCTCATGAGAACAAATCAAGGGATCTCATGAGAACTCTCTTCATCCCATCTGAGGGCAGAACCCCAGTGACCTCCCCACAGGCTCCTCTTCCTCTGCGCTGCCACACTGAGGACCAAGCTTCCGACTTGTGGATCCTTGGGAGCAAACCATATCAAAACATGCAAGTGGCTTGAGAGGTTAGGTCCCCCTCAAATTTCCACTGGCCCCAAATGCACACACAGTGTAGCTGAAATTAGTGTGTTTACTATGAAAATGCAAGTCCAAGATGAATCGCAGCTGGGGTGGTGGTGCACACCTCTAATCCCAGTACTCTAGAGGCCAAGGCAGGAGGCTCCCCACAAATTCGAGGCCAGCCTCAGCTACATAGTTCAAGCTCAGACGGGACCAGGTCTAAAAAAGAAAAAGGAAAAAAAAAAGATGAATCCCTAGACCTTACTTCCACCCTGGGGCTGTCGGCTCCCTGGGGCGAACACTGCAGCTTTCACAGCTGACAGGGAGCCACCTCCTCACCTCTGTTTTGCTAATCATCCACTCAATTCTCTAGTAACAATCAGGCTAGAAGGCCATCCTCGTCGCCTCATTCTTTCCTGTGTTGATGCCTTGCTGTTCCCAAGCACGTGTGGATAGCTGTCTAACAAACACTGGGGGGCAATGCCAAGCAGTAGAGGGACCAGGAGGCAGGATTACTGTCTCAAGGAATTTCAGAAGTGAGCTAAAGAAACAGCTAGTGAACATGAAAAGTAAAGTGGCAAGCCAGGTGTTAACTGATGTCACATTGGCAGCAACAGAGCCATCAGAGGTGGCTGTGAGGCGTCAGAGTCACATGGGACAAATATCATAGGCAGCAGGGCTCCTGTGGGCTGCAGATGAGTAGCAGATGGACATCCAGCAAGCAGAGAGGGCAGGCAGAGGGCATTCCAGGCAGACAACCAGCCTGAGGCAGGGCCAGGAGAACCAGATGCACAGCCTGGGGGTCTCTGTGGTGAATGGCCCCAACTGGCAGGTCTGACCAATGTGCTGGGGGCAGGCGGGGCAGTGAGTGTGATGCTGGATGTCAGGGCTGCCCACAAATTTCAAAAGAGAAGCCTGGAAACACGACTGTGGTATGCAGCATACAACCCAATGTGGCAAAAGAAATCACCCATGTGGCCGTTTCCCAGACACATTCAGAGAACAGATGGGAGCCACCATCCCAGGCCTCTCTCTGGGGGCCAGGCCAGGCCAGCCCTCTTAGGCTGCAGCAGGCTGGAGGATGGAAATCCACAATCTTCAGGTGCCAGGGTCCGCTGGGGAGGCGAAGCCAGACCTCACCCTTGCCGGGCCAGCTGCAGGCTCTTTCAAGGTGCTGGTCTCGGCCTTGGTTTCCCAGGAGGACTGGCCTGGTGGAATAGGGTAGCCTTGGCATACATCTCTCTGAGTGTCTCCTGGGCCAGTCTCTCCCTCCGCCTTTTGATCCTAACATACCCCTGACCAACAGTGGTAGCCAGTGATGAGTGTTGCCTACTTCAAACATCTGTTTAATGCCAAACTTATCTGTTCTCTGTACCCCTGCCCCACAAAACTAATAAGTTCCAAGAAGAGTTTTCCAGTCTGGCCCAAACCTGCCAGTCCAATTATAGTGTAGCACCCAGTATATAATACGTGCACAAAAAATAATTGCTGATGGAATTCCTATTTCTTACATCTCTGACAGCTGACTGCCTCCCAGACCCTGGCTGAACAGCTATACCCTTTTCCCCACCCTCCAACCTCCCCGCCCACGGAGGCCACAACTTTGTCATCTCTGTTGGTATTCTCATCCTCCACCGTCTGCCATGCACCCGCTTCCACCTCTCCCAGCCCCAGGTTGCCAGGACCCAGCCTACTGTGGCTCCCCCTCGCTGGCTGGTCCTTACTGTGGCTCCTTGGAAAGAGCTTGAATGGGTGGAAAACACATGTGACCCACTGGCTGGAGGAGAATTTAGAAAGAATAGCAGCAGAGTTCTCTGTGCACGGGGCAGAGAAAGCTATTTCAAATATATTCTGATTTATTTGTCAGTGCATGCATGCACACACAGATAAATATATATGGCCATCTAAGTTTACCCCTGAGTCATCTTTGCATGAAGGTATTGACGTATGTTCACTTACTGACTTAATGGACTTTTTCTCTTACTGTCTATTTTTACCTAAGTCAGCATCTCTTGAGTGTAAAGTCCCAGGAGTCAGTCAGAGATCAGATCTGTGACAGGGGGAGGAGGGGTGAGCAGCCGTGAATGGGTGTACCCTAACTATCCTCCAGCACCAGAGGCACTAACCAACCCAAAGGGAGGAAGGATGACCACTTGGGATTGTGAAGGGGTAATGACATCACAGGAGAAGCAGAACAAGATAACCACTGAGGCCCTTTAATCCCAGTGAATCTGAGTCTACACATGTAGCTTCTTGGCAGATCATGTCTGTGACTATAGATAAGTGGGTGTTTGAAGGGAATCATACAAAATAATTCTATGGATGTCCCTAATTTGGATAAAGAACCTGCCAGACTAGGTCCATCTTGCTGTGCTTGCATGTACGGCCTGTTTTCTAGCTATAAACAGCCAGCATTACCTGTTTCAAACATCTGGAATTACCTGCCTGCTTAGTCACCTTCCTTTTGGCTTCAGACAGTTGTCGTGCCCCACCTCCTCTCCACCTCCTATGCCTCCATAGTCCCTCCCTCCCTTTTCCCTCCTGGAAGGATCTGGACTCACCAGATCCACAGGTCCTGGTGTCTTTAAAAGGATCAGTGTAGGGAATAAGGCTCATTTGAGAGCTGTGACATTCATCTTGACTCTAGCGAAAGTCCAACAGCAAGTTCCCTTTTGGCCACCAACTGGGCACCATGAGGACCTGGGTCCCCCTGACAGTGTCCATGCTCTGTGGCCTGGCCTGGGCTGGTAAGTATCCGGTGGGCACAGGAATGGGGTGGGTAGGGGTCTTGCCCAAAGAACAGGGCTGGGAAACCTGGCAGAAGGTGGGTGCAGTGGGGCAAGGAAGGGTGAGCTTGGTCTTAAATCCATGGAGGGCTTTTCTCCTGTCCTCTCGGGGTACAGGGGCTGACCTTGTGGAGGCTGCACTGTGAGGAAGGAGGTACAAGGCTGAAGGGCTTATTTCACGGAAGCTCTTTTTTGCCACCTCCCAGTATCACTAGTCCCAACATCACTAGTCTAACCAGACTTTTGATCCTATCAAGAGTTTATTGGGTGTGGGGGAGCACTGCATGATATAAAGCTGGGCCTGCGGCCTGTGTGGGCTGTGGCCTGTGGCTGCCTCTGGTCATCCCCTCCTCTGCGGCCTGGTGTCTGGTGAGGTTGTCTAGGGTGTGACTTTTCTCTGGGTAAAGCCCTAGGAAATGGGCAAGCTCAGGAGGAAACCAGGGGGCCCCCTGAACAGGAAGTAGGTCACATGCCACGTGGGGCTATACAAGTAGTTAGAGGAATGGGTATGGGTCTCTGTCTCCTGTGTTAGGAGAACTAAAGAGCAGAGAGTGAACCTGGCTTACAGTCAGCAGCAGTGCAAGGGATGGCACCAGTAGGGGAAAGGAGCACTTTCCTGTTTAGTAACTGTGCAGGAGGCGGATGCTGATGTGTTAATTGGTGGTTAGAGGGCAGGGAGAGGTGCCAAGGGAGGGGGCTGAGCTGAGGGGTGTGGGCAGCATCCTCCTCTGCCCAGGGAGAAAGAGTTGAACTTGGTGTCATTCCACCCACCTGGGTTGTCCCTGCATGGGACTGTTGTGAAGACCAATAAGACAATGCAGGAGAACCACTGGGGTAGATGTGAGACCTTAGAGCTCTTAAACTTCAGTTAGGATCATGGTTATAAATATTCCCAGGAAACTCATTCTTGGGGTCATTACCAATCAGGCTGCGGATAAGGAGCCCCTTAGTGGGACTCCTAAATGGCAAATTTGAAGGAAACAGTTGTTCACAGGCCCCAAACAGTGGCTGGAACCATGTAGCTCTGCCTGGGTCCTGCTGGCAGAGAGGAAGTGGGAGGGAGGGAGGAAGGGAGGGAGGGAGGGAGGGTGTGGACACCTCAGTCGGCTGGCATGGAGGACAGGAGCGTGTGGGGCCTAGTGTGCAGGGGCGGCCGGTGGGCCTGGGATAGCCCTACCTCAGGACTGGGGCAGAGGGGACACTGGAGAGCTCCAGTCCCTGGGGGGCCTCCCTGAGGGAAAGCAGCAGTGGCTGCAGAGAGAAGGTGGTGCCTGGCTTCGAGGTGAGGACGGTTTCCAGAGCTGGTAGGGATAGGAAAGGAAGGCAGGGAAGTGAGGCAGGAAGATGGGGCTCTGCTCACAGATGCTCCATCCCAACACCTCAGGGCCTAGAAGCCAGACTGAGTCGAACAGGGGCAGTCAGAACCAGCCTTGATTTTTTATGAGCCAGGTACTATGGAGATCCTGGGTGAGTGAACAGAGGCAGGAAGCCACTCCTGGGAGTGAAGCTTTGGTTCACTAGGTCATACAAACAGCATCTGGGGCCCCCTGAGGGTGCACATGTAGGACAATGAAACCACCAGCGGGGCTGAGGGCTGGCGGTAGGAACCCATGTCCACCCAGGCTTGGAACCAAGTTCAGTACAGACAGGCAGTAGGGTTCTGGCATATTAATGTCTTAGAGGTGCATTTAGCATTTCATGGGTGGAGGGAGAGCCAGAGCTTTTCACGGGGAATGGTGGGAGAACTTGAGACCCAGAGAGGAAAAGTGAAAGTGAAGAGAAGCAGAAAGAGAGTTAGAGAGAAAGGAGGCAGGACAAGAGGCGAAGGCCACCGGGGCAGTGATCCAGGCCCCTGGCCTGCGAGTGAGGCTCACACAGAGCCTCTGTGTCCACGGGAGGTTTGGGTGGGGTGCTGGGCTGGCAGCCAGGGGACTTGTCATCCGAGTGTCCCCAGAACAGCACAGCAGGCACTAAGGAGGAAGAGTCCTTCCCTCCACCCTCTGTTCCAGTCACCTTGAAGCAGACCAAGTTCAGAGAAATGGACGCCCCCTTGGCACAGGTTCTTAGTGGAGACAAAGGTCTTGGACAGAGATAACAATGTCCATGCAGCTGGGGCCAATGGGGACGGCTCCTCCCAAGCTGCACAGCTGACTGTTCCCTGTGGCCCTTCTAACTGAGGCCGGGGCCGGAATGGGGTGAACCCTCCCCTGGGACTCTGCTGGTCTGGCCCATTAAAAATACTGCCCTGATTATCCACATGCTCTCCCTTGGATTCTGGGTGTACTGCCAGGCTGGCCTGCAAATTTCTCCTGAAGACCTCTGCATTCAGGTGCCAAGAGAGCATCACTTAAGATTCCAGGCGAGTTCCTGTGGGCTTGAAAGGACCAGTAGTCTCGGGCTTGGTCTCTTTTAGAAGCAAGGCACGGAACTGGGACCAGCATCCTGTCTTTCTGGATGCCTTGAGGGCTCTACCCACCGCATGGAGTTGCCTCAGGGCCTGGGTTAACCTTCACCTGACATCTCTTTGATGTAAAGAATGCAGACTTGTAGTGATGATGCCAGACAGAATACCATCAGCAACTTATGACCACCTGGCTTACAGAGAGTCATCGAGACTACGCACATGGGTAGGGTCCCTGTGCAGGCACATCACCCCCAAGGTCTAAACACTTGCTGCTATGAACGTGGGCATGAAAGGTTGCTGCTGTTTATTTACCTAAAAAATACCTACATGGCTTCCTATGTGTCACGCACTATGCTAAATGCTGTGCAAATATTAACTCATGTCATTCTTATAAGTATGGTATGAGATAAGTTCCAGTACTTTCTCACTTTTACATATAAGGAAATAAAGGCACAGTACCTTGCCCCAAATCACAGTTAGAAAGCAATAGAACCAGAATTTCAACCCCAGGCAGTTTTGGTGTCTGAGTCCAGGTTCTTCGTCTCTGTGCTATGCCTTCTCTCCTTAGACACCCAGAAATGTAAGGACCTAATCCTGGAATCCAAACCAGCCACTAAACCCCTATCCCCCATACTCAACTCTAAGCTACTCCTCCTATGCTATGACACTGCAGACCTGTGTTGAAACAGGATCAGACCTAAGCTCCAAATCCAACTAAGCCAAAGCTGGAGTTACTTCTCTTCTCACCCTGGTCCATCGTTGAACCCTAAATGTCATCCTCAACCAAATCCTATCCCTTAACCAAAGATCAGGACAAAATTATTACTTTGTCAATAAATTTGGAGGAAGCCCCAACCCTAACTGTAGCTCATAGTCGACGCCTAGCTATAACTGGGTCCAAGTTGGGTTTCTGTTTCCTTGCTGATCAGATTCTGATGCTCAGAATAACTCTGCCTGAGATCTTGGCATCTGTGCCACCCTCAGCCTGACCCCTAAATCCAGCATCCTCAGCATCCAAACCTCAGGAACCTCAAATGGAAACAAAGACATTGCTATCGCCTGAGCAGCCCACAGTGGAAGGAAATGGGCCTCTGGCTTGTGTGCTGGGCTCTTTGCTGTGGTGGGCATGGCGAGGCTGTCTTTTTTCCCAGAATGGTCGTGGGTTTGTAGTGTTCCTTTCAAAATGTTTTGCCTTTTGCCCCTTGTGACCAAAAGCTTCTGCAAACCATTTGGCTACAGTGAGGGATGAGGTCTGTGGTTATGGAACCGAATGCCATCCCACAGCACGGTTCTCACCCACACCCACCTCATTCCCCGCTCTGAGGATGAACCTCTGTGAATGTGTGCTGAAGACTGACATGGGGGACCCAGGGCGCAGACAGCATGCAGGAGGGAGAACAAAGGAGCCAAAGGCATGAAGGGGACAGGGTGTGAGCAGGGCACCGAGCAGGGAAACCCATCACGGGCCAGCAGCAACTTCCCTGAGCGACAGGTGAACGGCGGCCTGCAGGTCACATCAAGTCCACAGACGTCTTTCTTTGGTCCATGTGAAGTTTTAAAAACTGGGGAAATTTCACCTAAAAATGAAGGTTTCTCTTGGAAAACTGGAGGCTCTGGCAATGGGCTGGAGCTGAGAAGGGCCACAGATTTCAGACAGTGTGGCTCTCAAGTTTGTCATGGTCCCTACCTCTTCCTGTAGCCTCCCACTCTGCTTCTTTGTCCATTTCTGTCATGGTCCTCACCCAACAAGCATTTCAGCCCAAGATCCTGATGGGTACTCAAGCCCTGGGGTGCCTGGTGGGTGGCGGAGCAGGCCCGTCCTGTGCACGGGTGCCGAAGGTGCACTCCTCCCTTGTAGGGAGCAGCGGCCTTCCCTACTAGGGGCCCTGCTGCTGCCTGTGAACCCAGCCCTAAGGGCTCCTTTAGGAGGGGCCTAGGCTCCCCAGAAGCTGAGTCTGTAACCTCAACTCCTGCAGGGAACCTGGAATCGTGTGCATCTCGCTGCAGTGAGCAGTTTGACCGGGACAGTGCCTGCCAGTGTGATCACCGCTGTCCCGAGCATGGGGACTGCTGTGACGACTACGAGCTCCTGTGTGCTGGTGAGGCTCTCGGGGCTGAGGCGTGGTGGGTTCAGGGATCTGCCCACCCCTTGTCTCAGATTTCCCGGGAAGTCCCCAATTTAAACTATGGTAGATGCCGCTTACCTGGTAAATCTGTCTCCATGACTGGGATTAACAACAGCATCAAAGTTTAAGTAACTAATTCCAAAAAAAGGAACAAAATAAGAAAAAAATAACATTTCAGCATATATGACATTACCAATTGTTATCCAACACTTTAAATCCCCCAAATATGAAAATGGTAGTGAGCTCTCACAACCCACCTCACAAGCCACCAGGAAGACCACATGGTGCCACTGTTACTGTCACCACACATACCACATTTCCTCCAGCAAGTGCATGGAGCAGCCCGTCTCCAAACTGTCATTTCCAGACCACCGATTAAAATGAGACATCTGCCACTCTGGAAGGCCAATTGTTCTTCCACCACTCCAATGGCAAAGCTTTACATGAATAATTTTGTTTGGTACTTGGGATCAAACTCAGGACCTTGTGCCTGCAAGGCAGGCGGTGGAACCACTGGGCTAAATCCCAGGCCTTACATGAATAGTTTTTGAATAATCATTTTTGAATAGTCTCCTTGTTTGGGTGTTTCCGATGTTGCAGACTCCCCCTGTGTTAGGTCATGTGCCCCAACTCTGAGTTTGGAAAATATAGTCCCTGAAGCCTTGGTAAGTAACAACCAGCAGGGTGACCCACCGTGTATGGTTGCATGGGTTATACACTGCACAAGGGCAGCCGGCTGAATGAACGAGCTGGACCACCACCATCCAGTGTGTAGTCTTCTTACCAAATTGTGAGCCCGGTACAGATCTGTGTCTACTAAGAGAAAGGAATGGTTTTACTTAATTTATCCAAAGGTGGCATGTACTGACCCAGCCCCGTGCTCACAGACAGCCTCTCAATCTACACAAGAGCATCACACGTGTTAGGAGACGTCTTGAGGGTCAGGGCTAGGCAGGGAAGCCCAGAATCTGAGCCCACCATTTCCTGCCTGCTCCGCGCCCTCTCTTTCTTATGGCTCAGCAGATGCAGGAAGGCCTGCTCACCTCAGGCCACAACATTGGCACCCTAAGATAGAGGCAGTGCCCAGCTTAGGAGCTATTTCATGTCTGAGTTTCTGATTTTCCGTGGGGAAAAGTCTTGTGAATGACAGCTGAAACTCCAGCGCAGCTCACAAAAGTCTATGAAGCATAAAATGTGTCTGAATTAAGCAACTTACGGATTTCTAACATGTAGAACACTGCCAGGCACAAATGAGTGATCAGAATATATTTGTGGACTGAATGTGTAACCTGACTAGTGGTTCTGATGGCGAAAACACAATACCACCTAGCAAAATCACTAACAGCATCTGAGTTACTCTGTAAGAGTGCTGTTTCTTTGGTTACCTTGACAAGCCCTCCGAAGAGTCTGCGGCCATTTCCAAGTGGGAACGAAATAAAACAAAACAGTGTGAAGTTGGCAGCTCAGGGAATGGTTTTTATTTCTGAGGTCTGAGAATCCTCCCAATCCTGACTAGGGAAACTATAGGATCGAGGTGTTCTGAGGTGAGGATTTGCCATTTGGAGACCATCAGGGCCCTCTATACCTGTGCCAACTTTAGGTGAAGGAAAGTCACAACTGAAACTAGAGTTTTCAGTTTGGAAGGGACCACTCCTGCCTCCTCCTCCTCCTCCAACAGAAGAGCACCCCACTACGAGAATGGTACCGTGGTAGGACATTTGTCAGTGTTCAGCGATAGGTCTTTCCCTGGAAATGCCTTCCATTTTCAGTTTCCACCCCATTTGGGGGGTTCAGGGGGCTTTCCCTTGTACCCCGGGCCTTATTTACTACCTGCTTACCATGCTTGTGTTTTCCTGAGGACCAGGACAAAGAGGAAGGGAAATACTTGGCGATGATCGGTGGTTTTATTTTTCTACTGCAGCTGAAGAGGACTCCACGGAGCCAGAGCCATTCTCGGAAGTGGAGGAAGGGGCCCCGGACAACAGTGAGCCTGCCCTCCAGATGGGAGCCCTTGGGATACAGGAGAGAGCCCAGGGATGACGAGGGGAGAGGGTTCCGGGCCGGGCCTAAGCTAGAAGAGATGGCTGGCCCGCCCGACCTGGCAGAGGCCAGAAACAAGAAAGAGGAGCTCCGCAGAGCAGGGGGGCTGGCCGGGAAGAAGGGCTGAGGCCTGGGGAGGGAAGTGGAAGGGATTTTATTTTTAGAGTGGGGAGATTATTAAAACAACAGGCCCGAAAAAAGTTAGGCATCTGCAAGGACTTCCTGCCGGTGCCGGTGCCGGTGCCGGTGCCGGGTGTGTGTGTGCCGGGTGAGCTCCTGCAAGGAGCTCAGTTTGTTTGTGCTCCTTCCCGGACCTCCAGGAGCTAGGCTCCCGAGCGCCGCGGGAGGGCGGGTGTCAGGCGCGCCCCCTAGCGGGCCGCGTGGGACTCACTCTCTCTGCCCCCTCAGGCTTGTACTCAGCGCCCAGCTCCTGCCAGGGCCGCTGCCGTGAAGCCTTTGACGGGCACCACGCCTGCCACTGTCACGACCGCTGTCAAGAGTCTGGGAACTGCTGCGAGGATTTCGAGAGTCTGTGTGGCAACTACGGTCAGTCTGCTTCCTCTGCCCCGCCCCAGAGCCACGGGGCTCTGCAGAGCTGTGGGCGTCCAAATGGGGTCCCCGGACCGGCCACCCTGGCAGGGATGAGAATCTGTAAGAAGGGCAGACGCTAGCGCTTCACCCAAGACCTGCTGGCCAGGAACTCTGGGCTGGGCTCACCGCTGGGTTTGAACAAGCCCTTGAGGCGATTCTGGTGCCTGCCTCAGCTTGCGAACCTTCCCAGAGAGGAGGGGCGCTGTGCAGATCCCCTGAATTTTGGGACACCCTGATGTCAAGGGCCCTAGAGGCCCCCGCCATCCCACCATGAGGTGTCAGCCCCTCCATTCTGTTGGGTTCTCCAAGGTGCCCTGGGGGATGGCTCGACTTCCCTCTGGCCCTGAGACCACCCCTACCCCAATTCCTCCCAGGGGGCTTCTCCCACAGCAGTGACACCATAACCGAAGAAGAGCTTCAGAGCGTCTCTGAGAAGATCTACAGGGCGGACACCAACAAAGCCCAGAAGGAAGACATCATCCTCAACCGGCAAAACTGTATCACTCCATCAGAGACCGGGGACCAAGTGGACCACTGCCCAAATCTGTGCGTCTCCTCCTCCTCTTCCTGCTTGCCCAGCCTTGGTTTTTGGGATGCCCCAGCATGACGTCAGGCAGGATCAAAGGGAGAGGGAAACATAGGTCTCCAGAGACGAGGAAGCCACTTTGAGGGGCTGTGGGCATCCTGTAGGAGGGTTTCTTGGCCAGGCTGAGGATAGGGCTGATCTTCCAGGAGATGAGGTAGGAGGAACGAGCCCTCATGCCAAGCCACCCAGAGCCCCTGAACTCCTGATCCCAAACCGAGTGCCACTCAGCCTGTCTGGGAGTTTCTGGAAGGGTTTCTGCTGCACGTTCAGGCCTCTCAGTGGGTCTTGTACCACTTGCCCCAGGCTCTTCACCTATGTCAATGAGAAGCTGTTCTCCAAGCCCACTTATGCGGCCTTCATCAACCTGCTGAACAACTACCAGCGGGCCACGGGGCACAGGGAGCTCTTCAACGCCCAGCAGCTGGCTGAGCAGGACATCTTCCTTCGAGAGATCATGAAGACGGCAGTCATGAAGGAACTCTATGGCTTCCTGCATCACCAGAGTAAGTGACTGCTCCCAGACCCTACGGGGCAATGCTAAAGATACAGGTCTGTCTTCAGGAGAGCCAGGCCCTCTGAGGGCTCCCCATCGAGGGTGGGAGAGCAAGGCAGGAAGCTGTGAGGACCTCATGAAGGCAAGGCACGTCTGGGAGGGATCAGAGACAAGCCTGAAGCCTCTCAGAGATTAGGGACCACACGAGGTGCTGGAGAATCTTCTGGCTGGCTGGCTTCAAAGTCATCCCGTCTTTTGACTATTAGCCATCCTGTGGATGCTCCCACCCTCTGCCTCAGTCTCCGGGTCTGCTACAGGGCGCTAGCCTCCCCCACTCCCATCCTCACTCCCACCCCAGGGCACATCTCTGCCCCCTCAGCCAATCCCAGAGTCATACCACAGGTCAGGAAGGTGGAGGTCCTGACTCTTCTCCCGCCTCCTGCACCAAGTCTGGGAAGGCTTGGCAACGCTACACTTTTGGTGGGGAACGGCAACTGAAATCAACAGAGGCTCCAAGAAGACAGTCCTACTGGGAAGGGTTCTGGCTGGAACACCTCCAGATACAGATCTGGGCAAGTCAAACCAAAAAAGGGCTTGGCTGCAGGATGTCTTGGCTCAGGATTGTGTTTGTTCGTGTCCTCCAGATTCCTTCCCCTAACAGTAGGCAGCCGGGCTTGGTCTCAGGGGCAGCTCTGCCCAGGTGCCCCTGGCAGGTCTCAGGGTTGCCTCTGGCTCCGCATGGTGTTGCTGTGTCCCATTTGGTGGCCTCTGCAGAGAGTTGGTGAGACTGTTTTTGTTCTTAGGTAGAGCCAGGGGTACAGGGGATACAGTGAGGCAGATGCGATTGTGTGCTGCCCCCTGGTGTTTGCTCTGTGGTCAACAGTGGACTTTCAAGGGATACGTGGAAGCCCAGCCAGGCTAGAATGACTGGAAGACTGAGGCAGAGCTGTGGTTCCAGTGCCAAAGCCAAGCTGCCCCCTTACTCACCGTCTCCTCCCCTCTCTCCTGTCCATGCCCCACTCACCCTTTAAATTTCAGCTCAGGCCCCACCACACTTACGAAGGCTGCAGCTGCCTCAGCTTGCTTTGGCTGTCAGCATCCCTCTGGGGCCTGAGAGGCTGTCCCATAACCTTGGACCGAAGAAACTGAGTTTGGCTCCTGGTCCTGCTAATTACTAGTGGTGCAACCTTAGTGCTTTGGTTTCAATGTGTCTTCCACATTTTGGGTGCTGGAAACCTAAACTCTAACATTACATGCTAATGGTATTTGGAGGTGAGACCTTTGGGAGGTGGAGTCATGCACGAGCATTTGCTCTTGTGAATAGATTGAATTTTTCCTGGGTTAATAGGTTTTCAAAGGAGTAGCTTTGTTATAAAAAGGAGCTCTCTCGGGCACACTTGTCCTGTCTCACTATCTGACACCCTCCACCATGTTATGATACAGCAAGAAAATGCTCACCAGATGCCAGCACTTGGATATTGGATTTCCCAGACTCAGGAACAGTGAGCTAACTAAACCTCTACTCTATAAATTACCAGGTCTCCAGTATTTTGTTATAGCAACAGAAAGCAGACTAAGACACCTAAACAAGTTATTTTACCTCTCTGACTATGACCTGTGAAATAAGGCCTTGGAGGATTAATGTTTGCAAAGCACCCAGTAGATACCTGGCACCCAGTAAGTGCTAGTAAGGGTAGCTATTCAGTTTGTGAAATACATATACAGTGGACCCCTGAGTTATGACCAGCCTGATATACAAACAACTTGGGTTATGACCAAAGTCTTGAGTTAGGACCCGAATGCTGGCTGCTTGTGTTTCCAGATGGTCTCAGATACAGATTTAGCCTTTAAACAATTCTGGAAGGAACATTACAACATCCTTTCCTGTGTGGGGTTCATTGAGAAATCCTGGGCCAGTGTTACTCTAAGGACACTGAAATCTGCCTGTGTACATGAGAGAGACGTTGAAGGCTGTGTAGAGGAGCCTGAGCCCTCAATTGACCAACTTGAGTTACAACCAGCCCTCACAAGCGAATTGAGTTTGTAAATCAAGGGTCCACTGTATGCATATATGTATATATATGCTATAATATGTATATGTATATATATATATATATATATATATACATAGCAATAAAAGACACATTACCAGTAATCTTCCTTAAAATATTCCTCCTCACTTGGAACACATGTACTTACCATTCTTGTCACTTTCTGAAGAAATTCTGAATGTCCTGTTTTGTGGGTGTCTTTAGTTGCATTGTTATGGCTGTCTCCATGTCCCGAATTGATTCAAAATGTTTACCTTTCATGGTCATTTTGACACTGGGGAAGAGCCACAAGTTGCATGGCAGACCCGGTGAATGGAATGAAGACACAGCTTAATGTTTTTACAAGCCTGCATTTCTGTTGGATGACACTTGGCAGCAATAGTCATCATATTTTTATTATCACACTTCATAAAGACACTCATGAAAGAGGACTTCCAAAACTGCTTCAGAAAACAGCAAGAGTGATGGGATACATGTGTCCAGTGAGAGGGAGTATTTTGAGGGAGATTAATGACAATGTGTCTTTTACTGTAATACTTTAAAAAAAATTTACGCACACTGTATTTTTTAAATTAGCCTTTGTATTTCTGTTATCTCGTTTGGATCCTCTGTGCATAGTTCTGACCAGTGAACAATATTTGTTGGCTCTCTGATTAAATTCTCCAGCCCTGGCCTTTCCTTTCGATCTCAGTGGCCTATTGAACAGCTCCACGTGGCCATCAAACCAGTATCTACAGAAAAGCTAGCGTGAAGAGAACTTACCTCTTAGTCTAGACCTGCGCCTCCCTGGGTCTCCTCCATCTCATAAACTCATCAGGCCAAAACCCAGGAGTGAGATTTGTTTCTTCTCTCTACCTCACTGCTTCCTACCCCCACCTCCTCCATCAGTAATGACCATAACTCCGCCAGTCCTGCCCACTTCTCAGCACCACTAGGGCAGGACACCACCAGCTTCTTACCTGGACCCAGCTTTGTTCTCAGAACCGGCCTCCCTGCCCCCTCTTCATGTGCCCCATTGACCTTCTTCGTAAGACCCTTTAAAAAGCAAAGCTCCTACAATTCCCTTGCTTCCAACCCTTTGGGGTCTTTCTAACCCAAAAAGCTGTCAAGGTGTTAAAAGATTGGTCAGTGGTGTGAGACTGTGAGGGCTTAAGCACTGTGTCTACCTCTGTCTTACGTGAGTTTTATAATCTTTGTCTGCCTCAATTTGGTCAGCTCCACATTGGGAGCAATTAGTACCAACTTTATGTGAGGATTATATGTGTGCTGATGTAACAGAAGACCACACCGGGCAACTTCTAGTGAACATAAATTCATTGGTTCATAGTTCTGGAGCCTGGGAAGCCCAAGACGAGGGCTGGCGTCTGGTGAGGGCTTTCTTGCTGTGTCATCCCACAGTGAAAGCAAAGAGGCAGCAAAGAGGGTGAGAGGGAAAGGGGGCCCAGACTCATCCTTCTGAAGGAAACCACCCTCTCGGTGAGGGTCCCATGCTCATGAAAACGGCACTATTCCATTCATAAGGGTGTAGCCCTCCTGGCTTAATACCCTCTGAAAGTTCCCCCCTCTTAATCCTGTAACATCTGGGCATTAAGTTCCTAACATACGCTTTCTGGGGGACACAGTCAAAGCCAAGCTCCCTTTAACCCCATCTCCATCTCCAGTCATCATGGGCTGCTCTGCCTTATTGTCTTTTTAGCACTTATCTGAAATCAGATTATTCATTTAATGTTTCCTTATTTGTTTATTAATTTACTTTGGTTTTTTGAGACAAGGTCTTGCTCTGTAGTTCAGGCTGGCCTTGAACTCACTATGTAGTCTAGACTGATCTCAAACTCGCAGTGATCCTCCTGCCTCAGCCTCCTGAGTCTGGGAGTACACATACGCACCACCACACCTGGCATGTTTCCCTTTTTGTTGTCTCTTCCCTGGAATGTAAACTCTAAAGATGGAGACCCCATCCTTATTTTTCTCTGCTGAAGCCTTGGTCTCTAGCTTTGGAATAAGCAGTTGAACACATGTGTTGATTGAACTCATGCTTCTCTAGACATGCCGGAGCAGGTAGCTCCTCCTGCTTCCCAGCACCTGGCCCCACTTCCCCTCTCCAAAGTCCTCTGTGTTCCTCTCTGCAGACCGATACAGCTCTGAACAGGAGTTTGTTGATGACTTGAAGAACATGTGGTTTGGACTCTATTCAAGAAGCAACGAAGAAGGAGACTCGAGTGGCTTTGAACATGTCTTCTCAGGTAGGAGCCTTTGGCTTGGAAAGGAAGCTTGGGAGGGTCAAAGAGGAATGGCTTTGCTGGGAGTGGGACTGCCTGGGCATTGGTGAATCAGCAGCCAAGCCAGCTGGCAAGGAGGGACACATCACTCCCTGGCCCAGGGGGAGGGGTCTGAGAGGCCGTTCTGAAGGACAGTCCTGCTAGAGTATCGAAGACTGAAAGAAGACCAGATACCACGGCCCTGCAAATGTTCGGGGCAAGGCTGCCTCTGAGCAGCCCTCTGCTTGCTTGCAGGGCTTCACAAGAAGATCATAGTCTTCCCCTCACTGGCCTCCCTTGTAAAGCTCCCACCAAGCCTGGCTTGGTCCAGTAGAAATAGCCAAGAGGAGCATCCTGGAGGGTCCTGGGATCAACCAGGAGGGAGGATTCTCCCAAGGAAGGGCTTTAGATGAAAAGGGAATGATAGGGATGTGAGAGACGCCAGGGAGGCAGGCAAGGGGCTAAGCAGGGCACGTTCTAGAAGTCAGAGGTGGGAAAAGGGTACCAGCCTTGGCATAAGGTGGAAGAAAGGGGACTGGTGGGGCAGGGTAGGAAGGAAGCCCAGATTACCTACCTTGCACTCTTTACTACAGGTGAAGTCAAAAAGGGCAAGGTCACTGGCTTCCATAACTGGATCCGCTTCTACCTGCAGGAGAAGGAGGGTCTGGTTGACTACTACAGTCACGTCTACGATGGGCCTGTGAGTAGTGGTGCTGGAAAAGCCTTCTTGGTGCCAGACTTCCTGCCCTCACTCGCATCCAGACACAGACTTGCTTCTCACCCAGTTCTCCTTGGCAACCCAGAGCGGGTGATGAAAATGATGTCCTCGTCTGTTGGAGAGCAGGGTTAGCCAGCCAGGAAGGGGAGCTTTGTTCCAGACAGCAAAGACTCTAGACTTGCAGGGGACAGGAGGTAGAGGGCACAATATTGGGTGGGATGCCAGGCCACGGTGGCATTCTTAGAGAGAAGAAACAAAGACATGCAGTCACCCCAAGCCTGAGCGTCCTTTGATTGTGGCTGAGAGTTTCAGCTTGGCTAGTCTGATCTATACCCCATACATTGACTAAGACAGAAACCTTTGCTGCCCTGCACCAGGAAATAATTTGGGAAAAATACATTGTCCCCTTCCACATGGGGATGGTCACAGGGAACAGTTGTGTTGCTGCTACCACGGGGTGGGTTGTGTGGATGCCACTTCTGGCCTCCCTGGTACTGACAGAGGGTCTGCGTGGAACTCAGGCACCTCTGTCTGAAGAAGCCAGTCTCCCTGCTAGCCTCACAGACCCTCCACAAACACTGGGTGACTGTTGACATTTGACACCCGTAAGACTCCACTCAGTGGCCTTCGCCAGACCTGTGCTGTCCCCTTCTCTGCAGTGGGACTCCTACCCGGACGTGTTGGGGATGCAGTTCAATTGGGATGGCTATTATAAGGAAGTGGGCTCGGCCTTCATCGGCAGCAGCCCCGAGTTCGAGTTTGCACTCTACTCCCTGTGCTTCATCGCCAGGCCAGGCAAAGCGTGAGTACTAGGCCGGCCCCAGTCCTGGCACAGGCTAGGGCACAGGCTGTCCTCAGCCAGGAGGGCATCAGGAGCTCTGCAGCCTGCCACTCAGCAGCTGCATGAATCACTGTGCTGGGCCTCAGTTTCATCCGTCAACAATGAAGTGAGAGTATCGTAGCTGCCAAACTTTGTTTTAGCAGCAGGACCATCTCCGTTGCTTCCCCTCAAGTCAAATCTTATATAGGAAAAAGCCAGAAATGGGGTTGTTCTCGGGCTCTTAGCTTCTCTGTTTAGTCCCTGAGGTTTGGGGGGAACCCTGGAGCCCTAGAGAGTTGGTAACAGCTGGTCCTCATGTTCTCTTTTCCTTGGAGACTGAATCCTACTGCTTGAGAAACACTCAGCAAACATTTTATTTCTGAGAACTTCAGCTCTGAAATCTTAGAAGTTAGAATATTACTCTGAGAAAGATGAGGAGTGGTGTTCATTAAGAAGACAGAAAATAAGTTCTAGATTTTGGAAGGGTTTCCTGCACCTGGGGAGATGGAGCAGTGGCTGTAGGAATCAGTGGCAGCTGTTGTAGAGGATGAAACCATTCTTCTGGGGTTGGGCTGGACCCTTCCAGCCTGGGGACAGAGGCCAAGGGAGTGATGCTTCTCTGATTTTATGATTTTTCCCTGCAGGTGCCAGTTAAGCCTGGGTGGCTATCCCTTGTCCATCCAGACCTACACCTGGGACAAGACTACCTATGGAAATGGCAAGAAGTACATCGCCACGGCCTATGTTTCGACTTCCACCCAATAGAGCTTTGAGCCAGAGAGGGGCACAAGGGCAGTGAGGGCTCTTGCAGGACTGAGGTGCTCTGTGCTCTGGTCTTGAGAGGGAAGTGTGGAGACTGAGAGGGAATCCCCAGTCCTAAATTAATGAAAGGGATTCCCAAGGCCAAAAAACGGTCACACGAGAAAAAGAAAAGATCAAAATTAGGAAAATGAAGAGAAACAGTCAAACTTTTGTCCTCTGGTATTTTAGCAACATAGACTGAGAAATAGAGTCCAGACAGAGGTTGGGAGCCTTCAGTAGCTGTTGCACTCATGTGTGGGGGGACCACAAGCAAGTCCTTTGACCTCACTGGGCCTTGTGCTTCCCTTTAGTGTAAAAGGAAGGGGTCTTCCCTCTTTCCTCTTTTTAAGATTTATAAGATGGCAAATCTGATATTCTTGCTGTGAAAGTGTTTCCAATTGTTCTTAGGAAGAACGACTGATACAGATTCAAGATTACTATAATGGCTGTTATTGTACACAGCTCTGCAAACTGCAATTCAGCCCTGTGTCAGGGGCCTCAAAGAAGTCAGACCACAGAAGCCAAGCAGTGGGCCTTTGGTCTTTTCTAGAGTTAGGTCCTCTCGGAAGAGAGTGGGAGGACTCCCACTGGGGAAACAGAGGAGGAATGGTTGGGGCAGTGAGTGAGCTGGGGTAGGGTAGCCTCCTCTAGGCCCTGAGAATTTTTGTGGCCAGTTTAGGATCTGTGTCCAGAAGCTTCCAACTTGTAATATAGATAAAGACTTGTGTTTTGATCCCAAATAATTTGTGAAAGAATTCCCCTCATGGGAAGAAGGCTTAGCATCAGAAGCAGAAAATAACATATAGCTTGGTGTCAGTGAAAAGTGTATTAAGGCTTATCTGGCTGCCATCATCTGATCACATTAGGATTCACTCTGGGGCTCCCTATCCCAGCTTCAATGATGCATTTTTCCTCTGAGCCCCACCGGACAGCAGATGCTGCCCCACCAAGCCAGGCTTGCACCATGGCTTAGAGGAGTCGGATCTCCAATTAAAGTCATGTAAAAGAAAACCTGAAATGTGTCTCTTCTTTGTATGTGGCCCCTTGGCTGTCGGTCTTCCTGGCTTTTCCCTGGAGCAGGGCTGGGAGTGACACTGCTCCCTTTGAGTCTTTGCAGGATGGCTTGGGCAATGTGGAGTCTGGGCGAAGTCCCTGATGACTCACCCCATCTTTTCAGCCAAGATGGGGAGCGAGTTCTTACCAGTGCACCTGTAATGTGCAGTGTGGACAGAGCATTGCACACAGATTATGGGGAGACTCCACCTCTAGAAACCAATCTCCTTGATCACATACATGAGAAGCAGAAGGGCCCTCTGGGTGCAGCTTCTGTGGCTTCAGAGTTTGACTGTACCAAGGGAACAGGAGATGCTAAAGAGGTTTCTCCCCTGCACAAAGATTATTTTGGCCACAGTGTTAGGAAGATGCCAGGCAAGAAAGGGTATCTCTGGTAAGTTAGAGTGCAGGTGAAGGAATCAGGCCTGTCCTGCCCTTCCCTAGGGGTGTTCACCATCTAGAGAGAAAAACTGGGGTTCAGTAGAACGCAATGGTCGAGGTGCAGGCTCTGAAGTCAGGTTGCTCAGGTACCTATCCGGGCTTTGTCACTTGCTGGCTGCAGGGGAAATTTATTGTTCAGAGTAGTGTCCTCATTAGTAAGACGGGGATGTTACCACTGTTGTGAGACAAGGAATGCAAAATAATATACTAGCATTCTTTTCATCATTATTACTTGTTTCACTTATGTAGATTTTGTTTTTTTCATTAGGAGAGGCAATTCATCTTCTCTAAAGGCATTGTCAGACACTTTTGTCTATTCTAGGGGCACAGACTCAGGGTCTTTTTTTTTGGTACCAGGGATTGAACTCGGGTCCTTGCGCTTGCGCAGCAGGCAGCAAAACCACTGAGCTAAATCCCCGGCCCATAGACTCAGGGTCTTTGACAGCCTCATATAAGGGCTTTGCCATTAGTCCAAAATTAGGTATCCAGATCTGGCAGAAGCTGGCTATTCCCAGGAAGGAACGAAGCTGTTTGGTGGCAAGATGCCCAAGATCACAGAGAGCCTGGATCTGGTCCCTAGACAGCTGTCATTCCCTGGGTGTAAGAACATATCCCAAATACTGAACCTTTTGGAGAGCTATCTTAGCCTTTATATCCATTCTTAGCTAGAAAGTTGAGAATTTGTATAGTATTTTAGTTGAGCCTTTGTATATTATTATGGTTGGGTAACTCCCAAATTGGGCTGCAAACTAGAATATCATCTACATACTGTGGGATGGTTCCTTGTTTAAGCACTAGGTTCCTTAAGTCTTTCCCTAATGCCCTAGCAAAAAGGTGAGGGCTTTCTCTAAACCCCTGTGGGAGAAGAGTCGAAATAAACTGCTGCTTTTCTCTTGATACGGGATTTTTCCATTCAAAGGCAAACAGACACTGAGAGTCTGAGTGGAGAGGAATGGAAAAGAATGCATCTTTTAGATCTAAGACTGAGAACAAATTAATGTCCCCTGGAATTTAAGAGCGGATTGTATATGGATCTGCCACCAGAGGGTGGATGGGATGATACCCTTGTTAATGAGGTGGAGGTCTTGTACCATCCTATATTCTGCTGCGAGCTTTACTATAGGGAGAATGGGAATGATTGCAAAGAGCTTAACAAAGCTGTGGAAGGCCGTATTGAGAAACCTGTCCTGAGATGCTGGAAACGTCATGTGCCCCTTCTTTGATTGGGCATTGCTTTTGGTTAGGAAATGGGATGACACATTTTAATTTTACAACAGCTGAATTTGTCCTACCAGGTATTCCGTTATACAATGGATCAGGATCCATCTTTTGGCTAATTTGGTTAGAGAAACCTGGTGTAGTCCCAACAGGTAAAATCTATTTTGGCCTTTGATAGAATGTGAGAATTGCCCCCAATTTTGCCAGTAAATCTCTTCCTAGCAAGGGAGAAGGTCATTATGGGACAATTAGAAACTCACGGTTAAACATTTGACCTTCAAAGTGACATGGCAAAGCAGGAGTAAAGAATCTCTGACTAGGGGGTTACCTCAACCCCAACTATGGCTCTAGATCTAGAGGAGGATTTTCCAGAGAAGTAAGTAAAAAAGCAGAATGAATTTGCTCACCCATATGTTTAGTGTTACCCAGGGCTTCTCATAGGGGGTAATATCCACGGATAGGGGCATTGTAGGTTCACTTGGGCCTCTTCAAAGTAGGAAATAAGGGGTTTGGTTGGCTTAGGGCCTCTCTGGGAAAAAGAGAGTGAGAAAGCTGAGCAAAGAAAGAGAGCAGAAACGTGAAGTGAAAAAGGCATACTAAACTCTAGGTTACACTCATGGTACCTGAATAATCTGTTCTGCAACTGGGTTAGTAACAGGCTCTCTGGCTATTCTTTACTAACTTATATCTGCAATGAGTGACCAAAAATGGGAAAAAGAAAGAAAAGAGGAGATAAACTTTAAGCAGGCCTGTAGGCCTCCTATGGCCGGAGGAAAAACACAGAGGCCATGCATTCCCCTCCCCATTCCCCACATGGTAGGAAAGGCAAGAAATAGTTCCTGGTGCCATGAGAAGAGTATCCTGAGCTCCCCAGCCTAGGGTAGAGAGACTGGGGAAGAATGAGGAGGAGGAGGAGGAGAAGAAAAAACCTGGCATTTTAGAGAGAAACAAAAAAGGTGCCCAAAGGGCCTTACCTGCTCTCCTGGCTGGCTAAGCCAAATATGTTGCTGGATTTTGGGGTGTTAGAGTCTCCTTCTGTAGTCTCTGGAGGTTCTTTTTGTCCCAGAGAAAGAACTGAATGAAACAAGCACAAATGGTGGCAAAGGTTTATTAAATGTAGGAAGAGAAACAGGCTCTGCAGAGTGAGTTTGGGCCAAGTAAAAGTAGGAAAAGAAGTACACCCTACAGCATGAGGGTGGGCCACCATGAAAGGAAGAAGACAGTGGATGAATTTGAACTGCTGAGTGCCCCAAACAGAGCACTCTAGATGACCATGGCACCAGCAGCAGAGCCAGCAGAAATTCCAACTTTCCTTCCAAGGTCCCTGGCTCAGCTACTTCCTCTACTCCTTCGTCTCTTATCAACCTATCTATCCCCTATTACCAATGGAGTCCACCCCTGCTGATGTAACAAGAAGCAGCACTTCTTACCATCCAATGATTCAAAACAGTATGTGTCCACTTTGAGAAGTCTTGGGGGGAACAGGTTGTTATAAGACTACGTGGGCCTTTCTCTATGAGTGACCTAGCCCAGAGTAAACAAAAATTGGGATGGTTCTCAGAGGACCCAGATAGATTCATAGATGAGTTCCAGACTTTGTTTATAATCTAACTTGGGCAGGTCTGTATTTATTGTTTTCTGTTTGCTTCAACCATGAAGTGAAAGCCCGTATATCGGCAGTAATACAGGCTAAGGGCAACAAAATACATGCCTGAAATAGGACCAAAGATGTGGATACAGTTGCAGAGGGATATAGTTGCAGAGGGATCCTGATTGGCAATAACAGATTGAAAATGAGGGCCACAAAAAGCATGATTGAATGATTACTCATTTAATAGACAGGATGAAAAAATGCGTGAATAAGAGAATTGATTATGAAAAGATTAGATAAATCACCCAAGACAAGGAAGAAAACCCTGCTTTATTTCTGGGGTGCTAACTGAAACTCTGAAATATTGGGCCCAACTTACGGGCAGGACAAGTTTTCCTAAGAACATATTTTATTAGCCAGTCTGCCCCAGATAGTTATAGAAACTTTCAACAGCAGGCTGTGGGCCCTAAGACCCCTATTAATGAACCTTTTTTTTTTAGTACCGGGGATTGAACTCAGGTCCTTGCACTTGTGAGGCAGGCAGCAGAACCACTGAGCTAAATCCCTGGCCCTATTAATGAACTTATAAACTTGGCTTTGGGATGTTCAACAACAGGGACAAAGTACTGGCAAATGCCAAGGCCAGGGAAAATGACTACAGCGGCAGGAACAGGCCCAATTTATTGCTTTGCCATGACAAAAACCCCACAAGCCCTATCTCCTTAGAATAACCCCAACCCTCCACATAAAAAGAGAGAGAGTGAGAGACCACATGGCTGCTACAGCTGTGCAAAGCCTAGACATTGGCAAGAAGACTACAATGAGTGAGCCCCCTTCTTCACATGGGACGTGACCCCACTGTACAGAGGAAAAACACTGGAAACAAGACTGTCCTGTCCTCTGAAGGCAGTCCAGTTTGGCTGCCCTGGAAGACTGAAAGTGCCCGAGGTCTCTCAAAGTCCCTCTCAACAAAGTAGACATCACTCTGCAGAAGCTTTGAATAACTCTGGATGTGGCAGGTAAAAATATCAGGTTTTTTTATTGGCTACTGGGCCTTGTTTATGGGCCTTGCTCAAATCCCCTGGACCCCATTCTAATAAGACCTGTGTTGTGAACACTGGTGTTGACCATATCCGTAGGGCCAAACACTTTACAATGCCTTCAATCTGCAGATTTGAGAAACTAATTTGCACTCAATCTTCCCTAGTTTTCCCAGAATGTCCTAGCCCATTATCAGGAAAAGAGTTTTTTACTTTTTTTTTTTTGGTACCGGGGATTGAACTCGGGACCTTGCGCTTGCGAGGCAGGCGCCTGAACCACTGAGCTAAATCCCCAGCCCGATTTTTCACTTTTTAGTGGCAAATCTTTATCTGGCATCAAAATATTTATCCATTTTTGGGGGAGAGCATTACCATTAAAACCACTAAACAATATATTTAGAGATATGCCAAGGGAAATGTTATCAGAAGTAGATCCATGGGTCTGAGACACTGAAACCCCAGAAAGGCAGTTCATCCCCAGGCTATTCTCATCTTCTTAAAAGACCTAAAACAGCTATCCCATAAGTGACAATATCCTATTAAGCCAGAAGCCTGCTAGGGGCTTCAGCCTCTAAGTTCTAAATTCCTCAAACATAATCTTTTCGGTCCATTGCCAGTCCCCATGCAACACTCCCTCCTTCCAGTATGAAAACCGAATAGGAA